TATAATATTTTAAATAAAAAATAAAGATTTAAAAATAAAAGTTAAGATTTTAAAAAAATAAATTAAAAAGATAAATAAAAATATAAAATAAAAAAAAGCTAATAATAATAATAATTAGAATTAGTAGAAAAAGAAAAGATAAAATAAAGTAGTAAAAGATATATTAAAAAAATTTAAAAATAAAGAAAAGTTTACTAAAAGAGCTTAAATATAAAAAAAGCCAATAAAAATAATAAAAAATAATAAAGAAAAAGAAATAAAAATATTAGAAATTAAAACCTAGTAAAAAAATAAAGAATAGGTAAATAATAGTAAAATTAAAAAGTTTTCTTTTAAAATAGAAAATAAAGTTATTAATAATAATAACTTATAAAGAAAAGAAAAAGGTATCTATTATATAAATAAAAAATAATAAAAAGTAAAACTAATAATTTTTAAATCTAATACCTACTAGAATTAATTATTATTAATTTTAATTAAAAATAAAACTTTCCTAAGTATAACTAATATATATAAGAAGTATTTCTAATATATATTCTTTAGAAAAGAAAACTAACCTTTACTATTATAAATTACTAATATATAACTATTAAGACTTCTATATTTACTATAATTAATAAAGCTACTTTTAATATTAATAATATTACTATTATAGGAATATTTATTATAATATTATTAGCCTTATAAATAATCTATTAATAGATATTACTTTTAAAGTAAGTAAGTTATATTACTTTACTTTTATAGTTATAAGCTATTATTTATATTTAATAGCTAGGTAGTATATTAAAAGCTATAATATTTCTTAAAATTTTAATAGTTTTATAATTATTATTTTTTTAATTTTTAAAATTCTTATAATTTTAATAGTAAATAATTTATTAATAGATATTTTAATAAATATCTACTTTAAAGTAAATAAGTTATTAATTTCTTACTTTTATAACTATAAGCTATTACTTATATCTAATAATAAAGCTATATACTATAAGCTATAATAAATATCTTTAATTATAGCCTATGTACTAGCTTGGATCTGGTCTGGCCTAGAATGTAGTTTAAAATATAAGCTATTCTGTTCTCCATTTCAGTTAAACCTCAAATTATAGATATAACAGGCCGTCCTCCTAAATTAATAGTAAAAGTAGACCATCTACCTCAAACGACACTGCCGCCTCCTTCTCTAATGTTATTGTCTTCCTCTGTGGCCTTTCCCTCTCCCTCTCCAGCGTTGCCCTCTCCATCTCCAATGTTGCCTGGCCCGATGACTTTGCGCTCGACGGCAACCTGGGCAGTAACCCTGTCCTCTCCTGCCGTGCCCTCTTTCGGTGCGTTCTGATTTGCCCCAGTCTTCTCCGACCTGTCATCCCCGTCCTCGTCCTCTTCTGATACTGACAGGTCCGCTTTTGGGTCTTCCGCTTCCGGGTTGTCCCCTTCAGAGTTCTCAACCCGTACTCCTTCGTCATAGATAGGCGGGTTCATCAAATCGACAAAGAACGGTCGCGGGCCCTTGTCTGCCTTTTCAATCGTCCCGTACCGCTCGGCTACCTTTTGTTCCACCCTCTTGTCACTTCTTTGTATATAGAAGACTTTCCCTCTCCGGGTAGCTATGTAGACTGGCCGATCGAGGCTTCGGCTGATTTCGCTCCGAACGTGTTTTTCGCATTCTTCAAGGAAGAGGTCGTAACAGATGAGTGCCTTATGGCGGTCGAGTAGCTCAATAATGTTCAACTGTATGCTGAAACCGGCGGTCTGTTGTCCGATGTGTTCCAGCATCGCCCTGCTGAGTTTCTCCGCCCGCGATTGTGCCCAAGCAATGGCAACTTTGGAGTGTCGGGAATCGCGGTCGTACTTGGTTTTGAGAAGACACCGCATGGTGAGGTCTGCCGCCAATGTAGCGCGGGTCTCGGCTGCGACTCTGACTTCTGGCATGTCGTTTGCGATGCCGTTGATGGGTGAGGGCATGGAAACCGTGTGGAAAGGAGATGTGATGCGGCTGATGGTGGGTAGAATGCTGGGGAAAAGGACGAGCAGAGCGGCTCGATTCAATAATTCTGCCTGAGGTGACCACATCGCCAAATACCTTCACACTATTCAAAGTTCTCCCTTGTCTATAACCTCGAGACCCAGCTAGCAAGCTTTTATGATTTATCTCCCGTGCTTTGCCACCAGTTGGGATCTGTCTTATGATCCTGGAGAAAATTGCGCTTCACAAGCATCGCGGCTGGGCTTCTTGTGCAGCTGTCTACAAAGAACGGCAGGTCTTTGTCGAACGAGAGAGCTTCCGCCGGCTACAATTACTGGCATTGCGTAGAGGAGTTCGAAGACATGGTTATCCGGCAAAGGGATCTTGTTCGATATATCTACCTGGATATTGAGCTTCCACGATATACCTGTCGCTGTTTTCAGCACACTGAGACATGGTCAGATGTTATGACATCGCCTAATTTTTGGTAGAGCTATTCTGCTGAACCTGCCTTCAGTTCGTAGCACCTGGGTGCACAAATTGTCAGGTATTCGAGCTACACGCCTACACACCCAGCGATTCCGAATACTGGTTTTAAAACTATCATTTCGGTCTTAAACACGAAGATGACGGAGATTTACTCCGAGGCAAGAAGTCGCCACTGGACGGCATGACCCAAATCACGGTTGGGTCAATGGCCAGGAGGTCGAGGCTCCTCCACCGTCAGCTATATCCCGACTCTTTCCCCGCTCCGCTCAAGCGTCCCGAAAACCCTCACTCAGGTTCACGTAGTTACCGAGCTTGTGATTCGTCGACAGATTCGACGTCTGATTTCTCTGGCAGCACTGTGGCTCTTGTGGGTGAGACTCCCTCGATTGGACAGTTTTGTCCACTAGGCGTGGCTTTTTAGCGGCGCTCGTCGAAGTTCATGTAGAATACCGGTATGCTACTGTATCTACTGCCTGTTTGATTGCTATCCAATACCTCCATAAACTACATGTAGCCTCCGCGATCTAGGATGCCCTACTAAGCCACATTAGAGTCTTGCAAGATTTCATCAGCTAAACTTGGACCTTCTAACTGCCAACCTGAACGCAGACCTGTGTTGGTGAGATCCTTCGCGTCGAAAAGCTGTGGCCTCGGAGCATCTTCCTATTTCATATATGATCGATGCTCAACAATTTCTCGATTCCTGTCAGATATCTTATACCTGGCATCCCTTACAATCATTAATACTCACACCACCAGTTCCGAACATGGACAGGTCCTCTAAAGGAGATTTCTATATTATTATGTGACGCGAGTTTAGCCGCGCGAAACATGCCACAGCTGAAAAGTCTGATATTGGGGAGTAGTAAAGGTAGAGAGGCATGTGCAGTCATTTATGGCGGGAAGAGGGCGAAGAAGCATGCGGCACTTATCTGGTGTGGTACGGGGGATCTTGAGCTCAGTCGTGGTGCGGTCGAGTCCTGGCGGAAGGTTGCTTCTGATTCTTGCCACCAATGGACTGGGAACGAAGGGTATAGGGTGTTATCAACTCTCATGATGATGCTATTTACCATCTGCGCTTACCAAGCGGAGTCGTTGATCCAGTATCAATGCCACCAGATACGTCAGGAGGGTAGAATGGAAAGAATGGCCTGACTAGCTAGTGGTTCTGCCTCTTTGATCAATCAGTTTCTCACTAGGGGCGGAATGCTGTCTGGCAATCTCGACGTGCGACTGATGAAAAGGATCTACGAAGACATGGTCGAGTTACTCAAGACGGCTTAAGAGGCGAGAAGCGTAAGGTGATGAGTACCGACCTATTTGTCCTGAGGATGGGGCGAAAGAAGAGGTCAAGTGTACAAAATCTGACTTAATTGTACACCCCATGGGATACTTGTTATATCTTCTGACTATCTCCGAGGGGCAGTAAGGATACACCACTTTCAGGTACAACGGAATGGCCTGGCACACGAAAGGAAATGAAAATAGATGGAGTGCGTTAAGCCATGTCCTCTGGCATACCACTGCTCAGGCCCAGGATCATCCCCGAACCCACCGGATACTCTCTCCGCCCGTTTGGGTTCTGGTATCTGATCCTAATTGGGGACTACAAGTTGAAAATACAAGCCGAAGACGCCAGGTACACTGATGGTAACACCCAGGCCAAAGTTAAGAAAGCGGGATTACTCTCGGGCCATGCGGGAGTAAATTCCCCATCAGTCTCCCAAGGAGAATTCGCCAAATATTCATGGCGAGAAGCTGTGTGGCCGATGGCGATAAGCAGCGTGCGAAATCCGGGTTAAGAAGATAGGGGCAGTGAGGCCGTCTCCGCCAATTGGGCGATGGCGAGGCTTCGATCAACGCCCACACCGAGCTGCTCGTCTCGTGCTTGAGATTGGGTGCAACCGATGGTCTCGCCTGTATCAGGCGCAGTAGTAGAAGACGCCGAGGGTTCGTTGGCGTCACGTTCCAGGGCGGCAAGCCGTGCTGCACGTCCCTCTTTCTTCCGTGGAATCGGTGCTAATATAATGGCAACTCAGGTTAGATGACGGCAACTTCTTCAGATGACGACGCTGGGCCGGTTCCTTACCTCTGCCGTTTTCCTGGACATAAAATCGGCGGAGGAGGCCAACAGCTTCGTCACGACCCCAACCTCCCTCCACCTCAAACCCATGCTCAACATTGCCGCCATCCCCTTGAGGTCTGGCCTGGTCTAAACTCGTTGGAACACTGTTGTTGTGAATGCTGAAGACCCCGCCAGTGCCTCCAAACTTATCATTGACCGCGCCGAAGAATACCTTGCTGATCCTCAGCTGCCTGAGCAGGGAGGCGCACATGACACATGGCTCCACGGTTACGTAGAGGATACACTCCTGCACGATTGATTTATCGACTTCTCGGGAGGGGTGTAGTTTCTGGCCGTACGGGTAGAGATATCCCTGCTCTGGAGACATGCCATGATCTACTGACATCTCGGTCTTGCCTTGTTCCTCTGTCGAACATTCGGAACTGTTAGCATCGCCGACGTGGGTAAAGGCCGCACCCGGTAATCTTGGGCGGGCTAAAAGGGCGGCGAGGGCCATGAACTCTGCGTGACGAGTGCCATTTCGTGTTATGTTTGTGGCGTTCATGCCCTTTGCGATGATAGTGCCGTTGTGGACGAGGACACAGCCCACAGGTGTTTCGTTGGTGCGAAGGGCTAGGCGCGCCTACTCATGGGGATTAGGGATAAGAAATGGAGGCGCAGACGGCCATTCGGGGAAGTGATAGATGGCGCCTAAGCGGCGGTGGCGGCCGGGTGATACGCACCATCTCAAGGGCCTCATTGGTGAAGTTCTGATGAGCCTGTCTCTCCTCTTCGGTCCTTCCAGGGGGGTTCGGCGGCTGTATGGCCAGATTTTTGGCAGGTAGTCCAGATTCCGAGAGAGATAAGTGGGGGACAGCGGCGGAAAGACTGTCGGCCGAAGGCGTACTCTCCTTGAGTCCAGCTGGTTGCGGCATAGCGATAACTGTCTGGCCCGTCTGCTTCGTTTGATCGGTATGATGTCTAGCTGGTAAGGTAAGGGATGTTTGGCTGCCAACTGGATGCGTTGGAACATCAGAACTGCCAGAAGATGCTCCTATGGAGGGTTTTGATCGGAGAGATGAAGATATGAGCCGCAATTTCCTCGGGACGTGGGCGAGGAATAGAGTAGCGGATGCCAGGACACTTTTCACCTTGAGGTGTGCGGGTCGTGGTTGCTGCTGCCCGGCCCCCCTGGGCTCCACGTTCCTTCTTTTTTTGGCCATGTCTTATAATGAATATTGTATTCCGGCTGGCGGCTGTAAGAGCTCTTGCAGGGGATAGAACAAAACAGCCTTGAGGAGGAGCTTTGAAGGTGAAACTGAGAGACCAAGGGCCAGAATGCCACCGAACCTACGAGAACATCGGGTATTACCTTCGGCTTCCTTGTCTTTGCTCAAAGCGATCTCGCTCCAAGCCTGCAGTTTTCAGCTGGCTCTAGGAATGCTCGAGGGCCCCAAAATTCCGAGACGCCCTCAGATCCAAATCCACAGCAGTGTTTTGGCAGGCAGATTTCGAGATGGGCTTGTTGTTGCTAATGAGAAGAGTTTCCCGATAGCTGATGCCTTCCTGGTATAGAATTATATCCCCCGTAACAAAACAAAGCAGCCCTGGACGAAGAGATTTCTGCTACAATTAAAACCAGGGATTTCTATCTCTGTCCCATTGGCGAATTCTATTGAGAGCAGAGGGGAGAATGAATGATAAAACCAAATGTCGTCTGCTTAGAGCTTAGAGACGAAGTCACTCAGCAGAATTTTCCGCCACCTGCTCTAGTTGTTAGCTAATAATCTAGATCTAGTTTGGTATCCTGAGGTAAAACTACAGACAATAATGTCCAAAGTGCTGTCAACTGACTGAAGTTAGAAATGAGAGCTCCTGTGTTTTGAAACTTGTACTGGGGTCTTTTCCAAAAAAAAGAAAAAAGAACATAACAATGAAAAGACTGTGAAAGAAGGTGGAGTTACTAGATACTCCTTTAAGCTCAATAGCCCGGTCAAATCCTTAAGAAAAACAGACAGCTTATTGTTACTAGAGCATCTATCAGGTACGAAAATGGGCTTATAGAGCTTGCGGTAAATATTGAAGCATTGTAAATAAAGGCTGAAAAGCTAGATAAAAATACATAACAAGCAAAAAAAGAATCTGCTTTATGGTGACACAACAGGGCCATGACTTCAAGTTGGAACTTTGAACTTCGAAGTACGCTGCGCTGTCTGCGCTTGTCTGCAACGGGTTAGGTAAGCCACCTGTTAATGCAATATCAACCCTGTATTAGAATAACCTCATTAATCCAATATCCTACATCCAGACTGTACGGGACACCAATCTCGTTCATGATGTGAGACGGTGGGCACAATTCGCCGGTTCTAACTATCTCGTGAAGAGATCCGAAATTCGAGAAACAAAAGCGTAAGACATGGGTTGTTGACACATCATACCCCACATGACGGACCCGGTACTAGAACAGACAACCTGAAGACCCTGCCACAACTGGCGCCCACAACGACGGGACAAGACATCTCATTCGCGGGTTGGTGGTCTTGACAGCCTTGTCATCCCGAAGAATCCTTCGGGACGTGTGTGAGAATGTAGGGGTGAGAAGCAACGGTAACAGTCGAAACAACTGTGAGGCACCTGAAGGAACAATCAGGCTAGAGCAAGACGAGACGAAGATGAGGATGGCGAGAATTCCCATCGTGACTATCGAAAGGGTGGTCGACCGAAGGAGGGAACTACTCTTTTCTTGGGCCGGTATTATTGCGCTCGCCGCAATAACAGCGGATGTCTTGCGTAGATGGTCTCGGGAGTCGACCCTTTCTGATATGTACATATCTTGTACGTCACTCGGAGATTCGAGTGTGGGTGCGGAGGACGCTGGCATCTCGACAGGATCCGCTGCCCGAACAGGTGTGGAAAGAAGGTCGGGTGTCAGTTCTAGACGGCAACTGTCTTCGCTGGCTTCCAGGGCCGTTGGGCAACGGGTAAGATGCTGCACACCGGCGGTTATGTCGCACTCATCTAGGTGGTTACCAGAGTCAAGTGGATCATCCGGAATGGAGTGTGTGGGGTTGGAGACATCTGCTGCTGAGCAGTGGTTGACGCCTGCGTTGGTTCCCGTTGTGGCCGTCCCTCTCAATGATCGGACTAGGAGAATGGAGGCCATGTCATCAGGTTGGGCATGAGGTCGGGATTGTTGATGGTAGATGTCGGTATCCAAAGTTGGTTCCGTGGGGGTCAAGGGGGCAACTTGTCTGCCATATGTCTCACGCAAGATCTGGACAACGTTCGCCTGGAGAGGTGTAGGGAGGCATTCGGGGTCGGGAATATTGGCCGAAGCTCCTCCTGAAATCAGAGATGACGCCGGCCATGATGCGTCTCTCAGGACCCATGAGCGGACACGAGTGGTGACCTGGGACTCATCGCGATCAACATAATGATCGCTCGAACGAGGAACCAGGCTAGATGGAGGTTGGGTACCGAGGGCGTCGGATGTTTCGCCATCAGTCTGTTGGAATTCTGGCAGTGAAGTCTGAGGGAAATTAGTATCAAATACAGGTTCGACATCTGGCACGCTCGACCTGGGGGAGTAGAGATCGAAGTCCGTGTAGTAATGAGGAGTGTCGTTCTTGTCGAGGTATGGGAGCGTCGGTGAAGGCAATGTCGTCTTTGCCGCCAGGTCGCCGGGATCTCCGAATGGGACCGCGGTAAGGGATGGCTGCGAACCAGTGAATGGAATGAACGCCTCAGGGTCAGGGAGAACATCAAAGCTGTCCAGAACAGCTGGATCAAGGAGAGGATCGCCAAACGAGGCAAACTCATTCCAGGCGGGATCGAAGACGTCGATTGGTGTGGGAGAGTCGGCGCTGGGGCTGACACTTGGCGGCGGAACCGAAGGAGGGAGCGGGGAAGGTGAGGCTACCGAAACCAAGGTTTCAGGTCTAGAGATGATGTGTGAAGCTTCGGGCACCGTAGTATTGTTCCCCGCCCTTAATTTCTTGGTTTGCCTCAGGGACGATGACGTTGGCCGAAGACTGACACCACCCGCACTTCGGTGGCTCGGATCGCAGCGAACCTTCTTCCGCCTACACGAGTCACACGCCTTGATGATGCGCATCAAATGCGCGTGATCACGCTGCTCCTTGGTCTTACACCCGCGCGGTGCACTGTTCGTGACATCCCGGCCGTCCCTGGTAAGGATTTTCATCCCAGGAAGATGGGAGAAGTCACCGAGTTGATGATGAGACGACGCCGGGCTCCGGTGAGTTGTTGACCGCGGATGCCTGCGAGAGGAGGTCTGGGACGTTGTGGAAATCAAGGGGGGGGAGGTGTTAGAGGCGCTAGTTGAGCAGATAGTCGGGCCCCAGGACCAGGTGGGGGCAATCGGTGAGGCTGTGAAGCTCGAGCCGTACCCAGAATCCTGAAGACTGCTGGGAGAGCTGGCAGAGGATGGCAGCGGGCAGTCAGGAACCTGATAGAACTTGATGCTCTGGCCAGTGCACCTGTAGTTCTCCAAAAAGTCTACGGATACGGCGGCTCGCTTCTCCTGCATGGATGCGGGACAAGGGAGATAGGCATCCATCAGGCTGTCCAGTTCGGGAGTACCTAGGCTGGGGTGGAATTGCAGCGGGCACCCGAGGGCTGTCTGAAAGACGTAGAAGCCTTGAGGGCTAGGAGATTGACCGAAGTGAGCCATGCTAAGTAGGGGTATTGGAAATCCAAGGCCTAACAAATATGGTAAGAGTGAGATAGATCTGATGGGTCATTGATCTATATCGGCATACCTAGATACGAAGTGGAGGGATGAAGTAGATCGGCTGCTGCCACTGAATGCTCAATGGACTCGCGGGAGTTGCAGAAAGGGCTCCGTGGAAAATAAATTTTAAAGATGATGGAAGATCGAGAAGACGTAAAATGGAGCGGATCCGTGACGGGATACGGAAGACTTTAGCTCAGAGCAATGCTCTCTGACTAGGGCATATACGATGCCGGCGGAATGATACACGCAAAGAACTTCCCAAAAATGGAGATGGGGAGAGTCGTTTCGAGGGAGGACGGATCAGAGAAAAGGTTGGTGAATTATTACCAACGGGATGACGGACGATGCCTGGTATTTCAGTGCTTTCGATGTCCAACCTGTTCTTGATCGATTACACGAGATCCCCTGGAACTTGGGGAGGGCTTGCAGCGCTTGGCATGGCTGAGCACAAGTGCGGGACGATGAACCACGCTAATCCATTTCCGGCTCGCCGAGATTGAGTGCATCCTATTGGGCCGCGCCTTTTTCGACTTTATCCTGTTACTGGCCAGAGCTTTTTCTCGCCGGGTGACTCAATGCTGCATCAGATCCGGTTCAAGAAGGACGAATGTCAGCTGCGAAAGTACTTGTCAATGTATGAGGTGCTCCTCAATCGTTTTCATCGAAGTCGTAGCTTCATGGGGATGGGACAACCGTTTCCCTCGGCACCCCATGCAGGTCTACACTACGACGAAGAGATGAGAATGCGGGGACAAATTAGGTACGAAATCGTTTGATACAATCCGTTGATACCCACAAGAAGCCTTGAATTGCTGGAAACTTGGAGGTGAGGCGATGAGAGACTTGGCCAAGGCGCCCCCCTGTTATGAGCTGACATTCCAGTGCAATCTACGAAGTACAGAGTATTTCATGTAATCCTACTTCACCTCATGAGAAAATAGTGCATACTTTGAGGTGCGATGCGAACAAAGTACCCTAAACTCGTAGAATACGATTCGGTCGGGGGGTACCTTCGTATACACTACCTGCTATGCAAGTACCAGTCAGATCCCTTTCTCGGCCAATAAAGTGAAGAGGTGCAGATGATCAGTTTAATCTAACCACTCCCTCCCACTGTGGCTGGTTTGTGGGAGTGAGGCTTTACTCCTAACCTAAAATGGATTGGCCCAAGGTGGCAGTGCTGCTGTTTTCATCGATCCATTCCCTCTGCGCAATGCTGGAGCAAATTGGATGGGGTCAAACAACTTTTTAAAACCAAACCAAATTCCGCAGGCAGGACAAGAAGCATCAGTCTCCAGCTCTTAGCATATTAATTGATCATGTGTCTTGTTCAATCCGTGATCACTCCTTGTTACGTGAATGTCCTTGGGGCGCGCTACGGCTAATGCCGGCGACATTGGATTTCCAGTTCGCCTGGTGGCGGGGACTACTAACAAGCGGCACGACAGATGACAGATGATCAACAAACACGCTTGTCGAGAACTTCAACAACATTGGGACCTTCTCACCATCGTGACTTCTTGCCATTGGTGCTTTGATGAAGGTGAGGACCTGCCAAGGGCAGATCCGTAAGGTCCTTCACTGATACGTTTAGAAGCACCCGTTTTTCGCTACTCGTTAATTCTATGCTAAGCTTAATTCCATTCTCATCTATCAGGGGGCTTTTAAAGATATCTGCTTCTCCAATGTGACTAACAGTCCGGGCCTAGGTTCTCCATTGGTCCCTACCAGAGGAAGCTATCAAGTTGCAAGCCTGTTCACCCGTACTTCGCGTCATATCATGTTCCTCATACCCTTCCATATGGACTTCTAACCTCGAATGTTTATGCGCGGCTTCACAGCTGTGCCGATCAACTGGCCTGAAAATTGGGTAGGCTAAGACGTGCGGAATAAAACGACTCTGAGTTAGGTCCCACCGCTATTCCCGACTCTCAATCTCAGTGAAAACTAAGAGTTCACAAGTGCTGCTTGTGGTCTGTAGAACCGGAAAGGTCAGGTGTTGACAGCCCGGGGAGCGGTACCGTCCACAATTGGAGACTGAATTTTAGGACGATTTGGCTCCGAGCGAAGGATATTAGCGAGACTAAGCATCAGACTGTCGAGTCTAGTAAGTATGAAGAAGCCACCTTAGAGAACATGGATGCTGAGCCGTGGCGGAATGCCGAAAAGTCTGCCGCCAATCGAGTCTCTTATAATTTGCTACTTCTTTGGCCTGTTGATAATGGAAGCAATCAGGCAGACAAGGTAGCATATCGAAGAGAAGCCGAGGATAAGAGAAGGAACTCTCGTACTCGGACTAAGGACTGCGCCAATCCGTGAAATTATTCCGAACTTTGGTGAAAACGCCTCAAGGACCGGATTGTCTCCTGCTAGAACAAGTAACATATAACAGTACAGGCGCCGTTACGTTTCTTGCGTTGGCCGTCCCTGATCTAAGAGGTCGTGTGCCTCGCGGCTCCACGGCCCGCCTTTGGGACCAAGCCGATCACTTCTTATCAGATTCGAGCTTTCGGCGGGGCCACTCGAGAGGAGATTTCTTTCCACCCCACCGATTCCGGGTTGCACGGCCTCTGTACAGCTCAATTTTGGAGAGGCCTTCTGAAAGTCGAGTCGCTCTGACCGGGATGGTTGATTGCGGCTCTGGATGTCCGCTCTAGACGGGGCCTGCTCGTCGCGCGTATCCTTATTTGGAACCCTAGATACAGGGTCTTCCGCGGTTGCGATAGGGCATTGCGTTACGGCTTGCGAGCGTTTCTTATGCATCGCCACCTCAGACAAGGGGGCTTTGGAAATTAGCAGTCCACGCTTCTGGAAGGACCTAAGCCGCAGCTCTGCTGTTGGCGCCTTTGAAGGGCCGGAGCGGACAATCGATATCGTCTGACGGGCGCTGTGGGCGATCCCCAGTCCTGGAGTACGTCTCGGTTGATCACCCCTCAAGTCGGACTTGGCTGGGATTGTTCTGCCCGCATGATTCGCTCCTGATCCTCCAGCCGGCTCGGATGGGAGAATTTCGCCTCTCGGGGCGGTGCCACTGTGAACGCAATCCGGCGCTACCGACACTACCTGGTCAGTATGTTGTAAGCCCACCGATTCCTGTCGTACAGGCTCTTTTTCGTTCTCGCACTTCTTGGCGCCCCGCCCATCCGTTCGGGAAGATTTCAAAGACGATATGGGAGTTTCGCTTGGCACCGAACCGAACCTATTAGAATGAAGACCTGCCGATGACGGCGCGACCAGAGATCTGAGTTCCGCTGGTCGAACTTGGATCATACTGGAAGACGACTCTCCAGACGGCCCCTGGTGTACCAAGACAACAGAACTGCTCGGCTGACTTGAGAGGTTAAGCGGGGCACCAAATAGGCTTGTGGCGTAAGAGCTCTTTCGGAGTTGGGCAGAATTGAGCCTCATCCGCTTGTGGGGAGGGGTTGCAGGCTCTTGAATAGGCTCTCGCTGGAGAGCTTGGCGTTTCTCGAAGGGAGAAATGGCCGAGATAACAGCTCGTCCAAGTTGCCGACCAGGGGTAGACAGGATTTTCTGCAGAGAGGAGCCTCTGGATCGTGAGAGAGGCGTCGAATCATGAGCTGGATCGTTCTCAAAGACTAGCGTGCGCGCTTCGGGGGCCTGCGCCACAGGTCTCGTCCGCTTCGCAAATATTTCAGAGAGATCTTGCTCCTTTTTCCCCATTAATTCAGAGACCTGAACAATAACACCTCCCCTGTCCAATTGCATCTCATCTCCATCGTAAATGGCATCGGCCCCACGCCAATGGGTATCGCCAATGAAGTTTCCATCTTGGTCGTACACCATGACGCGTTGATTAAATGTGTGAAATGTGAGGCGACCATCTTGCCACCGTTTCCGTTTTCGCTTGAGGTCATGGGTAAAAAGGCATCTGAAATCAAGTACTGTGGCAGTCTTGGGCGTCACCGGACATGGCGTAGCCGGAGTCATTTGAGGGGTCGCAGCCGCATGGCCTTAGTGGCAAGAAGATTAGATGAGTTTGGCCGGAGCTTTGGAAGTAGATAGAGATGATGGGAGGGAGCCGGTGTAATGCGTGGTCTTTGCAAGTTATTCGAGAGCATCATGACAAAGGGGACGTATCATCGATGCAAATGAGATGTTTGGGGAGAAAGAAGCGCGTCTCCAAGAGTGGTGCAATGTGGGGCACACAGACCCATCGCAAGAAGGCAACGCGGCGGTCTGAACGCCAAATCACGTGATTGACACCGCTAGACCATCGAACGTTGGCTGCGAAGGCAGCACACAGCTGCAGTCATCTTCAGACGGTTGGGGCCACGTTCGAAGCATTAGTTTACCTTGTAATACAAAGCAGTCTACCTCAGTACTCTACTAAACTGGTTAGTTTAGATCTTGCTCATGACGTCAATTGATCTCGCTCGAAATGTGTCGCAGACAAGTCAACTAAACTAAACTAGTTTGCAAACACTCAATTTGCTGGGAATTATTTGACATTTGACAGCACGGTCTATCAGTCTCCAACATAAACAGAGAGTGTACACCACTGTACTGGGGTAGTACTAGTACTTCTGTTGGTGTGAATGTCGGGCAGTGGCGCCACTATTACTACGAAGTACTTGTTTCGAGTCAAGACAGAGGGTCAAAGGCGACCAGCAAATGAGTTTTCCTTGTCGGGTTTGGGAGGGGGGCGAGCCATGCTCCATATGTGTTTACTTCCCTCTTCCCTGAGTCCTTGAACTCGTTCGAAGTGACGTTCAATTCCAATGCTGCATGCAATCAATTCAAATTGACAGCCACTCTTGATTCTTAGATCCCGCTCTTCTTCCCTCCTGTTGATGGACCATCTCCCTCTTGTGCCTCTTCTGCAGTTGCTCCAAGCTCCAAGGCACGACCCAAGTTACGGTGCATTATAAATAGCTCCGCCATTGCAGTGCCAGATCCCTTCTTCTCATCATTCCCTCGTTTGATTTTAATCCCTTTCCAAGTGCCACACTCGAATTTGAGGAGCCAGGGAAAAAAAAAAGTGCATTGCTTGGTTTCTTGTTGAGCACTTCAATACACGTTTTGCTACGAATCTTTTCTCTTCGGAGCCAAGTGGCTTCTTCCTGCCTCCATCACAATGAATTCCATGACAAGGACATTTGGAAAATTCATGCATCGTAGCCCTGGCGATAACGCCCGCGTGTCTGTTTTGCTCAAGGACTACGAGGACGTCGACAGGCTCCTAGCCAAGGTACGCGCGTACAACTCCTCACATAACTTGTTTCGGAGACGGAACACTCCGGCTCATGCTTTAGAATTGCGCTAATGCTTCCATCTCCTACCTATCTTGGAATAGTTGGTCGAAGAGGCAAGATCTCTCCGGGATGCTTGGCATGGAATGGTCATGACCCAATTGGGGGCAGCATCCGAATATGTCACTCTCTACGATCCAATTGTCGGGGCGTCAGACGGCCACGGTCGCCGCGCTGAGCCTACGCCAGAGCCGCTGCTGATTCGATCGTTCAATCTACGACAAGCGTATGCAGATATCAAAGATGATATGGTAGCAGAGTTGTCGGCATTCGAGGCCGGAGTTGTTAAGCCCGGAAGCGACGCCCGTGATGCTATACAACCGATCCGTCGGACGATCAAGAAGCGGGAAAACAAACGGCTAGATTATGAGAAGCAACAAGAAAGGGTCAAAAAGCTGCAGCGCAAGCCCGGAAAGTCGGCCAAAGAAGATGCCCTAATGCATAAGGCTGAAGAGGACCTCGATCGTCTTTCAGAGGTACGACGCCCCGTGCGAGCTGTGGCATGTTAATCGATGCAAAGGCTAATCCCAAGATGCACCATCCACAGGAGTTTACCATCGTTGACACCCATCTCAGGGAGTCTCTTCCGCCCGTTATAGAAGCCTCGTTTAGGATTGTACCTCCTCTCCTGGCCACCATAATCTCCATACAGAATCGTCTGCTTGGTCTGGCCTACACCGCAGTACATCACTACTGCTTAGAAAACAACTTCCAATCCCCATCACCGCCGATGGATATTGTCATATCTGACTGGGAAACGGGATTTCGGCCTATCCAAAAGGAAATTGAATCCCTTGCAATAATCAGAAGTGGTCGCGTGATTCTGCAGCCCATGAAAGTCGGAGAGGAGCGAAGCAGGAGCGTCCCAGTATCCGCAACGAAAGGAGACACAAAGAACGGCGTTACTCGTTCCACACCAGGACCTATACCGGCCAGCGGGCCGCCACGACCGAGGCTAATCCCCCACTCGCCTTCAGGGTATCATGGCCCTCCTCGTCAACGCAGCCCAGCCCCGACCAGCACAGTCGTTGGGTCCGGGGTGGCTACAGATTTCACTGTCGCAACGGGACTGAGCGATTCCTCTGCCGTTAGTTCGCCGGGGCCGAGAGTTGCCGCTGACTACTTTGGGCATGCTACGGCACGTACGTCTTCCACGATTGCGAATGTCGCGGCTAGAAAAAAGCCGCCGCCTCCCCCTCCGCCCAAGAAGGTTACCTTAGTAGAAGAGTTCGTCGTTGCCTTATACGACTTCTCCGGGCAAGGGTCCGGCGATTTGTCATTCCGCGAAGGTGACTTGATCAAGGTCATCAAGAAGACAAAGACAGACCAGGACTGGTGGGTTGGGGAACTAGGAGGAGTCCGGGGGAGCTTTCCAGCCAACTATTGCAGGCTTACGTAGCTGGAAATTTCATCTAGGCCTTTTTTACCGTGCGCGTAAAGTTTAAACTCTATTATGGACGATGAACTCGACTTCCGAGGAAACCCTTGGCATTATGTAGCTACTAATCTGGTACCTCGGTTGTTTATCGTGGCTGGAGAATGAAGTTGAGTTAAGAAGCGCGTGAAGCCTCGACTCAAATGAGTTGACCCATGAACATGTTCCTGGGTTTGCATGTTCATTCTGATTCATGCATGCTCTATCAATCCTCTCCCTTCCATCGATCACGAAGAAATGAAGACAGCCCCCCGCGTTCAACACACTCCAATATGGGAGGTAGACATCCCTTACACTACATACCAAATGCAGTCAAACGACAGGTATTGTAGGGCATGTGCGAAGAATCAAATCAGGCAAGCACGAGGAAACGGAAGTCATATACAATCGTTGTCTATTTCATGAGTGCGTTATAAATCTACACGTATGGCCTGCAATGCAGTCGCTATAATATCAGTTCCCGGAGAGTGAGTGTGTTTAGCCAATCGTCGAAAAAGGAAGAAGGGTTTTAAGACAAGGAACCGAAGAAATAGAAAGGAGAGAAAAGACGAGGACACAACCCATCTTAACCACAAACTGCATTTTGCCATCTCATAGATTACAGCTAAATGCCGACTAGTCTTTGAAGGCCACGAGACGCTAGCACGCCGGAGAAGCCATATATGACCCCGGTGCCGATCGCATTCGCTCTTCGGAGGCCATTGCACGAGAGCAGTCTGCATCCCGAGTTGTATTTTCAACCGCGTGCGGATCCCGTCCTTTATCGAGATATGAGCCATCCGTTGCCTCTAGATCCATGGGTGTAACGGGGCCAGGACTTCCCAGGGGTCTTAGGCGGGGGGAGAGCGGGTTTGTGGCAGGTGCGCCGGCCGGCAGCCCGGGAACCGGAAAGCCTGGGAGCTTCAGAGTTGAGTTCTCGCCGCTTCCCAGCACTTTCCTCGCCGCTAAGGTGGCCTGGGCAATCATGTCCCGCTGGTACTGCTGAAGCTTCCTTTTTGCATCTCCCTCGTCTCGCACTCTCGGCGACTCGCTAGCTGAGCTAAGTAGGGTGGGGACTTGGGAAACGGACTTGGTGGCAATCCCGGATGTAATGGGGACAGGAGGTCCGTGGTGGTGACGCATTCTATTTTCGTAGTTGGACGGGTAATATTTTCCCATAGGTAACGAGCTGCCGTGGATGCCACTCGGGACGTAAGAGGTGACTAAAGAGCTAGTTGGCGGTGCTGTGCCATGTTTAGGGGCATCGCCGGCCAGCACGAAGGAGGGATTTCCAGAAGCCTGGGCCCCTTGCCCCTGGTTCACAGGAGACGGAGATCTAGGTTGGGACTTGTGAAGATGAAAGGGATGTGGGCGGTGAAGACGCGAGGCTGGGTCTTCGTGAAAGGGAAAATATCCGCTATGTTAGACGCGTTAGTCTTTGAGGTGTATCGTTGGAGTCGCCAGACGAGGATTTGATTTACCCAGGAACATCCCCTCTTGCTGAGAGAGGAGCGGGCGGCGTGGCCGCATTTGTGCGGCGCCCTTTTGAGGGAAGAATTGGCAGCCCGAAGGACACTTGACCCGCATCATCAGATTCGGGAGGCTGTGACATCCCACTGGTGGCAGTGGGGTCGTGGGGACTGCTGCTGTGCCTAGGTCTATCCTCTCGGCCAGGGGTGTTCGCCGCAGAGAGGACAAATGGCTCAGGGTGGTCTTCGTCTTGGTCACCGATATCCAGGTCCGGGGAGCTGGATGATGTGCGTGAACCGTCGAAGAGTTTCAAAAGTGGTCGATGGGGCCCAAGTACACGAGGGGTCGATATGTCGCGGGGTCGTGGGTAGTTAGACATTGTTGAAGGCAGAGGCCGGCTCTCCTGGGATTTGATGCGTCACGACTTATGGTGGGCTTAATACTCCCCAATGAAAATTAGGAAGTTCTGGCAGCATTAAAAAAATCCCCGGATCCCGAACACCAGGCAAATACACTCGAGTTGAAGGCGCTTGTTCTATATGTGACATTTGAAGCTGCGGCGAGTTAGAACTTCCCAGTAGGGCAGGACGAGGCCAGTCCTCTCTTGCGGGTCACACGAAAGGGTCCCAAATATAGTTTCTTTGGAGCGACAAACCTTGCAGTTCTTCAAGGGACTAGAAGAAAGTAGGGGAGATTGCCTGCAGGTTTCATCAAAGAAAGGAAGACAAAAGAAGAAAAAAAGGGTTCTAGATGATCGCACGAAATATCCCAGCAGGGCTCAGTTTGGGGCGGAAACCACGGTTCTATGTTCCTGGGGTTGGCTGGTATTAGATGCCTTCAATGTTGAGTTGTTTGGAGATTGAAGACAGCTCGGAGTCGGCACTGAGGTGAAGGCAGAAAGAAGATGCCAGGAGAATGATGTTACTGTTGTTGGGTAGCCCATCTGTTTCCTTCCAGTACGTACTTGAAAGTGCCGTTGCCAAGTGTGGTGGGCGGGGGTGGGTCTTTGCCTCCGGGTGCTATCTTTGAATGGCCCTTTGAATTGTATTGATACTGTATCGAAATCCAAGTTTCCCCCAAAAAGACACATCACTGATGACAAGGTGCGCCACCCACCATTGTTTACATTCCATCAATGTACATGAACGGGGTTTTGCTCGCAGACAACGGAGGGTTCACAAGTGGACGTTGAAATGACCCCACACGGACTGTACAGGCTCGGCGCCGGTGGAAACAAGATGAATTTGAGAGGGTGGTGGGGTGTCCAGAAGGCTAATAATAGCCAACGATTGAATGAAAGGTTCCACTTGTGTGGCTCGTGAGAGAGAATGAGAGAGAATGAGAGAGAGAGAGAGGGGAAACGATAATTACTTGATGAACCTCCCACCCCCCAAAAAGAAGCAAACAAAACCATCGGCCGTCTCCCCTTCTCATCTTAAGGAAGAAGAGTTGAGCCTTTGAGAGAATCCGATCCATTACTTTGGACAAGTAAACTAGTTTAGTTCTTGAACCCCCGTTTCAACCATTGCGTCATAGTCATTAGAAGGGGTGGGTCCATTGACAGGTACAATCAAAATTGCACCCGATATCCTGGCAAGGGAACTTGCCCGCGGCGTCGCCTGGTCTGTCCACATTAATTGATCTGAAGCACCTGCAAGTATGAAGGTACTCCATACTTATTATACCAAGACGAGTCAAGTCATTCGAATGTTGTCTTGGTGGGGACCACAATATCTTGCGAAGCAGAACAAACGTTAGCAATCAAGTACGAAGTCCAGCATGAAGAAAGGGCTCTTATTCTAAACTTCTGGCATCTGGCTTTTTAACCATCGTCAACGCTCTCAACGCTCTCTGGCGTGCCTGGGAATACAGGAGTAGTACAAGGGCGAGGCCTGGCCATAGTCTGGTAATCCACATGAAATTTACACTGAGAGGAAATGACGCCAAGTCGATTATTCCGTTCTCTTCCGTATGACATGTCAATCGATTAATAAATACCTTTGCTTACTTCGCGATGGAACGGGTATATGAGAGGCTACGCCCACCCTTTATACTAAATACACTCCTTAGGATCGCCCAGCTTTGTCCCAAAGTCTCCTGCTGTTAGTAGAGCTTGGCTCGCCCCGTGAAACGGCTCCTGCGCTCTCTATGACCCAACCAATACCCTAGAGCTGCCAGCGTCGCCACGAGCCAGAGCAGAGCACTGACCAAGTCAATCCATACAGCCACTTTCATGCGACGGATAACATCGTCATTGTCGGCGGCCTTGTTGATATACATCTGTAGGAGTCAAGTAGTCAGCTTCAGTCCCAGGTGGGAATACGTCCACGGTATGTAGATATCAAAGGAAGAGGACCCTGTCCACGAGACGAGGATAGCTACCACTCCCGTGTCGAGATAGAAACGAATCGTCAAGAATAGGGAGGCTTCCGAACCTTGCCAAAGACACCAAATAACGATATCCAGAGGATAAAGAGCATCAAATTCCATATCCAAATGGCCATGAAGCGCAGGAAGAAGGGAAGGAGATAGAGCAGAGTTGTCAAGGCCGACAGGCCAGCGACAACTTCTGCGAAAATCCATCGACTGTCTCCTGCCCCGTCTGCTAGGTCCGTGCCATATAAAGCTGCCACTACAATCGCGAGGATTAAGAGGATGATGTGGAGGACCGAAAACGCAATGTAGCTTGCGCCGAGGCTGAAGACGCTCATCTCGAAAAGGGAGGGGGGAGAGACACAAAGATGGCTTCAGTAGTTTCTGCTAATTGCTATGCAAGAGGTCGGGATGCAAATGAGCTCGTGGTATCGAGCTTGGGGAAGGTCTCAGCTTTGTCACTGAGAAAAAAGAGAAACGCGACTGGCACAAGGGGGACCTTCTGCGCTCGAACGACCCGGTCCTTGTGGTTCAATACCTGCGCAATCCTACGAGTAGGTAGAACGTAGAAATTTGGACGACAGAATTTGTGTGAGCAGGTTGGGGCATTGAATGAAATTGACGAATTCATCCCAAGAAATCCCAAGACATTAGCGTATGATGCCCAATTTGCCAACTTGAATTGAACATCGATGTAATTAATACTGACACATTCAATTGCTGGCCACCAATAGGTCCGGTTTAGTGCATAAACCTAGTAGTAAATGTGTACGAAGTACGAAGTATATCACCTTGGGATGCACAATCTCAGCGATCCGTTTTTGTACGAATTACAGTTGTATTTGTACACGGCGATCAAAAGAAACGCCATACATGCTTTCGTTCTACAGACAACTGATGAGGGTCTAAAAAGCGCTAAGAGTACAGGTCGATAATACATATATACGGCCGAGAATATGGGCAACCCTCCAAAGTTCTTCCTTGTAGCCAAGCCAGGCTGCACGGGCGACCAACAGGGCATCATCCCCTCTTCAGACGACGTCCTCGATCACGGTACTTGAGTAGGGATCTTGACCTTACCCCTCTTCCGGTCATCCAATGGAGCACCATATCTCCAGCCCACAGCATGTCTAGCCCGGCCGGTCGTCCCTACCCGCTCCGAGTCAAAAGACTGAATGCGAAATTCAAACCGGTCCGAGTTGATCTTCATGGTCCTGGCGGCCTCGCGCCTAGCATTTTCTTCCGCTTGCCTTACCAACTCCTGTTCGGACTGCTTCGCAGCCTTAATGAATTTCTCTGCGCTGCGCGCCCTATTCCCACCAGCTAATACATCCTTTACCATCTCAATGAGCTCAGGATGCTGCGATCTCTCTTCGGCTGGGAGCATGGTCCTGTGGAAAGCCTTCGCTGCGTCTCTTCGTGTGAAATGCCGCGACTCCGACGTGGGAAGAAACACTTGTTGCATCGTATAACCGTGAACATGGATGTCGTTAATTGGTTCGTGCGTTGGCTTTGGGCCGCTCGCCGGGTACGACGTCTTGGGCAGCATATTCAAAATCGCTTTCGAGTACGGCTTGGCCAGGCGTTTTCCCTATAGGTGCCAGAGAGGCGGGTTAGCTTTATAGCTACTACTGCCTGCTGTAACGAGGGGATCTGGCATTGAAGGGGTCTCGGTCGGAGAGTATCAGAGAGGCTCGCAACTTGTTTGTAACCATGCATACAGCGTATAGTCTTCAAGACTAATCGAAAAATATTGAAGCAGTTCATCATTGGATTGGAAATGAGAAACCCAAAGAATTCAAAATGGGATTGAAAGAAATGGGGAATTCTCTTACCTCAGATATCCACCGCTTTTCCACCTCTTTCAGTCGTACAACTGCGGCAACGCGCCTGACGTCGACACCGAGATCCGCCGATACCACCTTCAGCGCCTCGCCGTTTTTCTTAACCCGCCGCCATATTAATTCTCTTGCGTCTTCATCTAGTACAGGCTGGCTTCGGAAGAGAGGATTTTGGGGAAACGGCTGATCATTGCCGCCGAGATAGTGAGGGTTGTTCGGCTTTTTGGTCAAGTCTCGCTCTAGCGTCTTGAGCCATTCGAACATTTCCCTACGTTGTCGGCTCACTTCATTATGGCACCGACTAGTCGAGAAAGGGCGAGCCCTTGCCAATGCTCTCGGAAGACATCCAGCGGCATGCTGAAATACCCTCCCTGTCGGGTTCGGCGACATCGTGAACAGGCAACTTCGGGGCTCCGAAAGGTAGGCGACCAACCCTTTTAGCCGGAGTGAAATAATGCCACCCGGCGAGGCATTCAGGGGAAGGATGATGATATGATGGCGGAAACCTGAGAGACTCGGGAGAGTTCAAGGAATGCTCTCAGAAATGCTAGAGAGCAAGAGCTAGGAGATGAAAAAATCTTAACAAGAACAGTACTTCCGATCGTATGATTGGTTGAGTGAAAAGAGAATCAGCGGCACGGACCACGCTGACACGTGATAACACTGTTCGCAACTACGCCACACACCATCAAGGCGATCCGTGGGTGACTAATCTCCTTCCTCGAGGAGACATATGAAGTAACGTCTTTGATGCGAACCGTTCAAATATTTGTTAGGAGGTGCGATGTGGAGTACGTGGTCGACGCGGATGAAGGGGGGCACTCCTCTTTGTGATTTGTTTCGCGTTTGTGATCATGATCTTGGAAAAGGTGTTCCTTTTAATTCCAACATGAACGCAGCTGATTGCGAATTAAAATAGCATTGAGTATTTTCTGCAGCCGGATCTTCGGCACTATGGTCACTTCAAAGGTGTCAAGTGTATCGCCTCCGTCTAGACTCTTTAGTATAAATTCCGTACCTCTATGACTACAATCGGAGGAGCTCAACCACGCCGACCTGGTATGTGGTTAGTTATTAATAGCCTGGCCCCAACTTTGAAATTTCAAAGATTCCAAAACCTGCCATCCATTATATAGTAATACATATAATATAAGGAGCAATCCGGCATAAGGGAAGAGCTACGCAATGCGAGGGAAGCGGTGAGAGAGAGAGATCTAATCCTTCCAGAAGAGTTAGAAGAAGAAGACCGAATTCGGGTTGCGTCTGTTCCTCTGCGGGACGCACTCGAGGTTAAGTCGCAGATGCCGTGTATGGATGGCGATTCTTCTTCGTCTTGGATTTCGTGCTGGCGGCTTTCTTTGCTGCCTCATTTCTTTCAGCTTCCAGAGAGAAATCTTTCCATTTTCTCCATCCGTCGAAGTCAATCAGGGCCTGCATACATCCCCATTCCCTAACCTTAGTCTCGAGCCATGGAAAACTGACTGGCTAAGGCGATGGACTAGAAGTAAGCAACGTGAAAAGAAATATACTAGACATGTATCTAGCAGGGATAACTACTGCGTCACATACCTTGGTAATAAAATCATTACATCCGGCTGCCAGTGCCTCATGCCTGTCGCTCTGCAACGAGCTAGCTGTCAAAGCAACAATGATGACAGGGCTCTTGAACATCTCTATGTTCGCAAGGCGATCATCTTCTACGATGCCGCCCTCCTCACCAGGCTCTTTCCCGACCGGCGAGGAAAATACGCCAATAGAATTCACGCGCTCCAGACGCCGAATTTCGCGCGTGGCTTCTAGGCCATTCATGACGGGAAGCTGAATATCCATCAGGACAAGATGAAAACCGCCACTCCGCCATTTGGTGACAGCATCCCGTCCGTTCATAGCGCTCTGCCATCTCACCTTCAAGCCCTTGGCGAAGGCTTCGAGGAGCTTAAGGTTGATAGGATTATCTTCCACTAGGAGCACATTGATAGGCGGAACGGGAAGTTTCTGTTTTTCTATCACTTTCTTAATTTTCTTTTTGATGGGGCGCGGCGAGTTCGCCCTTGCAGGTGGCGTGGAAACCTGAGCGGTGGGCGCGGGGTCGGATGGAACGGACGTCGACGGATGAGGGCTGACAGTCGATATCACAGTAGATTGGTCTATCAGACCCAGGGAATTAGCTACTTGACACAAGTCAATAACATTGAACGTGAGACGAGCCTACCTGTGCCCATCGCGACGGATTTGACCCCGGAATTCCCTTGGATGGTAGGGGAGGAAGTGTGCGACCTCCCCAAACGAGGACGTTCTGAACGGTCTCTAAAGGCGCGAGGACGGCCGCTGCCCGGGGACGGTAGCGACGGCGCTTGGCCGGAGCCAATTGTAGGGACGCTGTGAGCGGCTTGGTCATTGCCGCCCCCAATGGGTGGAGCAAGAGAGGAGGCGGTCGCGACAACAGGCGGAAAATAGCCTTCTCCCGCTTCAGATGGTCGCCCGCTATCCGCGGCAAAGTGGGATATACCGGAAGCGTAAGGAGCTGCGGGTCGAGGTGAGGGCCGAGGAGTCCTCTGTTGAGGAATATCAACGACAAGGGCCTCGTCAACGGCTTGGCCGCCTGGATAATAATGGTCAAGCGTATTGACGAGGACCTCCTCCGGGCCAAGCTGGCGCGCTTGTCGCTTGTCCCGTGAAGTAATGTGCAGGGTAAGGTCGGGAGCGTCGAAGTGACGCCCGAGAGAGTTGGCATATTTTCTCAGTATCAAGTCGCGTACGTCGTCTACCAGAGCATCGGTGGAAACAGCGATGAGTGTAGCTGATGCCCCGCGGCGTTTTACCCACACTTTACGCATGGAGGCGGGAGGTTCGGTCGGGAAGAGACCGTCACTAAAAGTTCCATCCGGTTCAATGCCACGGGACACTTGCAACAGGGCTCGAAGAAGGGACGCTTGTGGGTTTCCGAGAGGTTGTTGTGGGTGATCACTAGTGGCACTCGGGCCCGACATTGCTGCCATTGCGAAGCGTGTTCTTGTCGAGTTGCGCCGAACGAAATCGTCTCTGGGAAGCGGTTGATCTTGGGAGATTCGAAGTCGTCGCGGGCAGGGGAGAATAGAAATTCATGACCATCAATAACGGATCGAGCTCTCCAGGCAGCGTCAGCAGGCGATAATCCGAGGTACCATAAAATGCAGGCAGGGGTTGCGAGGGGGAACTATTCGCAAGTTGAATTCCGACGAGGCAGCAAGAGCTAGGCGAGGACTCGGAAATCGACCGAGTCAAAAATGCGAAGCTTGGTGATGGCTCGGGACTGTGCAAGGAACAACCAATCCTGAAGACTCCTGCATTTCCAGAGAAGAGGCAAAGCACTGCTCGTGCCGTATTCGACGCTCACGGCCAAGCTAGGCGGGAGGAATATTGATGCGAAGCAACAACGCCAACTGCCCACCTTCCAGTTCCCATCTACTGAAGCACACAGTGCTTGCTCGGGAATTAAAGCTGCTCGGTGATGCTGAGTCTAATGTACAAATTTTCTAATAATACCGTACGTAAATACTGTGCTGTTTCTCATGACATTGTCAATTCAGTGAGTGTACGAAGTAGGCCTGGGGTTAGTCATCGATCCTCAAATCAAAATGATTCAACATTGAACTGTGGCTCCAGTTTGTAGGACCAAGTACGGAGTACACAGGTAAACCATCAATCATCGATCAATTTTTAGCTGCGAAGAGCAGCTCGAGAAGTAATTCAAAACTACACATTGAATAGCTCAGTACATAGAGGATTAAAAATCTAAACGAGTCTAAATGTTAGAAAATGAAGGCCAAGTGGGTTTCAAGGTTTCAAGGTTTCGATGTATTCGCAGAAATGAAATGTACTCCTGATATATACCTTGAAGGCGTGACTGCTTGGATCAAAGACTAAATCATCAAACATCATCATCAGGAACCAGGCACTTCGAGGAGAGATTCCGAGCACTTTTTCCCATACCTATCAACTATTATGTGCGGATCCACATATGTCCTCAGCTCACTCCCAGCTCGTCAGGTCTCTGCCTGAGACGCACGCGTGGTTAATACAAACTCCGGATACCAATTTTGCAGGAAAATCCGCCCACTGCGACGCTAAGTGAACAGCAGGCTCTTTGCAAGGGGGGAGCATCATGGTCGGGTCTCCTCTGCCAGAGACCGCCGATGCGGGCGAGTCGGCCGACTTCAAAAGCCGGTGGCCCATGACTCAAAGCCCAAAATCTCCGAGGACGATTGCCCAGGTCAGGGTGCGCAATAGGAGGAGGGAGTATCTTCGTCGGAATCCGGCGTATTTGGCAGATTTGGAACATGAACTCGCCGGTAAGTCAAGCGACACTTATTCAAACATTTCCACTGTGAGAGCTCTCCTCGGGTCCTTTCTTCTTTTCTTTTCTTTTCTTTTCTTTTCTTTTCTTTTCTTATCTTACTCTTCTTCTCTTGTCTGCTTGAAATATCCCCTCCCCGCACCTCATAATCCGAATCCGCCTCTGGCTGGGAGTTGCCTGTCTCTACTGTTGAACTTACAGCGCCTTGCGACCAGATCCCGTCATGTACGAGACGTTAATTCTCAAGTTCCAATCCCGAGCGGAAAGGGACGCAGAAGCGGAAGCAAAAGGCTACTCGCGAATCCTGGAAGGTGACCTAAGGAGAGGGGAGGCCAAGCTCGCCACACTTGCGGCCGAGGCTACTAGTGATGAGAGACACAACGGTGCGACTGCAGAACCACAATCAGCCAGCGAGCGGGGCCCCCAACCATCTCGGCTTGACCGCGACATAATTCTCCTAGAAACTGAATCGAGCAAGGAAGAGAAAATCTCCATGACAAAGGACCAAGCTCGGGAGCTTTGGAACGAATTCCTTACTCGGCGATTTGTTCGAGGCGAGGATTCAGACTTCGACTATTCCCATGTCGATGCTGATGATGAGCTCGACGTATTGGAAAGACAAGATGCTCAGGATGCCTGGTTCGATGATGAGGAACCGAGCTGGATAATTGATCAGGAAGATGAAGATAGCTCGCATAACCCGAAGGCGAAGGTACTCCTTGGGGAAACAGGAATTCAAGACTTTTGACCCTCCCGACACACACACCCACACCCAGCCCACAGGTGAATGATAGCATGGTGGCGGTCGTTGAATCCCATGAACCAAATCTCTTCCAGGCATATCGCCTTGTGAGGATATCAAGAGAGGGGATGGCCCATGTTCGTCTTGGCTTTGGGTAATGGCAAGCCGAGGACGATGCAGAAGACAAGGCGGTCCACTTCGTAGTTGGGACGCAGTACTTGTACAACAGCTCCATTAAGCTGTTCCCCAGAAGAGAGCTTTTGCCGACAACATAAGAGCTGTGAAAGCGCGAGATGCAGGCGACACTAAGGAAACAATTTGTTGCAAACACTCAATTCCACGCAGCGCACACGAAATACCGATTGCAATATCATTGATGTACGGAGGTAATGATTCCTAGAATCATCTCGCCCATCCAGTATTGATCCCATGAGCCAGCCCACTTGCATTACCCTAATAAGAATATGCAGCACAACGCTTCTGGGACTGGACAGACCCAGACCGGCCCAGGCAGCCGTCAACCCGAAAATGTTCAACACACCCACAATTTTTAACTTGCAAAGTATGTACATGCGTGTATGTATGTGGTGACGTCGCGCTCCAAAACAAAATCGACCAGCGGATCTCAAGCGAGCGGTTTGGCCGACAAGTGCATCAATCTCAGTCGTCTATTTTCTTTTATTTTCTTTCTCTTTGCTTTGCTCATTTCTTCCCTCTATACAAAGGTATTGAATTTTTTTTTTCCGTCATTGATTTGACAGGCTTGAAATATTGATACTCAGCGTTGCTTCTTTTGAATGTCAAGGTTCCTCCTCCTCCTCCTTGGACAATGCCACCGTGAACCCATTCAGCCGGATAGGCCCAGGCGACAGCGGTCGTTTGAACTCCAAAATCGGGGTAGCTTGGGGACCGTTCTTTTTTCGCCCGGATCCGTCCTCTGTCCCCAGACTAGTCTGGCTTCCCCATTGAAGGGACACTTGGAGCCGTCCCCAAGCGCAAGGGGGATAAAAGCGGTTAAATGCTCCTGGATAAATTGACCTCCCGTCCCCGAGTCCCACATCGCTGGGCAACCTGCCTTGTGAAACTAGTTCTCCTCACGAGTCGTATGAGGGGTTCGTAAAGCTTTCGCACGTTTGAGGGGCGCTTGCTGAAGTGACGCTTGGGAATGGTCGAGGGCATGAGGATTGCACTGACGTATATAATAACCCTTCGATGCTGCTCCCCCTCTGCGTCCCTGGCCAGCCTTCATAGTAGCCTCAATAGTTCTCATCTGCCTCCGACTTCTTGCATTCGATATATCGTACCCGGTACTACTACTGCATCGCTTATTCAAGCTCGGCCGTGAAGAGAGAGTGTCACTGTAACAATGCCCCCGATCATCACCAACGTCTATACTGCCGACCCTTCGGCACACGTCTTCAATGGCCGTGTCTACATCTACCCTTCCCACGACAGGGAGACCGACATCGAGTTCAATGACAATGGTGACCAGTATGACATGGCCGATTACCATGTCTTCAGCACGTCCTCTCTGGATCCCCTTGAACCAGTAGTTGATCATGGTGTCGTCCTAAAGGCGGAGAGCGTCCCCTGGGTGTCTAAGCAGTTATGGGCCCCCGATGCTGCCACTAAGAATGGGAAATACTACCTCTACTTCCCCGCCCGCGACAAGCAAGGAATCTTCCGGATCGGTGTTGCCGTTGGTGACAAACCCGAGGGGCCCTTCACCCCGGAGCCCGAGCCTATCAAGGGAAGCTACAGCATCGACCCCGCTGTCTTCGTCGATGATGACGGCCAGGCGTACATCTATTTCGGCGGTCTCTGGGGCGGTCAGCTCCAATGCTACCAGAAGGGGAATAACATTTACGATGCGGAGTGGCAAGGTCCCAAGGAACCTAGCGGCGAGGGCAAGTTTGCTCTGGGGGCTCGCGTAGCGAAGCTCACGGACGACATGCTCCAATTCGATGGCGAAGTCCAGGAAATTCAGATCCTCTGCCCCGATACCGGCAAGCCCATCCTCGCCGATGACCACGACCGACGTTTCTTTGAGGCGGCCTGGCTTTACAAGAAGGACGGGCTCTACCACTTCTCCTACTCCACCGGAGATACACATTACCTTGCCTACGCCACCGGCACAAGCCCGACCGGCCCATTTACCTATTCCGGCCGCATCCTAGAACCCGTCCTCGGGTGGACTACCCACCACTCCATTGTCGAGTTCAACGGTAGATGGTGGCTGTTTTACCACGACTGTGAGCTGAGCAAGGGCGTTGACCACCTCCGAAGTGTCAAGGTGAAAGAGATCAAGTTCGATGAGAATGGCAAAATCATCACCATGAAGTCGGATTAGGCAGCGCAGCTGGCTTAAAGGCTCGGAGAACTGTAGCCAAGGGTGCTCTGAAGGGCCAAGGGCGGTTGTGTCGTGGGTGGGTGAATTAAAAAGGGCATCGATGCTGCATTGTGCTTTCTGAGAAGGCAGGTCCGTTTGTATCACAACTGATGTAGTGCTCGGTGAGTCTGTTCTCAGGCAAATATGAACAAGAAACCTCTATGTATCTCTGTGGAGAGGGTGCTCTTTCCTTTTCAACTTTTTATAGCGCGTAAATCAATAATCCTGTGTATATCATCATATCCTCGTTACATCGTGGCGCTTGCCCCTTCTCCATCAATAACTCTTAAATGACGCTGAATCGGCCTACGAATGTGCATGTGCCAATCCATTTATGCCGCCATGACATCTGGATATCATTAGTTGACTAACAATCTCAGCATCCAAAATCAGACCCGCCCACACCCAGCCTGAGCGTGTTGAGTGCGTCTTCATACGAGGCTGGGCTATGGTCGAGCAACATGCTTGTCCCAAACTTGGCCTCTCTAAAGTGAGCTTCGACATCCTTGATATATTTCAAAACCGCTCTCCTTGCCGGCCTCCCGATATGGTCTTCATCCGACTTCACAAAGGCATCCCTTCTTAGGACGCGAGTGCTCTCAATAACGAACACCTCTCCTGGCGGCAGGAGTTTTTCATGGATCATGTTGGAACGGAGCATTTTGAGAGTGGCAAAAGCCCACTCGTCATCTCTGGGCTTTGCAAATCTGGCCTGGTTGTACCATTTCTCAGCTAGGCGGCTCTGAAATGCATGCCAGACCCGACGGCGGATTTCGGCCTTAGCCGAGCTGGTGTCATTCTTGAAGGCGAGGGCTACTGCTTGGAGGTCGTGAAGGACACCAAGGGAAAGGTAAGGCACGAGATCGTTGCCCTGCACGACCGTAGTTATGAGCCCTCGAGTAGCTTTCCGAAGTGACGGGGACACCGTGCCCGGTGGACCGTAGGCATAAACATGTATGGGCCGCCCAGATGGTAGACACACGTGAGTGTGTTTCGCGTCTTTCCCACAAGCATTTTCTAACCCGAGCCGGCTGTGAGGCTCCGCGGAAGTGACAAAATTGGTTCCGAAAGAATTAGGCTCGCTTAGCATGATGCCGAGGAGCGCCGTTACCGCACCGCCTAATGAGTGGCCGCAGAGGACAAGACCGTAATCCTTGAACTCGTCCAAGGCCTCTTTGAGAGTCAAGAGGACTTTGCCGTCAGCGCCATACAACAGACGCCTCGCAGAGGCGTGAATTCCCTTGTGGACTTTGTACGATTTGCCCTTCCATGTGAGCTCGTCATAGTCGCAGGTCATATCTGAAAGGACGTCTTCAAATCCCAGAGTTCCGCGACAGGCGAGGACAACTGCCTTAGACTCGTGATCTAGCGATATGTAGTGGACCAAGGGAACCCCGGTGTTGGTTGAACCAGTCGAATCAGACCCTCCCTGAGGGTCAACAAATGAAGCTAAGAGAATGCTTTCCGCATGGGACTCGGTGTGGTGGACGAAAGATCGAATGTCATGGTGCGTATTATCTAGAACTTCCAGGATGGGCATTTCTTTCGATATGCCCAGGTATTTCATGAAGCTTGAGCCGTATGATGCGGTCGAGAACCTTACATATCTCGTAATATTGCGAAGGATGTGAAATCTGGGAAAAGTGCCATCTACCATACCTGTACGCCGGAGGTGATTAAGGGCATCCGAGTTGGCGTATGCACTCCTTTGGTAATATGAAGAGAGAATCAGTGATGTTTGGGATTCGTTCGTCGCGATACTGCAAATGCTCGGCGCTTTTTTGCGATGAGTTCGCCTTTCCGGGTGGGTCAAAATTGTGATATCTGGCTCCTCTATTTCGAGTGAGGATGAACCGATATGATCGTCGACATCTACTACGTCGGTTCTCGATAGAATAGGAGAAGTAGGGCGACAGTCATCGGTAGAGTGGATCGAATATGTGTCGGTGAGAGAGACGATCGAGTCACGGCACCTCTCGTGCACGGAAATGTAGCTAGAACGCGAAGGGCTCCGGTGAAGCGTCGGCGGGTATTCGATGTCAAGAGAGAAGTTAGTCTCTTTACTCCCAGACCCTCTTCCCCTCTGCCCAGAATCGCCCCGGCCAACACCACCGGCGAACTTGGCAACCCCGGAGGCGATGGAATGCGACGATGGATGCTCTATCGAAGTATTATCCTTGTTCCACAAGTTCGACAAGGTGCTGCTGGATCCCATCTTGAGCGCATGTCTCAGGCCAGTCCTCTTTTCAGATGTCTTTCCAGTGTTGCTCGGTGGGGATTTTGGTTCTTTCTTCGGTCTAGTGGATAGTTTGTGCGCCGCCGAGGATATTTGGCGAGTTGTAGAGAGCTTCCCTCTCCCGTCGCTAGATGCCAATGGGGTCCTGAGGCGTTTCTGGTTTGCTTCATTGGCCAGCCGCGCATGGCCAGCATGGCTAGGTGGGACGGGAGCTTTATTAGCCGGCGAAGAAGCTGGAGGCGACTCCCGGATTTGACTCTTAGATTGGACCGCAGGCGGCCGGCTTCGTGACGGGGCAGGGCGAGCGCGAGTCTGACTGTCCCTGGCCTGTGGAGGCGATTGATAGGAAGGACTAGGCGCCGAGTTTCTGACGCGCGCTCGTGGAGATGGAGGGGAGCTAGGGGTGTTGCGAATCGTAGGTGCTTCCCCCGCCTTTGTACTGGAGGTAGAAGGGAGTTCATCGCTGTCGCAGCGCCGCAACGCAGTCGTCTTTAATTTGTTTCGATCTACGCGGTAAACTATGCGGTAAGTTGGTGTCGCATCCTGGGACGTGAGCTGTGAGTTGGAGGAAACGTTGCCGGACTTCCGAGGAGCCAGCTGCTTCTCCTCAATGACCTTGACTCCTGCGGGCGGTGCGAGCACCGGAATCTCGGTACCACTGACGTCGACGGTAATGGTTTTTGTTGTAGTGATGGATGTAGAGATGGATACGGCGGTATGCGCCGGTAGCGATTGCATGATCTGTTTCTTCAGGCGTATTTCCGGCAAGCTATCGTCGTCAAGGCCATCATCGTCTTCACTACCAGCCTCCTCGATGCTGCCATGCTGTTCTATCGATTGCATTATTGCCGGGCCAATTGGAGATGGGCTGCGCAATGTAGCATCGGATGCATCACCGTCGAGGCGGTCATCACTTTGAACATCGACCCTCTCACCATCCCTAAGTACAACGACATCCCAGACGATCTCTAGATGTCCCAGGCGCCGACTCTCGGAATCGACTGCCTTACGGCAAGTACGCTGAAGAATGGCGAGCGCGCAGAGGCCCATAACTAGGTCCGCAACACCGACCTTTTCTCCGTCCGCTCCGGTGGCGGGGTTCTGAAACTCGCGGCGTATCAGTGTGACGATACTTGCAATGGCGCGAGAGGAGTCTGTTGACCCGAAGAACTGATCCAGGGTCGAAAGCACCAGCTGTGATACCCCGGATGCGATCGAAAATGTGGTACCCGTCAGTTCGAAGCCCGCAGTGGTCCAGAACACGGCTTTTGACATCGCATGGTGTAGACTAGCGAGACTCGATTCAAGGACGCTCTCAGCCTCTTCACGAGACAGTTCTGTCGTCGATCTGGCTAAGACATGGCTCCCTGCCCGAGAAAGGATGCCTTCCACCACGCTTCGGCCCAGCTCTAAGCTTGAAAGACTCGCAAGCTTAGCCACGTCGAAACCATAGGAACCGACGGCGGAGCTCGCTCGGATGGCGAGACAAGTGGAACGGGTCGCTAAGCTGACGGCCTGGGCAAAAGGGCCGGGAAGAACGGTCCGACTGGGCGGGGTGGCGGCGGAAAGCGCCGGTCGTGTTGGGTGCGAATGCGGAGGTTTCTCTTTTCTTCCAGAGACCCCCCTGGCCATCGTCTCCTCCGAACCCATTACTTACAACTACTCAGTGATCGTCAGCACGGTTGACCTCGAACAAGTTGCAGAGTCCCACGGGAGATATTGATAGAATTGGGAGGAATCAACTTCAGTCATTGTGAGCAGTATTCGAAGGTTCGCGAAGAAAAAGGGCAAACCTACATGTATGAGGTAGTAGTAGAAGCTAAGCCAATGACGAGGTGGAGCGGAAGCATGGTTGGAACACCGTGAGCCGTTCAGTCCGCAAACGCGGTTTACGCAGCTTATCCTTCGGAGACGGCAAGGTCGTGCAGGAAGGAGGGCCCGGCCTAGAGGGACAGACCGTTCTGTCAACCAGGGATGCCAGATCGAAAAATGCTCCACTTGGCGACGCTGAAACTGATTGATATTTGAGTCGGCAATCGAAATGTTTTCACTTTTATAACGGGCAGGTGGGATTTGTGTTCCTACTCCTCAACGTGGGAGGTGCCGTTTTTCTATTCTTTTTCTTCTTGGGGTGACACGTTTCGCGTGGCCTAATGGCCGAGGCGTGTCTCAATGTACTGAACTACAAATCCAGACCGCTCTCTTTGGCCACCGCATCGATTGGGTTTAATCAATGCGTGTCTCCTTAACTTGTTCCTCAGATCCGAGGCTTAGCGCGCATTCCAGGTACGAAGTATGTGGGGAGCACAAATCCAAACCATGCGATTGGTGTGAAGTCAATTGTAGAGGAACGTAGTGTGTCAACTCGTCAAGTTGTTGGGATTTCTTCAAGGAAGGACGAGCATGTGATTCCAAGCATGAAGGAGTGGACACTGCATTGTTGAATAAGTACCAGTTCTTTCATTGAACTTCAGAGTATGCGTCTACCCGACGCAGATGTGGGCTAATATGCAATTTAATGTTGTTATTCATTTATGAGGGTCTTGAGCTTCCTTCAATTGAGCTTCTTGTGAGATATAAAATTGGCCTCAGCGGCCGAGAGCAAAAACAGCCACGCCAAGATAGTCAAAGGACTGGACGAGCTGGTCTAAAAGTGCACCACGGAACTCGTGTGCGAAGAACGCCATAAACTTGCATACGGGACGCAGGATTCCTCTGATAAGATGGCAGTTCGCCAAGGTGCTCTTGGCCCAGGCACCCGAACGCCTGGCCTCACGACCATGATCCGTTATGTCGGCGAAAAGGGGCCCAGACTAGTATTCAAACAAGAATGGCACGATGCATCATTGGGCATGCCTCTAATTCTGATATTGTCTGTGGTTATGTACAGTGTCCTCCCATAGGAAAGCTCGCGAAAACGCCTTCGTAATTCTACGCACTGGGCTTAACCAGTCCCGTCACCGTTTCTTCTATTTGTTTGTCGGAAAGGCCTTAGAAAACATGTCAGCCGGTGTGTACGCAAGCTTAACTAGGGATTTGACAATGGACGATACCCTCTAATGACTGAGTCTTCTCCTGGCCGAGCTCTGTGAACCGTGTCCGTGTTAGTCCTTTATAACACTCAACCGACCCATTTTAGAATTTCGAACAACGAAAAAGAGGGGCAGAGTAGTTGGCAGCATACCGTATCGAGCATACACGCGTGGTAGGGTGCCCGTGCCCTCGCGGATCAATATCGGTACATGGGGATTGTTCTTCTTCATGATGGGATACGCCCGTGTGAGAAAAGACCTATAAAAATGCATTCAACCTATTAGCTGCTGAACTTGTCGGAAGGCAACGTTCCCCTGAAGACTAAAAGGCCCTGAAGGGAAACCTGTTCAAGCCCGGTGGTCCCCATCCCAGATGTCCAGCAACAGGTCAGGACACTACTTACCGGACGGCATTGCTGTGCTCGGAGGTCTGGCAGAAAAGGAACCGAAGCTCCTTAACTGTCTTGGTGAAGGCGTATCGGCCTGACATCTTCGGGGTGTCTTCGGGTTTGGTGCGTGTCGGGTTCAATTGGAAAGGCGGCGATCCTGAAGAGTTGCGGTCCCTGGACAAGTTTTCCCGCTCAAACATCCCATTACGCATTTCTGCGATGATGGTCTCCGCGATGCAATTATCCGGAGCGGATAATCATTAAACCGCTGATGCTGACATTCGTCTCCCAAGAACATCAGGATTGCTTTGATTGGCCCAAGCGATAGCAAATCAAGATCCAATATGAGTCACCATAGCTTTATTATCTAATCATCACCCACGTTGTTTGTGGGTCACCCTTCAAAACTCCGTTTCTTAACCCCGACCCAACCAAAAATTGGTATTGAACTCCGTCCCTGCATCCTCAACGTTTGCGATAAAGCTTGATGATTATCAAGCCCAGCATCTCTCCGACTGTCGATAGGATATAAACCCCCTATCTGATCGCCGGAACCCCCGACTCGAATCCTCACTGCCCAGGAACGTCTGACAGGATAGCAACGTGACCATGTCCGCAACCAGAACCTTCTTTAACGCCTCGCGGCCTCTCTTCCGCCAGCCGTTTGCTTCGACATGGAGGACAACAGCACGTGCTAGCCCTTCCAGGGCGGCCAACTTCAGAAATGGTACCAAAAACACCGGTAGGAGGTGGCAGAGTACTACTGCTGGCCCCGGGGCCCGTGAAAGTTGGTTCAAACGCATGTGGGATAGCCCCGTTGGTCTGAAGACAGTGCATTTCTGGTAGGTTGCATCTTTGGATCCTCTCAGCAAGACTGCCGTATAATACCAAGGTCATGGAGCTTAACCTATATCTGTACTAACAATTGACTATAGGGCTCCTATGATGAAGGTGTGTCGGCTACGAAGAGCCTCTTCCTCTCGGTTATCTCTACGAAGCAATATGCCTAACCATGTTTTCTAGTGGGCCCTTGTCCTCGCCGGTGTCTCCGACTTTGCTCGGCCAGTAGAGAAGCTGTCATTTACTCAAAACCTTGCCTTGACAATGACGGGGATGATCTGGACGCGATGGTGTCTCATCATTAAGCCTAGAAATATCTTGTAAGTTCTGCCCGCATATCACCTGGCAATCCGAGTTCCGTTCTTACCAAGAAGAACTTGCTAATAATCACTTTCGTTTTGATAGGCTCGCCGCAGTCAACTTTTTCCTCGGATGCGTTGGTTTGGTCCAGATTACCCGCATCGCCATCTACGAGACAAAGAAGAAATCCACTTCAGCTGTACAAGATGTCAAGGCCGAGCCCAAAGAGGTGAAGGCATAGAATGAAATGGCATAAATCTAAAGGGGGTAAAGGGGGAAATCTGATAACTTTGGATGTTGAAATGAAAACAATGAGCAGAATTGGAGGTACTGCAGTGGAAACCGCCGACCCTACTTGTCCTACAATCCTGCATTCCTGACGTCTACATCTTTTCACACTATGAGTATCTTTCATCGATCACTAGATGTGTATATTGTTAAAGGTCACGGTTAATAGACCTGCAAAGGGTATCTCTAGTATTTCTAACTTGCCAAAAGGTAGATCTTGATGCGGAGAGGGTTATGTTTCAACACGAGTGTAGATTGGATACAATCATCTCTTCTGTCGAGCGAGGGCCTCCAAGGCCTCGGCCCCTCAGTCGACACGTCTCTAGAGGCTCAAACCCGGAGACTTGTCTCCAGGCGGGAGTAAATCCATCCGAATCGTTATTGGGCTGAAGGAATCTACAGCCAAAATCTGGAGTGATGAGGAGAGATCGCTCATGCCTTCCAGGAATGTACTCACGTAGCGTTGTGGAATTGGCAGAATTTCCCTCCGTGCTTCTAACGCCGAGATAGCCGGAACCGGACCGGACCGAACCTCCGCGGTGTTATAAATACCGAATGACAGTCCGAAGGGAGGTCGTATGCGGATTGGAAGGCTAGAATTTCCAATCTCTTGGCCACATTTCCAAAGTACCTGTTGACATGAAGGGCGACCCAATGGTGCTACTCACAGCTTGTCTGAAGTCAATGGCTGGAGCATGGAAATCCTTACTTCACTCCAGAACATGTGGCAGTCTGTCTGCAGCGTGACGGCTTTCTTGCCCATAGTTAGCGGTAAAAAAAAACTGTTTAAGCATCGAAGACGAATCTTCGGAATCGTCGCCAGCTAGCGGCCTAGTCCCAATTAGCATATCATCAAACAATGGGGCCTCAGGCCCCTGGGCGGGATGATTACCATCCTCAATTGCTTGTTGCCAGCCGCGTCGAATTCACATGCCTCCCGTCCCTCTATCGTGCCGGGTACGCGCAGGTACAGAGCCTTTCGGCATTCCGGGTTACCGAGACATCTTCGCTCTCCATTTCCTCCTAGGAGATCTGAAATCATATTTTCTTATCCTTTAAAGCTCACATGAGATCTATTAATGGCGAAATATCGAACGGCTTTGTAATTGTTGTTTTGGGAAGTCGAGATGCTGATCTACGAAGCAGAAACAACACCGTTGAATCCCCACGGAGATACACCGCAATTCTCGAAGGCCTGAGCTGGATTTACCTCGAAATGCGTGGTTCCTTGCTGGGTCTTCCGTGCACCGTGATCGATTTATATTTGCAGGGGAACATGTAAGAGTCAGGTCTTGGACGCTTGGCATATGCAACTATCGCAGGGTGGAGCGTGTAGCTTCAAGCTTGAGCTGTTTTAGGGTCGTCGAGGTCGCGATGATGTCAAATTATGTTGATCAATTGATTTGATCGATTCCTCCTAGGGCTTTTGAGTCGATCATGGGTGGTTGATGAAACTATTAGATAACATCAAGATTAGCAGTGCATGAACTAATGCACTTCATAGACATATCAATTGATCAACGTTTCCAAAAACAAAGAAATCTCCAAACCTGGGGAACTTTAACACCTTCACACCTTCACCCATTCTGAAAACCTGCACACTTTAATACGAAGTGGTTTGTATCGTTGAGCGCCGATTGCTATGGCTACCTCACCGACTGTCCCGTTCTCAGATCTCCCTCTGAATTCATCGGCCAGGATTTTGTCCAACTGCCTTCCGACGCCGACATATGGAGCTGGTGGATCTATGACTGTTGCTTGTTCAACCTCAATATCCGCAGCTCCTGAGAAATGTTTAGCAGCCATGCTCCAAACATTCTCCTGGCCTCAATGGAATAAATTCTGCCCCCGTGTCACCAATCTAAAGTCACCACCCAATGCTAGTTTCCCCGCCTCAGTTTCTCAGCTCTTAGAAGGACGACATGATGTCCTTGCGCCTGGTTCCCAAGTCACCTTCGAGGTGCACATGGACCTCGATGAAACGGTCAGCGTTAATCAACCTATTGTCATCACGCATCTCGAGGAGTTCGAAAGGGCTGGCAAGAAGGGTCTGCGCGTCGCATGGAGAGCCGGAGGTGTTATGCCAGCATTCATCTTGCGATCAGAGCGGGTCCAGGAGTTTGTACAAAGCGATGAAGTGGGCGAGGAGGGAGGGTGCGAGTATTTCTGCTGGGAGACGTTTTATGGGGTGATTACACCCGTGCTTCGGTTGAGTGTAGGCTCGAAACTTGAGCGCGGGTTTGATGCATGGATGAATGGTTTGAAAGACTTTCTTGAGAAGGAGAGCACCTGACGGACCATGATGGCAGATCAGAGCCATAAGGTGTGGGCTGGGGTTTGGTGCTGTGGTGTGGAATATTTCATCCTCAGGGAATTATTATTTCCTAAATGACAGCTTTGGACGACCGGCCAAAATCCCAGCTTAGGTCAATTATAATCTAGTAACCTAGCAGCTCCTGCTTTTGCCTGTACTCATCTCGACTCGCTTGAAGACCACATCCCCTTGACAATGTCAGCAATGGCGCCACTCGTGAGATCGGGATCCGGCTCAGCTGGCGGAGTCATGGGATGAAGGGTCCCCCAGGTCTCTGCTCCCACCAGTTTACGCTGTCCTCAAGCAGATCACATTTGCTAGCTAGCTGACGCGAAACATCCTTCATATGATTAGAGGCTGACGAGAACAGCATGAAGACTGGTTCTACCGTTTCCAACCACGGGAATGGCATGACATCGTTGGGGTGCGGAAAGGGCAGAACAAAATAGTCGGGTTGTATAAGACTGGACCATTGCAGTTGGTAAATGCTCTCTGTAGAATGAGCGCCTCGACGCCTCGGAGAAGAGAGCTTGAGCGAATCCACTGGCTCTCAACTGCCCAAGAGACACACCCAACATGACCCACTGTCCGTCGATCGACCGAGTCAACTTGCATAGATAGCTTCTACGCTCCATAATTCACACTATTGTCAGTGAAGCTAACTATAATGATAGGACCATTATTCTGATTGATAAATCAGGAAGTAATTGACTACAAAGTGGAAAAGGGTAAAGAAAAAAAAGAAGAAACCCATTGACCTCGAGTCCCGCGGAGTTGGGGTTTGAACTGTCCAGAAGGTGCCTCTCCAAGGTTTCATTAAAGATAGACGAGAGAATTGAGTGGTTTCTGGCGCAGATTGGGTTGCGACACAATTGCAGGACTTGATTCCCCGGAACTCGGACAATCACTTTTCCGAACCCCGCGCTCCACGTCCTTTCAGCACTGCCCCGCGATGCCTTGCGAAACTGGGGAGTTGCGACAGGCCGGTTGAGACAAGCGTACGAACTGCATCTCGGCGACTTAGGTTCGGCTGGGTAAAGGAACGTTCCCTCTCACCACACTCCTTAGACTGTAACAATTCTTTACCTCCACCATGGCTGGAGACGAGCATGAGGTTCGTACCATTTCTCACTTAGTCCTTGATAGGCTTCCTACATTTCGCAGCTGTACTAATCCGAGCAGGGGGCCTCGAAGAAGGAGCAGCTCATCGAAGCTTGCCGCCGGAACAATACCGATCTTTTATCAGAAATCATAGAAGATTGCTCGAGCGAGGAAGAAATTACGCGGCTTCTCAACGATACGACGACCGTCTTGGGAAACCATCTCTACCATGAGGCAGCTCTACAAGGGAACTGTCAGTATAGTGCTTCTCTTATTGCATTTCTACGCCATACGTACTCCAAACAGTGCTGCACTGGACTTCGGTGACTCGGAAAGATTTGGGGAGGGGGGGTTTGAATGAGAGCTTCACTAACGCCTTCGAACGGCTCATTTAGACGAAGTAATCGACATGCTCCTGGACCAGCCCGACTTCGAATGCGATCCCATAAACCGTCGCGAAGGCGATACTCCCCTACACTCCGCCATCCGATGGATTAACTCCGAGCCGCTCGCCCAGCGACCATTCGGCAACTCCCTCGTCGATATGATGCTTGAGGCTGGCTCCAATCCCCGCATCAAGAACAAGGGCGGCCTCACCCCCTACCAACTAGTTGACCCTACAAATACCGGCCTTAAGGAGTTGATACAGAAGCACGAATATGCGGCCCTTAACCGTGGGGATTTCATCCAGGCAGACGTCGGAGGCGATACTGCGGCGTCCACGAAGCCGATTGTTCACCATGACTATCACGCAAACGGCGAGAGTGACGAGGATGCTGAATTCAGTGGTAGCGACGAAGAAGAAAGAGCGGAGTGGGAGAGGAGAAAACGGGAAAAGAAAGCGAGGAAAGGCTGAGAATACTGGGAAATATAGCTGCTCTGTGGGCGGCAGCCCTTCGCACAACCTATAACAAACTCCGCCCGAGCACAAGAACGTGTAAACTCATATTCGGCATGGAGCTTGCTAGAAGAGCATGTGGTCCTTCTTCAAGATCTACTGCAACCGGACACATTAGACTATGCCTGGTCGCCTGCCCCTGCCATCACTGGACGCTGAGCGCCTTGTTGCTAGTTTTGATTACTACGATGGGCCTGCCCAACTATCCCCTAAGCTGCTCAACCACCTCTTTCTCTAACCATGGCATAGTTCGTCTTGCTATATAGAAGAGTTCTTTTCTTTCGCCCATTCTCGCTTCTTATATTCGTTGGTCTTACTGGCGTGAAGAGGTTAATCTTGTAAAAAACGTTTCCATACTGGCAGTTCTTGTGACTGCACTAGACATCGACCTATACCCCCGCAAATTGGCTGATTCAGTATATATCCATCGATTGGTGCTACTGGATTCAATGATGCAGAATAAGGCTGGGAGGCCCGCTGGTAGGCCGACCAAGGACGATGTCGTCGAAGAAATTTGATATCTATAAACTCAGAATATTCATCAAGCCATACACGATTGTAACACCGTCCTGCAACCCCCCTCCTATCCACCACCTTTTCGCTATTAACGAAGTATTGAGACATGTGCATAACGGGGAGCGTGAGGGAGGTCGATCGAAATATCCTCCGTCATGCCATGCCATTCTCATAAAATCGCTCCTAACCAGATCCAACATCAAAATAAAGTAATGCCCACCAACGAGCCCGTCTCACTAGCAAACCTAGATTCTGTCTCCTCCACAATATGTACGCTGCGTCTTGTCGAATTTTAAATCCACGGCGAAGAGAGAAATGCGGTCCGAAATTGGGCCGTCCGTCTCACCCACCACTCAATCACTTGCACTGTAGGATGGCAACGTTCTTAAGGTATCATATGATGAATCGCCGGGCTGGGTATCTAACAAGAAGAACAAGGCGATTTCCGTGGCTTGAAGTGCCGTCTTCTCCGTTTCGGTTCTTTTCTCCCCTCCTTTATCGGAAGCGAGCTCGGCACCGGCCCATAACCTCGCCTTGGCATACCAGCTCCGCGCTAAACTCAGAACCATCGAGAGTAAGGTAGATATCAAAGTACACTCGGTAGAACGTTCCCTGGGGCGTGTCCATTCGCTCAAAGTCCTTCTCCAGGTTCTTTCGAGACAAATCCGACGTAAGCGTGACAACTTCCTTGATCCCTAAGTGAAGAAAACAAAAGTTAGCATCGTAATACCTTGTCAACGCGCCCATTCGCGCGCAACAAGGGTAGTTGGTCAACTTACGAGGATCCTTAGTGTATTCGGGGCAAACGTCATCGTCGCATGCGTATAAGATATCCTCGTACATGAGGGTGGCACCAGGAGCCACCTGGCGGAAGAATGATACTTTGACGGGCTCACCAATCTTGACCTTTTGACCCTTTTGCACGAAGATTTGTCGCGTGAACTTGCACCGATCCTTGCCATCGAGAGAGGGAACGCGGTAAGCTTCGGGATGGTATCCCTCCTTGAAAGGCTGGAGAGTAGCCATGAGGTAGTGTCGTCGAGCAACACGGTGAGTGATAACGCGCTCGGTGATACCGGCTGTGACTGCACCCTTGACAATGGCTGCCACCGAGTCCATGGGTCGGACAACCTTGGACTGGAACTGAGGCGGAACATGTAGCTTGATCTGCTGGAAGAGATACTCAGAGGCACCGAAGCCTCCGACGACGAGGATATTCTGGAGCGTCCTGTTTTGCGCCTGGATAGCAATGATCTGGTTCCTCACAAGCTCCAAAATTCGATTGACGACTGGCTCGAAACATTGCAGAATTTCCTCGTTCGTGAATGTCATGTATCCTTCCTCAATGCCGGCCTCGGGGAATTCGGCCTCGATGCCCACGTCGACAGCCCATTTCTGGCCATTATTGCGGAAATCGGCCTTGATACGGTTCTCAAAATCCATGATACACTTGGCGTATACACGGCCGGCAGTCTTGGAACCATCGGGAAGCTTCATCTTTCGAATCTTCGTGCGAAGGATGTTGCTGAAGTTGCGGTTTAGGGCTGTCGAGCCGCACGAGTCGCCAGATCCGGCCGTGCACTCGGCGACGGTAAACGGGTTTTCGTCTTCGACTTCATATGCAATAAGATCGACCGTACCACCACCACAATCGACAATCAAGACGGCATCGTGCACCTTGAGGTTCAGGAGACCAGTCTTGGAGCAAAATAGAGCGGCGGCTTCGGGTTCGGAGATGAGGGTCAAACGATTATCATTCTCGTCTCGGAGGAATCCGGCCTGAATGGCGGCGGAACGAGTGGCAGCCTTCCCGGCGTCGTTCCAAATGGCAGGAACAGTCAGGTAATACCGAATGTTGCGTTCCTCTCGGTTGAAGACCTCACCTAGAGTCTTCTGTAGGGCTGAGCGCATGGCCTGGCGAAGCTTAAAGAGATAATCTGCCGCAACATCGATTTCGGACTTCCCGGGTGGGAGCGGGGGCAGGTTGATTGGGTCGATGTACGTGTTTCCGCTCAGCATCAACTGTAGCTTAAACCATTCGACCTTTTGCACTCCGGGTTTGGGATATCCAGTGGGGGCAAGAGCATCGGCAATATCGGGGCCCCATCCAACAACCTTCTGATACTGATCGTAGTATAGCACAGTCGGAATCTGAGCCCATGGCCATGATTAGCTATCTACTCAACGTACAGCGGCAAGTTGTTTGGCCGAACCTTTTGCTTAGTGTAGGAGCCAGCACCGGGCCACTCGGTGATGATATCCTCCTTGGCTTCGTTGTTGGTCGCGAAAGCGAATGCAACTCCCGAAAATGTCGTGCCCTGTTCGTACATAACCGCTGGTCAGCTAATACTGCTATACACTGAGGAGAAACTCTAGCGTTGGGAGGGCTGTGTCTAGGGGGGCGGGTTCCTACAAAATCAATGCCAACAATTAATTGGGCCTTGCTGCGGCTATTGCCTTCGACCTCGGCGGGGTTTCCAGGTCGATGATATTGGGCCATGGGAGCGCCTGGTTGTTGCTGCTGCTGCTGCGGAGGCGGCGGGCCAGGAGGGTAGCCAGCGGGTGCGCCACCATAGCCAGGTGGTCCTCCCATCGGGGGTGGGCCACCGGGAACGGGGGCATGAGGGGGATAGCCCGCAACAGGGGCTCCCGTGTTGATCGGAGGCGGGCCTCCAACCATTTGGCTCGGGGGAGTTCGTGTAGGACCGGGGTGAGTTAGAGGGCTGGTGCGACCGAGGGGAGGTTGACCATGAAAGTTCGCCGTATAGCTGGGCGGTCGATTTCCGGGGGGCGGGTGATTCATGGGGACGTTGGACACAGAAGCGGCGGAAGAAGACACAGAAGAGGCGGGAGCGTGGCCCAGAGGCGGTTGCGATATTTGAGAGGGAGGAGGAGGGGGCAGGCTGGGCTGATAGCCTAGCTGGCTCGCGGGGTTGTCAGGGGTGGAGGGCGGACCCTGGATGCTGGCGGTGGATTTCCGTTTACCGAAACCGAAAGATTTCAGGCGCGAGTTCATAGAATTCATAGGCAGGACAAGGAGGGCGGGCAGCGAGGGGATATGTCTGAGAAATCGAAGGACGGGGGAAACAATATGAGGGGGAAGGACTGCGAGAGTCTCCCGAGTGCCCTGGGGGGATGCGGGGTGTGTGTGGTGGTGACTTGGGGGGTGTGTACGAAGTGGGTAATACTGGACTAGTTTGTCGGTTCCCTCGTCAGCCGCTGATGGTATGGGAGGGATGTCGACAGAACGGGAAACAAGAACAACTAGGACTTGGGGGGAAACGGTGTAGGAATCAAGGGCTAGGATGGCTGTGCTTCTTCTTCAAGAGCACCGAAACCGACCGAGAGTGTGATGGCGACGAAGTGACAGTTTGAAAGGTAATGCAAGGACAGCAGACAAAGGTAGGTACAATTGTAGAGGAGGGGAGGGGTTCTGCGTCAATTAGAAGTTTGGCAGTGAGTGCGTGGGGCAGAAAAGGCAGAAACTACGAAGGTACCTGAATCCATCAAAATCTGTCGAATCGATTGATCACAGCCCGCTAGCCCCCAGAGCCTGAGACTTTTACGGAGTACTACAAGCACGAAGTAGGATTAGGATTCATAGGACCTCCCCAAACTGATTGAGACTAAGATATCAAGGAAGAGGGGACTTGTTTGATACCTTGTTCATCCACGACTTGGTTGGTGGTGTGGCTGTACCAGAGCTGAAAGAACTAATGCGTTCTCGGCACCCATTGTCGAGGTCCTGACCCTCAAGAACGGCGCAACTAGTGTATTTTATGCAGTCTTATTTGGGAATTGTAAGGCTGAGCACTTGTCCGTTTCGTCGTGTACCTCGTAGCACCGTTACCAGTGACGGATTGAGGATGCAGCACGCAGTGCGAACGAGGAACTATTAGTGGCGAAAGGACTGTGGTTGAGCATGGGTCATGGGGGGGAAGTATTGACCGTCAATGAATGGAGTCTTTATCGTACTGCCCAACCCAGGGCAGTTCTCGACCTCGAACATATGCCCGCCAATAAGTCTATGATTCCGCAGGCTGATTCTAGATGTCGAGTAGTCCTCACATGAGAGACGGGAGTTGAGTCTTGGGTTGGTAACAGTGGATTGTGTCGTCAACACTATGCGTACTTCGTATCCTTGGAGCACACGAAGGAGCCAGAGCCTGCTGGTTGTAATCATAATAGCGTGCACCCACTGGAGGTTCGTAACAGATCAACAATGCCCCGTCTTACTTCGACCTTGTACTCCGAGTGGTTTCAAGTACTATGTACTGAGGTACTCGATGTAGACCTCTCTGGCCGCGCAGAATACCCCGCTTCCGACCTGAGGATGGCCTGGGAAGGCATTGCCTGGCCTGCTAAGCAAGCCAGTCCGTTAATATGACATGCCGTGAACTGTCCTTCGACCCCAAGTCCTCGGCTTGTCTGTTCAAGGAGAGGTTCAGTCTTTCGGGTACCGTTACTGATGCAGGTTCATTGATTACTGTCTGAGGTGCTTAACATGATTGGCATCCATGGCGACACTGCATTGGACATGGCCTGGCAATTCGAAGACTGTGAAGGGAATCCAGGACTTTTTCCTAGGACTTTCCCCACCGTCCTGGGCTCTTGGCCACCCAAACGGTAAACCTTCTTGTACTTCGTAATCAAACCGATTGATACTTCAAAGTTGTACTTGATCACAACCAGAGCCCGAACCGCCAGAGAACTCGTATTATTGCGGAGTGGGCAGCATTTCCCTGGTTAAAATTTGTGCATCTAATTTCTTCATCCTTGGCCTTTATTGGCGGACAGGACTTTCTCTATTACTGGTAATGGTGATGGAATCTATCCTGGAGAACAGTCGGGGATAGGCTCTTACAGTACATACGCGATGCAGATTCGAAGGACTTACGGACTTGTCATCATCATCGGCACTACACAAGGCTGAGAAGGAAGAGTCTACTTTCTTCATCTTCTCCGACCAGCAAATCCATCCGATATTTGGCACTCGTGTGCTGAGCCTTCCAAGGCTCCACTTTGGCGGGTGACAACAAACTCCGTCCGAGCGTGGATTGAGGCTCAGCCCGCTCAGTCGGGGAAGCTGGCAGTTCTGTCGCCTGTGGGGTGTCATGCCCTGGCCAGACCAGGCCGTGGCGTGGGACGAAGCCCTTAGCTCCCAACTTGCGATACGATCCGCCTCTTTCAGAAGTGTTGACCTGGCTGGTCAAACTCGCAAATACCCGGTGAATGCAGCCACCCTTCTTCGTTCTTCGTATCGACAACCAGAGGAGGCTTCCACCCCCGCCTCTCTGTGTCTGTTTCCGGGCTCGTGAAAAGGCACTACAAAATAAATTCAGCAGCAGCTGCAGAAAGCTCAAGCATCATGTGAGAAGACATCGACGCAATTAGTTGCTCTGGTTCCCTCATCCACTCCCTGTCCTTGATCTGGTGCACACCGCTTCTACGTGAGTTTGAATCGGACCCAGTCCCGGCTTGCTCTCTGCTCCGTCTTCATGCAAGCCCGCTTTAATGAAAACTTTTTGAATTATTCTGGAATGACCCGTCGCGGAATTCGAGGCGCTCTCGGGCATTCTGGACCACGACTCGAGTCTGGGATTGACATGTACAGTCTGTTGTACGTCTTGATGGAGCTCACTCCTCATTAAACCCCATCCTCCTGTGTTACTTCGGACGCAGTGAAGTATGAAATAGGTGGAACTCCACGTTTCTCGTCAATTTCATCGAAAAACTAAAACCGCGATGCTAACCCCTTTCACACACTCGTAAAAATGCACCACAACCATCTATTGATCTTTCGTCTAATAAACTATTGCCTGGCTGTGTGGCGCTATTTCTTATGTGCGCAGCGTGGATCGATCAATGCTGGTCATCTTGCCGTTGGCTCGGCGAGTCTCTTGGTATTCAAGCGGGGTATTAACATATATATCCTATTCACATATATTTATATTCTAGGAGGCCGTGGAAGATGAGAGAAGCAAGAAAACAGAAGCCATTGCTTCATAGTTCCGAATCCGCTGTTTCCGGGTTGATGGCAGACGATGAAAAGCCCCGTCATATTAGCATTTCCGTCCGTACTGATCGTCCTAGACCTGAGCATCCCAAGCATTTCCTTGCCAGGCTGGCATTTTCGTCCAATTTGATTAGTAACTACCCGGCTGTGTCAATGCTGAATTAATTTGAACTCCTTGTTTCGTACTTTTGTAATTAACTGCCTATTCTTCAAGGGGTGGCATCGAATCTACTGGCACCGGCACTGGCAGCCAGCAGCTGCGCTATTAGAACCTCCACTTCATCGATGTAGTATAGCAGGAGAGTAGTGTAATAGTGGAGTGTGAATGATCCCTATGATCTGCAAGTACAATTTGATGCGAGCCCTGGCCGACCCAGGTTTAGCAACATCAACTTCGATTGACCAATGATGCATATATTCATCGAAGACCCAAGGTTTTCGGCACTTGCAGGTCATGCCTGCCACTCCAATATAATCCCCAATCTTCCCAATTCTCTCCTTGCTGTGTCGAGTCCTCAGCATGCATCCACCACATTGATTTTGCCCTCAGGTTTTGCTCCGAGATCAAGGTCTGGCTCAACACTCGGTGGAGGTAGTTTGCATCCAAACTCCCTCTCTACCTTTGTACACATCCGCATTTCCTAACACGCAACGCCTTGACCTCCTCCTTCATACTCCCCTGCAACATCTCCCAAGTTTCGCTTTTTATACTGGTCCCTTTCGTCACGAAGCTCACACATTTCTATTGCAAGTTATTTTGTTCTCCTTTCAGACCTAATTCGCCACCGCCGCCCTTATTACCGCTGGCCCTTCTTTTCCCAGCTTTCCAAGTGTCGTGGGTGTAGCAGAACCTCGAAGCACGGTATCCGGCCCTTCTCCTAATGCGCCGACGCCACTGCCCTGCCTGGAGATAACATAGAACGCTGCTGCCGACCTAGAACGCTCCAGGTTGCAAGTCCGAAGTAGCGATCGGGAGGGCCCCATTTTACAAGAACCCGCCCAGGGTTTCCGTCACATTCACTTCATACCACCGAGTTAAACCCATTTTTCGCCACATTTAACCTAGGAATAACTGGACAGCATTCGATGCACTGCAAGCGCCAGAGCCCCAATTGACCAACAGGAGGAGCAGGAAATTTAGAACCCACCAGCCTTGCACTCGACAAGTCTGCATTCGGAAAAATTACCGTCAAGACGTCCTCCCCATCAGACACGGACGAGGCGGAGGCTGGCGCCGCCTGGCGCCCAGTCGACCCATACCTGGACACTCCGGATGGCAAGTCTCATGTCGAGGAGGACCAGTCGTGGAAGGCCGGCGCCGCTTCTGAAGGCTCAGGGACTTTGAGTCTGTTCTGGTCCCCCAATATTAGCATCTTGTCTGGCTTCCTCTTCATCCTTGCTCTGCTGGTAAGTAATAATATATTCTCCTTCACTTCTGGTAATAATCCGGATTCGCTTTCGCTTTACGCTTTGCGCTTTTTATTTAAACATCACGCTGGTCTCTCTTCCTTACGATTACTCTGCCCTCTGCCCCTTCCCATTACCACATCAGCCAACGATTCCCATTCCGTTGTGGATCCCAGCATCGTGGTCTTATGGTGTGGGTTGCCCAGCTTCGGGGTGGCGATTGACTGAGAAGGCCAGTGGGCAGCGAGCTTGTTTCCCGTCCCTTCCATGCGCAGTCTCACTGCGTTTTTGTGTCGATGGACCGACGCCAAGCGGCATCGAAGTCTGGGACTGCACCATCTCCGTACAAAGTAGTCGACGCCCTGCCAACCACAAAGCCGCCGAAGCAACCCCGCCCCTTGTCTTCGGTTCTGTTATTACACTTAGGAAGCTTCTAAGTCGACTTTGTTGGCTCTGCGAAGTAGCATTTGTAGTCTCGTTGTGTCCACTCGTACGACCCGTCCAAATGGGTCAAGCCCCGAGTCTGATGCAGCCATTGCGACCTCCTGGCACTCATTGATGCATCATAGACGGCTGGTTATGGAAACGAGCCGTTACTTCACGCCGGCCAATGTCCCGAAGCTTCGCCCCCATACTCCTGCTACCTGCCACACTCGAACATGACCTTTCCCCGCATCTAGCTCAGACCTGATCAATTGTTGGCTTCGAGATGTGTGTGTTCATGATTCCCCCAATTATCCACTTTTAACCACCCGAGCCGCGCTGCCCACAGCAAAGCCTTATATCATGCGACTATATCAGAGCTCCTGCCCCTCCATATTCTTCATCCGATAAATTCCTCCTTGTCTGGCATCATACCTGCGCAAAAGTCGTCGCTCAAGAAGCTTTACTGACCATCGCCGACCGCTACCTGTTCCCTGTACTAGACCTCACAGCTTTTACTCCAAGACGCCAGCCGCCTACGACTCTCGGCCAAATTATTCTCGTCGCAATTCTCCCTTGGACCCTTATTCCCTCCCCCTTCGCAGCTCCTCATCCAAGAGCCCGTGTGCGAAAATCCAGCGCCCTTCCCTACCGTTCTGCCGACCTCGAGACTTCTCACAATGGCCCTCGAAGCCGAAACTAAGAAGGTAGTCTCCCAATTCGAGCTCGCCGATCAAGATGTCAACCGCGCCACACTCGAGTTCCTCCGACAAATGGGTAAGTCGAAAGGATGGGCAAGATTGAGAGTTTGTTTTCTACAAATCTCACACATTTGATTCGATCGTGTCTTGAATGTGCATTGAAGCTGACTCCGTCCCCCCTACTAGACGAGGGGCTCAAGAAGGATGGTACAAGCTTGAGCCAGATCCCCACATTCGTCACCGGCGTGCCAGACGGGACCGAGAAGGTAAAAACCCTCCCCTCCCAGACGATCGCGAGAACTCTGGCAGTAGGAATGCTGATGCGAACCAATTTCTAATACCACCTTGTAATAGGGTCTCTATCTTGCCGTCGATCTTGGAGGCACAAATTTTCGAGTATGCTCGGTGCAGCTAAACGGTGACACTACTTTCAATCTTACCTATGATAAGGTTGCAATTCCCAAGGAATTGATGGTCGCCCAAACTGCCCGTGAGCTGTTTGCCTTCCTAGCCAAGCAGATTGAAGAATTCCTAAAGAAACATCATGAGGATCATTTCGCCGCCCAACTCGCGAAACGGAAGCCTGGCAATTCTCATGGAAAAGAGTCTTTTCGACTCGGCTTCACTTTCAGCTTCCCTGTAAACCAGATGGGAATCAATAAGGGCGAGCTTATCCGTTGGACCAAGGGCTTCGATATCCCCGATGCCGTGGGAAAAGATGTTTGCGCACTCCTCCAGGAGGAAATTGACAAGCTTGGACTTCCCGTCAAAGTTGCAGCCCTCGTCAACGATACCGTTGGCACGTTAATGGCCCGTTCGTACACCTCCACGGGGAGGGCCAAGTCGATACTGGGTGCTATCTTTGGGACAGGAACGAACGGAGCTTATATCGAAAAGCTCTCCAACATCAAGAAACCTCTTCAAGGCATCTACGACAAGTCGACGGGCGAGATGGTTGTCAACACGGAGTGGGGTTCTTTCGATAATCAGCTGAACGTGCTACCCACGACTCCGTGGGACAAGGCCCTGGACGAATCGACGGTTAACCCGGGCTTCCAGATGTTTGAGAAGCGGGTTTCCGGAATGTTCTTGGGCGAAATTGTGCGCCTTGCGATTGTTGACATGATGAAGAATGAACAGACCTCACTATTTCGAGACGCCAACTCCAGCTTCAATGACTGGAAATCCGTCACCACTGTCAGCCCTGAATCTGGCCTCCTGAAGCCGTGGGGACTTGACAGTGCCGTCATGTCTGTCGCGGCCTCCGATAACACGCCGGAGCTCTCCACCCTTCGGCAAGTACTGGAGGACACCTTGGAGGTTTTTGCGCCCTCCCTCGAGGATGCCCAAGCCTTCAAGGCCATAGCAAACGCTGTGGGCCGGCGCGCTGCTAGGCTATCTGCGGTTGCTATTGGTGCGATTGTGTTGCAGTCCGGAAAATTAAGCGACCCCAAGGAAGATGTTATTGACATTGGCGTGGATGGAAGTCTAGTCGAGCACTATCCCTTCTTCCGCGATATGATATACGATGGCTTGAGGGCTATTGACGGCATTGGCCCCAAGGGCGCAGAGCGTATCCGAATTGGGATTGCCAAAGATGGCAGTGGTGTAGGCGCCGCTCTCATTGCGCTGATGGCTGCTAATATGGAGAGCAATACAGACTTTGAGCAGCAGGACACACCAAAAGAGAAAGGTACGTGGCTCAACATTAGCAGCCATCCAGGCCCACGGCCCCATTAGTATCACACAGTATTAATGTTCAATAGTAGATTGAGGAATTTGCATACTGACAGGCTCTGTTGTTTTTCGTCTAGGGGAGGATTTGATTTCGAGCACTGCATTCACAGTAGCGGGCGTTGTTGGTATTGTTGCGCTTGCAACACTCTGGTTGGCGAGACGCCAAAGAGCATAGCATCATGAATGACTTGAGTTTTTCTTTTTATTTATTTATTTATTTTATGAATGAGACCAATGGGCATGGCACTTACTTATGATATTTCTAATTGCCTTTGCTTCTGCGTGTTTTGGTCTGGAGAGTATTGATTCCTATTATCCTGTTCATTCTGTATCAATGTGTTTCATCAGTATAAATATATTCATATACGTATGAAATCCAAAATATGTAGGTTCTCTAGATTGCTCAATTATAAATGTCACAAAGCTTTTAACAGGTCCCTCTTCACATACAAGTACACCCTGTGTCTTCACCACCAGGTCAACCGCCTTGGCGCAAAGCATTGTGTAGTGGGAAGATCGGAGACGCCTGGCGCCTTGTTTATCATGATACGTTGTTCTGTATATTATCTCTAAATTCAATCGTTTTCAGTCATAATACATCCTTCTGATGATCGTTTCCATCGCTTACTCTATGTCTAGATACATATATGGAAATAATATCACCGGTCGGGTCTTACCGGCCATCTAGCTTCCAAATGCCCCAGCAGGATAAGCCCTATCCCTCTTCTTCCTAGCGGTCGAGCTACTTCTAGAGCTTTGCCCCGAGCTACCTCCACTCGCGCGTCCACCTGCCTTTGGCGGGGGCGCCATGTCTGCGGGGAGGTCGTTCCACTCAGTCTCCGGTCTCTGGTTTTGGAATGACTGACCCGAGCCAGTTCTCGGGGGCGGCGGTGGGCCCCTCGGAGGCAAGTTGGCGAGTCTGACGGTCGCGCCAAGAGGCAACGGTTGCGCAATTGGCGGAGACGAGTTTGACGGTATCGAAGACGGAGCAGCTAGAGGGGATATGTCGCGACGAACGACCCAGGCCGAGTCCGGGCGGAGTTTGAAGTAGTAGCCCTCTACCGGCTTCGGATCCGACGTGAACCCCCTGGACTTGTACCACCTGAGTCCTTCTTCGTTTTCTGTCCAGGCGTGCGCATAGACGGCTTGGACGTTGAGGCTGGGATCGCGCCGTACCGTGGCGAGTACTTCGTCGAGGGCCGCGGTGGCGAGACCGAGCGCGCGATAGGGGGAGAGGAGGCAAAGAGATTCGATGTAGAGGACTTGATTCGCGTCTTCCGAAACATGGCCAGGCGCCCTGGCGCCAGCGGCTACGGTCGCATCGTCAATACGACAGACTATGCTGCCGACAACCTTTGACGACGAAGGTGACGAGGGAACATCATCGGACCAAGTTATGGCGCGAGAGAAGAGAGCGGACGCGGCGGGGTCGAGCATGCGTTGATAGAAGGTGTCAGGGTACGCCACGGGGAGGAGGAGGGAGTTGATGCGACGAAGGGCGGTGATGTCGTTGACGGAGATGGGCCGGATGGTCGCCTGGGGGTGGGGGTGGATGATGGGTGGGATGGTCGGGGCTGCGGCGGGAGTGACTGGCTGCGGAGGGGCGGATGATGATGACGGAGTGGACGGCGGCTTGGCGGCGGGGGGTTGCTGGGGAGGCTGCTTCGGCGCGGTCGAGGGAGGAGGAGCGTATTTGGGCTGCTTCTTTTGGTTCAGGAAAGAGAGGATGGACGACTGGGTCGTCTTGGCTGTTGGGAGAGACATGGTAGAGGCGGGCTATCGAATGAATTCGTTTTCACTCCGTAGCACGAGGGAAACGCAGGGTTCGCGACGAAGGAACGCGGGTGAGATGCGAGTGGCTGAAGGTGAGGAGAATAACAATAATAACAATTTGGGAAGGCAAACTGGAAGAAGCAGTGGGAATATAAAGTCTCAATTCAGTCTCCAATCTTGTTGCCCCTGAGACTTGAGACCGCAGCGCTAAGCGGGACGGGGAGTTTGGTTTGGCGCATGAAGCCACCGTCTATGGCTGAAATAGGTTCCACATGGGAGAGTTCATGCAAACAGACTCCCATGTGAGGATGCCAGATCGAAGAGGTGATTGTCGGTTTAGCAGGTTGTCCTTAGACTACGTTGCCCTATTAATACTGGTTAGCCTGGCACTCAAACCCGCCTAAGTACGAAGAACATTTATTGTGTATGACATACTATGTACACAGGTGTACGAAGTATACCTTGATGACTTGTCGAATTGATTTTGACATCCGATGTTCTTTTGGCAACATTTTGGTGCAACGACTATTACTCTTGTCTAAAGACCTGAACACAAATAATATTTATGGAGAACCACTGGTATTAACGCCTCTAAACATTTGCGACAAACTGCATTTGATGGTGTTTGGTGATCTTAAAGACCACTCTAGACGATATATGTTCATCCATGTGCCTGTCCGTCAAAACAACCAAACGCAACGCAATGGCAAGCTTATGAAGAGACTGAAGCACCTCCAGGTTACTTGGAGAATGTGGACGACAGACAGTCTTTGGCCGGGGTCGCCCTGGGGAAACGATGGAGAAGAAGACTGCTTGTGGTCACTTGAGTCATCCCACTCGGTCTTGATTGCGCGAAGGTTAAGGAATATTATGACAGTATCACTTCGTACGCCAAAGCTTCCTACCTTTTGTCAACGACAAAGGAGCAGGCCCAACCCATTTCTCCCTAACTAGTCATTCCATACACTGCCTGGATATTATCAGACCTAATGTCCATCCGTAACTCGTGAGAACGACCAGATAGAGCAGGGGGATGCACAGAGAAGGGGGGAAAACTTGAGCTGAAGGAGTTGGGCTGGAACCTGAGCTGATATGGTGCTTGAGACCATACTCAATCTATCCCAACTTTTTGCATAAGTTTGTACAGGGTGCGGCGTCAAACGATTAAGACTTCCGCAGGTCGCCGACAGTTGGGTCTCGGTGCCTGCATTTTAGCGTGCATCAACGGCCTGGTGAGTAGTGTACTTCTGCGTACGAAGTGGTGTTTAGTATTAGAGCTTGGTTGGGCCTGACCTGGCTCCTGCGGTGCAGGCAGCAGCAACTCAAATCCAATAGTCAAGCTGTTGGCTGAATCAAAATGCTCGAGTTTACATTCATCAATGAATTTATGTTAACAGTAGGTCTGAAGATTAAACCTTCCTCCTAAGGGTTCTTACCGCGCTCCTTCTATTCAAAAAGTGGGCGTTTATTAATACTTTGCAGGCTGCAGCAGGATGTAGCTCATCGACCACAGCTCATCAGTACGTACATCATCGATGGAGTCTCGCAATTCATCCCTGACAACAATTTGAATGTGAATGGACCCTCTCTTCCGGTGCTCTTCCGGATTTTGCCCGTCCTGATTCGACGCGGCTCTCTCCCTAATCATCCAAACTTGAACCTTGCAAAACCTCCCTCCACCCACCCGAATCAGAAATCCTGCTAGGCCTGGCCTTTGATTCTGATGAGCATCTAAACGCAAATGGTGACAGCTCTGATTTGATTTTTTTTTTCTTCCCTTTCTTCGTCGAACCCCCTGATCGAGCCAACAAGCAGGCCCCATAATTTAACGTCTTCCTCTTTCCAATCTCTTTCCTCCTTTCTCTCTATCCCCTTTTCCTCATTTTTATTGCATCATCGATCTCTTTGCGGGAGGGCGTTGCATATCCTCCATTGGTCCAGATCCAGAGGGCGTCGCTCGGCACAATTGGGTCTACACCCGACGACTGTGTCGGATCTCAGGCTGAAGGACTCGCCATCACAAGAGCCAACTCAAACATCCTTGTACAACACTTTTATTCATCAGCCCCGAATACAGCCATGGCTTCGTCCACTGGCAAAGCGGGACTTATCCCCCCTAGTGAAGATGGCGATGCCCTCGATCAAGTCGTGAGTACTATTTCCTCGAATCTCGTCCGATGAAAGCCCCTCGAAAACAGCACGAGATCAAACATGCCACGCCCCCTCCGGCAATGTTGGCGCCCTATCCAGCGACGCAGAACTCACGCACGTTTTGAAATGTGCTGCCGGCTGACACTTGTTCACCAATCCAGGCGCGTGCTGTCCTCGACGACATCCTTTACAACATCATCCAAGACCTCCTAAGCAAAACCCACATGGAAGAAAAACTTGCCCGGGCGACGACGGCCTCAATCCGTGTCGAGAAGCTCGCCGCAGACGCCGCGGACGGTAGCGGCGACTCGAAACCCGACGTACGAATCGAGACCGACGCAGCGATATACGAAGACGGTAAAGTGATGCTCAAAGGGAACCCGCTTAAGACGACCAAGGATATCCTATGCCCGCGTTGCCATCTCCCACGCCTCTTGTACCCGACCGATGGTAAAGGTGCGCGGAAGCCAGATCCTAGCGGCATTTATTGCAAGAAGCATCCTTATATCGACAAACCCGGCTACGACATTTACGGCCAAACTTGGGTTCCCCAGGGCCCAGGTAGAGGAAAGAAGAAGAAGGACATGGAGAAGAAGCTCGACGAGACGGGAGCACCCGAACAACGGCCTGCAAACGTGCTTTCGTTCCCGTCCGCCACATGCAGTAAATGCAAGCGCTGCATCCTCGTCACAAGGCTCAACAATCACATGGGTGCGTGTATTGGAAATAGTGGACGGAATGCTAGCAGGGCCGCTGCTCAAAAAATCAGCAACGGCAGTAATGCCAATAGCCAAGATGCAACGCCTCCTTCGAGCCAGAAAGGCACTCCAAGGCCCGGCTCGAGAGCGACGAGTCCAAAGAAGCGAGACGCCGAGCACGTGGAAGATGAAGAGGACTCTGAGACTAACCATAAGAAGAAGAAGCTGAAGCCGTCAGTGCCAGCCGTCAAGATTAAGATAAAACCGCCCAAGCCGTCTACGCTTGGCGGAAAGAAGGCCAGGCCAAGTTCCAACTTGAGCATTGAGCACAAGCTAGATGGCCCGCAGAAAAAGGGCTTGGACGCCGTGCCAGCAAAGAAGGCGAACCCTAAGGCACCCTCACCTCTGAAGAAGGGTAACAAGCTTATGAACAAGGCGCTTCTCTCGTCCCCGGCGAAGAATGGCAGGGATGCCGAGGTCGCGTCGGAATCGTCGGGCACGATGTCTTCCCCTCCCCGTTAGAAGCGTAATCATCTCCACCCAACAAACTTTGGTTCCTATTCACACGCACCCCGCTTGCGTCTCAGGGCACTCTTAAATCCACAAGGAGGCCCGGAGGCTCTTTCATTGTCAAATCCTTCCCCATTCAGACTTGATGGGATCCTCGTGGTCTATTCGTCGAAGGCCAACCTACCCAAAGGAACAAACGTTTGATTCCAAACAATCCATGCGACCTATCACTCTTATCTTTCGACGACGTCGACCCACGACGTTCTTCGAATGTTCCCGTAACTGCCCCCCAAAAATCTTGTTTTCCTTGGACGAACGGAGAAACAAACCCACTTCTACAGCTCCACGCCTAGGGTTCAACATTCTATATCATAAACTTTCTATTGCCTTTGGATGCTTTTGAAGCAGTCCAGACACAATTGTACCAATTCAGAAAAGAAAATGCCAGCACACGGCAGATTCGCAGTAAGGGCGGCTTATCCCTCGTTTGGCTTCCATGCATGCCTGTATCCTTTTTTCCTTGATCTTGGTTTAGGGTCCACTGGAGTGGTCATACATCCGGTCTTGCATCTACGTTTGCATCAGGGAAGGCGAAGGCGTTTTAGTGTTTAGAACAGTTGCTTTCCAGAAAGAAAATGAAGCATGGTGATTTCTACTTTACTGGCCCGTAGACAAAGTTAACTCTAGCTGTTCTCGGTGTTTCAGTTCTTCGTGTTCGTTATTTTGTGCTGCCCGCGAGCGATGTGCGTAGACGAAGGGGACCGTGATATCTTTAGAAGACTGACGAAATCGATCATCTAACTCCAAACTCCTTTACACTGGGAAAGCAAATAGGCCCACGAAGCCCGATTCCCGCTGGTCAGAAACCAAAGGCCCAAAGTTTATACCTCCAACCGCCCGCCCGCCTCGCCGGCATCTATACCCCGGTTACGGCATTCTCGGCGTCATCCACAACCCAGGCCCTCACGATCTTCACATCCTCCACCGGTCGGTCCTCAGCACCCGTCTTGACAAGTCCCAGCCTCTTCACGACGCCCATCCCGCTCTTGACCCTGCCGAAGACGGTGTGCTTCCCATCAAGCCAAGGCGTCGGCGCTAACGTGACGAAGAACTGCGACCCGTTCGTATTCTTCCCCGAGTTCGCCATGGAGAGGATGCCGGCGCCCGTGTGGCGCAGCTCGGGGAGGATCTCGTCCTCGAAGGGCTGACCCCAGATAGAGCTGCCGCCGCGGCCGGTGCCGGTGGGATCGCCGGCCTGGAACATGAAGTTGGGGATTATGCGGTGGATCGGGGTGTTGTTGTAGTAGCCGCGGCGGGCGAGGGAGGAGAAGTTTTCGCAGGTCTTGGGGGCATGGTCGGTGTAGAGCTCGAGCGTGAATGTGCCCTATTTATGGTGGGGGACGGAGGGGCAAGGTGCCTCGAGTTAGCTGTTGAGGTCAACAGTTGGATGCGAGTAAAGCGTACATCGGTGCGAGTGCTGGGCAAACGGGGGATTTTGGGTAATTATAGCTTACCATTGAGGTCTCTATGGCTACGATTGTCGTCATTTTTTCCCCGTCCCTTTAGACTTTTGCGGTAGTTTGTAGGGAGTACTGGGGTCTTGAGAATTCTCAATTGAAGCTTCACCAATTGATACTCTCGACGAGGGACGACGTTCAAGTCTCAATGCTGGATCAATTTGGAGTCCTTTAGTGGGTCACAGCGCTCTGGAATTCTGAAGTGAGCCTCGCTCTTACCTCATACAGCATTGCAGCACACTGACATTGAGAGCTGAAGAAGGCACATCTACTATCCGGACCAGTGTGTTGGTTCCAGTAATAGGCCAGGAATACGTAATAGTTGCGGCCAACCAGGCATCATTGTACCGAATCCGTTTGTCGTGGCTCTGTCGGACTCGAGCCAAACTTTAAACCAACCTGGGTCAAAGAACTTCCAACCATCGTTGATCTTCCATGTTCTCTCTCCAGCTCTTCACCATGATTGATCAATTGATTTGATTTCTCACTCTTATCGAAACCCTTTCTTATGCACTAGAGCACCTGTTACTTGAAATTGAAGTCTCAAGTTGTATCACGGTTTACTTACCTGTCCTTCCATCATCATCTCTGTCTTGGAATTCAATTTCACTGGTTGATGCAGAAGCACATTCATCTCTAGGGCCGCCCACCTCGCACTACAAGCTCATGCCTACATCAGTCTTAGAGCTTCCGTGACGGTGAGCCTGTAGCTCTCCTCCAGAGCACTTTGGATCTTGATCCTGTCCCTCTGGTATCGGTCTCTGGAGTCTTCGTAATAAGAGATCAAACGGTTCGCTACTACCGGACCAACATTACGTGTCTCTTTCTGAGGCTTCCCTCTCCGTTTGCTACCCATTCCAGCATCTTCCACACCCCGAGAATCTTCTCCCCACACTCTCCTCTCCCAAAACTGCTCTCTTCCTCCCGCCTACTGCTGAACAAGATCATCTACCGCGGCCATGTTCGTCTTTTCCGACGTTCGAGGCATGGCACATTCTTGCGCCTCCCTGTTTTGGCATTTCTGGGAAACACACAGCGAGTTCCTGCACGTCGAACTGAAGATCCTCGTCATCACCCTCACCATACTCTACGTCAGCTCTCATGCAACTCTTCATAGACCCGCTTCTGCACAACCACGGAAGAAGGGCAAGACACCCTCTTCTTATGGTGATGAAAACGAAGAGGATGACGAGAAGCCCAACAACATAGGCGGACTACAGCCCTCCGACGCCATCGTCTTCCCTATCATGGCTTCCGTCGCATTGGTGGGCATGTACTACGTCATTCAATATCTACGCAAAGCGGACCTCCTTAATCTTGTGATGCGTTGGTACACCTCTGTTGTCTCCGTCGGAAGCCTGGTCACGCTTTACAGCCACGGGTTGCAGCTCGCAACAAGCTTCGTATTCCCGCGATATTGGACGGCCAACGGCAGAGCTATCTATCGGGTCAACCAAGCCACCCGCCGCCATCACGTCTGGGAGCAGGGGAAGGCGGTCAATGATCAAGACACCGTCGAGATGCCTCTTGGTCCTCTTCCCTACGCCAAAGCCCCTTTCCGCCTGCCAGCGTCAGCTCAGAACTTTTTATGGGAGCTCCGGGGACTTTTCACTGAGAAATGGATCCTCGAGATTAAGGTTCACGGCATCCTTAGTGAAAAGATGCCGCTGCGTTTCCAACACGGTCTCGCTGCGTTCATGGCTGTGATGACGATTCTCGTCTACAACTTGACCAATTCTGCCCTGTTGTCCAACATACTAGGTCTTGCCTTTTGCTATGCGACGCAGCAGCTCTTGTCACCGACCAAATTTGTCACGGGGTTTCTCGTTCTGATAGGCTTGTTTGTGTACGACATTGTCATGGTATTTTACACGTACGTTTATCAAGACCGGCTTTCCCACTGTTAATAAGTAACTAACAACCCATTGCAGACCTTTCATGATAACGGTGGCTACCAAGGTCGACGCACCTGTCAAGTTGACGATACAGACTGGCTCCAAGTCGAATCTCTTAGGATTGGGAGACATTGTCATTCCAGGCATTATGGTTGCCCTCGCCCTTCGGTTCGATCTCTGGATGTACTACCAGCGAAAGGTGCGATATGTCGCCGTCGATGCGAAAACCGAATCCAGTGAAGAAAAGAAATCCGACCAGCTTACGCAACCCACAAACCCGAGGCGGATTGCCAAGAGAGCCCAATACACCGACGTGACCGGAACTTGGGGCGACTGGTTCTGGACTTCCAGGCTCGCATTCCCGTTCCGAACTTCGCCACAACCCCCGGAGATCGTTGCGTCCTCGTTTCCTAAGCCGTATTTCTACGCCTCACTCCTTGGCTATGCCATGGGTATGGGATTTACGATGACCATGCTCATGGTATTTAAACACGGACAGCCAGCTCTTCTTTATCTCGTTCCCGGTCTTATCGGATCTCTACTCCTTACCGGTCTCGTTCGAGGTGAGATTCGGGAAATGATGATATATAATGAGGATGGCAGCCTCGATGTGGAAGATGCCGAGGTTGAACTTGACCAGAACGGCAGGCTCCTTCGCATCATAGAAGCTAAAGAGGAGGAGAAAGGAAAGGAGAAAGGAGATGACAAAAAGGACAAGAGTAGCGGGGAAGAGAGGAAGGAGGGGGAGACGGTCAAAGGCAGCGAAGTGACCGAGGGCCATCATGAAAAGAAGAAGCAGCCCGACGTCCTGCTGATTCGAATCTCTGCGCCAACTATTGAAGCTGGGGACAACGCACGGTCAAAGATTCACGAGGAGTAGTCAAAAGAAGTTTGGGCGACGGGCTTTTTTTAATTGTACTTTTATAACATAGGTTTAGCGATCGGGGCAATTAGATTAAGAACGAACGACAACACGGTTAGACATGTATAGAAGAATCGTTTCCTTCCTATTTGAGGGGCCTACTAGTAAAAGGTATTTCCAAAGACGACCAGTGTGATATCCAACAATCAAATCTATGTATTTCTAGCCTGCATTGGTAGGTAATTCTCGGCGTCAGTTCAGTACCGACACCGTAAAGAACCATGATCCCCCACACCACGTAAAGGTTCAGGCTCAAGCAAGGGACCCTCCACAAGGTTTCGTCAAGACGTCCGGGATCCTCCTCTCCGGATGAGGAAGAGACTCGAGCGGCCCGCATCCTCCAGGTTTCATCGGGGTTGCCCAACAGTCGGCGTTAAGATGGGCGGCGTATAGACAAAAAAATCGATCCTCTGTATGTAAGAAAAGAAAAGAAGAAGAAAAAGAAAAAAAGTAATTGGGAGAATAGAAAAAGGGGTGGGGAGCCAAGGAAGATGAAAAAGGGACAAGAGTATGTCCTTTGTGTGTGCCAGGTTCACCAACGAGGAGTCCAACGACGAAAGGGGAATTCCACCAGGGTGCCTCGTATGGGGAGGCGGTCGGGGAACTCAGACCCTCTATCACAGGACAAGAGCTGATATCGCGGCAACAGTGTCAAACCTGGGAATACTATCGACCTGGGAGACTGTTGACCGCGGCTCGATTGTCGTGCGGCGCCATTCCGCAACCATGGCGTCTAGTCGATTGTCTCGGAATTTTGTAGAGAAAAATAAACTCGGGGAAACTCCCACTCCATTTTCCTTTCAAGACTGAGGAAAACGGAGCGGAGGTTTGTCATCTGGCGTTCCTTCGACCCTTCCCCTTTTCTTTTGTGCTCCTTCGGTCCCACGGGGAGAATTAAAGCGGTGCGAACTCGATCCTTCGACTGGTGGAGAGGCTCTACATCTCTCAAAACCTTTGCTCCGAACCGGAGCCTCGACGACATGTTCGGGGTCCGCGATTTCGCGTCGTTGCGCAGAAAATATCAGCAGACGGGAACGTCGCAAGGCCGCATCGAGGGCAAAAGGAGGGAAGTGAATTCATCTCGGGAACCAGGAGGCGATGCTCAAGCAGGTAGAGAGGTTCTCTCGTGGGACGAGGGAGTTGGAAGAAGTGAAGAAGAGGAAAAGAGGTGGCGGGCCTAGGCTGGACTCCGAGATACGCCGGGCCCTAGCATGATCTCGGAGGCGGCAGCGAGGCCGGCGTGGGAGACGGAGAATACCGGGCGTAAGAGCCGGGTGATAGATCTCAGGTCTCCCGCGTGTCCCAGGTCATTTCGGGAGATGCTAGAAGATGCAGTCTCTAGACGGGGACACGGAAGGGACAAAAAAGCAGATTGTCCGGTGGCTGCGGAGGGCAGCGGCAAAGTCTCAAGGATAACTCAACTTGAGAGGAGGGCAAGCTCTAGGCCATTCCGCCGTGGGGAGACTCGGGGCGGAGTGTTGCTGCCGGGTTGTCAAGGGAGGGCGAAAGCGATGCTAACACCAAGGGGGAGAGCATATCCCGTAGAGGGCTGCTGGTTGACTTTGGGGAGCCCGAATCCCAAATGGTCTCACAGATCTCCCGGCGCGGTGGTGCACGGGAGGCTTCAATTGGTGATGCAGGATTCTCCCGGGGGAAGACTCGGGGAGAATCTGCTGGGGAGAAAGAAGAGAGGGAGAGGAGAGATGGGACATGAGTGGGCACGGAATCGTGATTTTTATAGACAGTCACACACATGCTCAGCGCAATGATTTACGTTCAAAGCGTCGGCAAGGATCTATTGAACTGTATCTACTGCACCTGTGTGTCTTGCGTAGATGTGTAGATTAACTAGTTTAGATCGATCGGGGGTAACCTTGAAGCCAAACCCCCAATGTTGCACTGGATTCTCCAGAGGGATCATTTAATGGAATGATTTGCGGAGGCTCAAACAGAAAAACAGCCGATTCTCGAAGCTTCAATGCTTCCGAAGCACAGCCAAAGTCGCACTAAAACTTGTTCGTCCCCGCGCTTTGCTGCTTTTCTCCGTCACGGCCCGGAACATCTGAAACAAAGACCCTTGCGAGACGGCAGCTGCGCGACCCTTTCCCCCTTTACCTTTGTTTCACAGGCGAAACGAATCCTACTTTGGATTCCTTTGTATTGTTACTTCGTACTCGTTCAACGGAGCTTCCCAGAGAGTAGTTCCCGAGGAATTAAGCTCGAGATCCGAATTGATCAATTGAAGCCAGCCCCACAGCGCGCATCTCGACGTATGATCGAGCCAAGGCGCCCGTTCCCCCTCCCCAGTGCCTGAGTTCGCAAGTCCCTGCTAGTCCTATCTCCTTGGCCCCGGCTCTTGTACTTCGGCGACGGTATTTCCCCCCTGGGCGAAAGCATCCAATGCCATGGCTGGCAAGGGCCCAGCCGTGACTGTGTTGCAGTGGGTTGTTGACACGAGGGACCTTTTCCCTGAAGCGACCGAAACGAAACAGCTCGAGAAAGTCGTAAGTCCAATCTTCTCTTATCTTCCCTTGTTTTCTTGATACCCTTCGCCACTGTTTTAGTTCATGTAGCATTTAGAGTTTTAGGGTTTGGATGAGCCACGGAAAGACGAAAGAGGCATTTCGTTTGTCTTCCCCCAAACCCATCTCCCGATTCACATGCGCCCCCATCTCGCCCTAGGTCTCTCTTCGTCGAACCGCCTAGCCGTAGTTCCTTTCTCACCGCCGCTATCTCGGCTCTCAAACCCTCTCTAGGCATCCCGCTACCTCTCTCTCGTATCCGTGCCCGAGAGCACCGCAGCGCTGAAATACGTCTTCCCCCGAGACGCCAAGCTCTCTCTAGCCTCTTCCCTCCTCAAACGCCACGCCATCTCCCTTACAACCTCTCTTCCATGGCCCTCTTCCGAGGCAACCCGTGATCCCCGCGGGAAGCCCGTTTGCCTCGACTCCTCAGGCCGGGAACCCCTGGCCTTCAACGTCAGCCACCAGGATGGCCTTGTTGTGCTTTTCGGCATAGCCGGCTACGGCAGTCCCACCTCTTCATCTATCTCTGACTCGCGTTCACAGACGAGGAAAGTAGAGGTAGGCGTTGACGTTGTGAGTTGCGCCGAGCGACGGCAACGTGATCTCGAGACTATCCAACGAGCCGGGGGCTGGTCCGACTTCATTTCCGTGTATGAGTCCGTATTCTCGCCTCGTGAGCTGAGCTATCTTGGCGCCCTTGGGGCGCAGAGCTTGAGTGTTGACGAGAGGTTGAGGTATTTCTACGCCCTCTGGTGTCTTAAGGAGGCCTATGTTAAGATGACCGGCGAGGCGTTGCTTGCTGAGTGGATTTTGGCATTGGAGTTCCCCAGCTTTAAGCCACCTCCTCCTGCTGGCCAGGATCGAGACGGGAGGAACCTGCGGTGCGGGGAGGTTGCGCGGGACATTGAGGTTGTAAGAGACGGTAAAAGGGACCTTGGCGTGAGGATGGAATTGATGAGTTTGGGAAAGGATTATATGATTGGGGTTGCTGTGAGAACGCCTGATAGAGCAGAGGATGCTGTTGGGTTTGAGCTTGGGAATTACGAAATGGTGGATCTTGAGGATATACGCGCATATGCCGAAAGTCACCGGGCGTAGTTGTGAACGAAAGCAAAGAAGAAGCATTAAGCAGTTGCATGAGTGACGTCCATATATTGTTTTTCCGGTGCCCAGCAAATCTTGGTGGACTCTTGCTCGAATGTGGGAACCATCTTTGCAAGACATGAACTTGAGAGGAGTAGCTGTTAGTATCTGCCGTCCTTACTGACATCCTTGGTATGCTGCCTGGACCGACAGGAACACTTCGACGATGTCTTCCCACTCATCCTCTCTCTGGTAACCTACAAAGTCTCTCTCCGGACCGCTCCGCATTAACACAAAAGAAAAGAAGCTACGAGGGCAAAAAAACAAGGGGGGAGAGTAAAAAGAGCTTCCCCAAACCTTTCGACCGCATCCGATACACTACGACACGTCGGCGCAGCAAGCCTACTTCAACCAGGTAATCTCCCAAAATGAAAATCGGTCACGCCTAGAAAAATGCAAGCAGAGCTAAGGTGAACACGGCCAAAGTGTCATTTTCTATCATTATCCATCTCCTATACAAAATGGACAACTAATCCCAAGTTGCCTGCACCTCAAGACGTGGGGCTAAGAAGTTTCTCTACAGCCCATTTAACGGAAAAGTTCCTCAAATCAGAGTAATGCTGTCCGACGCCGACAAAGAGAACCGGTACGTTCGTCGCATGCACGAGACTGACGAGCGTTCCCACCATGTCGCCCACCGTGTCACATTTAGAGATGATGAACCCATCAAGAGTCCTGGATGATCCAAAAGCAGCGTTAAAGTTGCGAGCCTGCGCGACAGAGTCCGTCCCCACGAGCGCCTAATGGAAAGAGTTAGTTTCAGGCACGATATAATCCGTAAAGGGCATGAATGCTCACCTCTCCAACCATGAGAATCTTGTCAGGCTGGGCAAATTTCGCAAACTTTTCGAGCGAGGACATGAGCCGCTGGTCATTGTGCCGACGGCCCGCCGTGTCAATGAGCACAACGTCAAAGTCTTCGCTAGCCGCGTATGCGACGGCGTCCTTGGCGACGGCAGCGGCATCCTTGCCGTATCCTCTTTGGTAGAGTTCCACCTGCCCGCCCTCCCGGGACGTCAGTTCTTTGAGGTTACGGACGTGCACCGCCAATTGCTCTACTGCCCCAGATCTGAAGGTATCACCCGCAGCAATGAGGACCTTGTACTTGTTCTGCAAGAGAAAGAAGCAGATCTTGGACAGGTTGGTAGATTTCCCAACACCGTTGACTCCGACAATTGACATGACGTAAGGCCGGCGCGTCCTTCCAGAGAGCCTGGAAGGGTTAGTGACGGCGTCGATCTCGCGCAAAAGGTCTAGCGAAGATGTCGGAGTAAGCATCTTTGTCAAGGATGCCTCCATGGCGGATTTTATCCTAGCGTTGATGCCTGCAAATTGGAACAGGTGTGTTAGTTATTCCGATTGATAAAGAGTGACGTCCAAGTATGGATACGGGAAAAACTCACTCTCAAAACTGCCCGTCTTTACCCCGACTAACTCCTTCTCAACGCCTTCACAAAGTCGAACGGCCGCCTCTCTAGCCACATTCTTCTTCAAAAGATGATCTTCCATCCCCTTCATCGCCTTGTCCAAATCTTCCTTGGTCAGGACCTTTCCACCAACAACGTTTCGTAACATCCCGCTGATAGCGTTGAGTCCGGACCCAACGAGTCCACCAGAAGAACCTGACTTTGTGGCAGCGGCATTGGAACGCTCTTGAGCGGATTCTAGGAGGTCTTGCACTTCGTCGTCGAGGTCCTTCAACACGAACTGGCCCTTCGCAGTTTTGGCTCCCCAGGTTGACGAATCAACGTGTTCAACAGCCGAAGACCTCCCCACATCGCCGTCGGAGTCGCTTTGAGCATTGCTGGTCATCGAATAGTCGAGCTGAATATCATCATCCTCCGTAGCCATTCCATCAGCATCCCATTTCCTTCCCTTCTTCTGCGCCTTGGTGTTCTTGGCCTTGCGCCGCGGAGACTCATCCCCAGATGATGCTGCCGCCGAGGCGGCATGTTGGACCTTGCGCTGACGTCTCGACATCTTTCCAGCTAGGCCTTTCGGTACGACAAGATGGTTTGCGCTCGGGGTGGTCGGTCGCGATGCGCTGGGGCTCCCGACAGGGGAGTCTTCGGCCGCCGAAGTCTCGTTTTGAGTGACGTGACCTGCTTCTAGTTAGTATAATGGTAAGGGGCTATGGACTAAAGCGAGTCTAACTACGATGTATGAGACCTGGGGGAGCTGGAGGCTGTGCACCCCCCGACTCGAGGCCACCCGCATCTCCTTGTTCGACATGTATGCCTGACTTCTCCAAAGCTCGAACTTGCTGGTCATAGTAATCGTCGAAATTTCCGCACTTCACGAGGGTAGTATTTGGCTTCTTCAATTGTTCACCATAGAGACCGACAAAGATGGCTTTGATATTATCCACAAATTGGTCGACCCAGGAGAGGTGAAGAAGTGATCTATAGACAGCCTAGTATAGTGGGATTAGTTCCAGGCAGGCCTCACTATGTAAAGGGAAAATATTTGTGAGCTCGAAGAGGTGGGAGACTTACAACGAAGATGACGCCCAGCTCCTTGACCATTGCCCATTTTAGGGTGTGTTGCTCACTGTGGTACGGAGAGTTCGCTGTGGCAGACTGAGGATCCTTGGGCCCGGCCACTGACGCCTTCTCCTCTATGAATACATCCGAGATAAAATTATTGATAATAGAAGGGCTGATCGGAGCGTACGAGCGCGACCAAAGGACCACCCCGGAGGTGGTCAGAATCGTAAAGGTATCCAACATCGTTTCCGACCAGAGGGGTAGTGGCTTCGGTGTTCTTGTCTAGGGTGCCGCCGTCGAAGGAGCCTGTGTGTGATGAAAAGGCAAGGGAGGAAATTTGCGCGCGTCTCCCGAGTGAACCGCAGATGGGAGACTGATCCCTTGGGTGGTTGCAAGATTCTGTGGGTTCCAGATAAGTGGAAATAGGGGTCCCGCCGAGTAGCGACATTCAAATCTCCATGTTGGAATTTGGCTAGAAGTCGTTCGAAAGACAGCTTGCGAGCGGCGAATTTGGAAGGTGTGATGATTGGTTCGATAAGCAGCAGCCCACCACAGAGCAAGGATTAGCGCAGAGTATCGCATTTTGAACGCCACTTTCTCGCAGCTGCTGACACAAGCTGGCGCCGGGTTGACCGCTTGCGCAGGGAGACGCCACAGTGAAAACGCCACGTTTCCAGTTTCAATTCCAAGCAGACAGTATTATCACGTGGATTTCACACTCTAGCGACCCCTGCAGGACTGCACCGTGGCTTCGAGGGAGCAGGCAGAAAGCAAGAAGAGTTGGCGGCCAGTGACGCTTCAATAGGAGACAGATTCCAACCTCAAAATCCTAAGCTGGCAACCAGCCATCGCGAATCCCACCACGAAAACCAAGCCTATCGCCCGCGCTCCTCCGGACCCCATTCTCTCCCTCCAGAGTTATAATAATCGAGCGCCTTTCTGACCCTTGCCATCGCAAGCGAGGGTTCAGCGGCAAAGATGAACCCCCCGAGCTACGCCCACTCGCCCCCCCTTCACCACCCCGTCCCGCAACATGTATCGTCCGTTCCACAACTACGATCGCCTCCTCCACCGGTGCCCTCTCAGCCGCAGCAACCGGGCTATGGCAACCCCTACCAGCAGCAACCGCAGCACGGCGGCGCGACGGGGAACGCCTGGGGACAATACGGGCAGTTTATGAATGATCCCACGGCCCAGGTTGCAGCTCAGTTTGGACAGACGGCTTTTAAGCATGGGCAGGAATACCTCGAACAAAACGTGAGTTTTATGCTGGCGCGGTGGGCCTATGGTTGATAGGGAGACTCCGGTCAAGTGCGAGCTGAGATTATAAACTAACATATTAGTGTTAGGTCAACCGGTGGTTTAATTTCGCGACGCTTAAACCGTACTTCCAAGTCACGAACTCCTATGTGGTGAACAAACTGTTTCTGGTACTCTTCCCTTGGCGACATAAGCCTTGGTCACGGAAGCAGGCACCTGGTCCTAATGGCCAGGATGGGTGGTATCTTCCTCCCCGCGATGATATCAACAGCCCAGACATGTATATACCGGGTACGCTCTCCCTCCTACCGATTCTTCTATAGCGCGATGATGAAGGACTAGAGAGGCATGCGCTAACTGAACACGATAATAGTTATGGCTGTTGTTACTTATGTTCTTCTATCGACCCTGATCGCGGGCCTGCGAGGAGACTTCCAGCCAGAAGTACTAGGAAAGACGGCATCCACAGCGTTAGTAGTGGTCATCATAGAGATTCTGGTCCTAAAGCTTGGTTGTTACCTTCTTGGAATCTCGAACCAGTCACAGCTCCTCGACCTAATCGCATACTCGGGCTATAAATTCGTCGGCATGATCGTCACCATCGCCCTCGCTCAGCTAGCTAGCGGCGGTCAGGGCACCGGAGGATGGGTAGGCTGGCTTGTTTTCAGCTACACGTTCCTCGCCAACTCTCTCTTCTTGATGCGCTCTCTCAAGTATGTCCTTCTACCAGAGAGTTCCAGCAACAGTGGCGGGCCGATGCAGACGGATTCGCGGGCGAAGAGGAGCCAGAGGACCCAGTTTCTTTTTGCCTACTCTTATCTTGTACAGCTGGTCTTCATGTGGATGTTGACCCGGGCATAAAAAGTTTGAGTGGGGGAGGGGCATATTGGGATGGGAATCGGCAATTATACTCTGATGGCACCTTCAAATATTTCTGGTGGGTAGAATAAATAGCGGAGAAGTCGGTCGTGTACGAGGGGCGAGCATATCTGTCGGAACAGCGAGCGGTGTTCGGGTCCGAAACTCTTTTCTAATAGATTTTTCACCTTGGTCATGTACGAATACCTGAAGAAGAAGAGAAGATAGCACTGGGATAGATATTTAATGCTTCTGGATTTAGAATTGTGAAGTGGGAGGTGGAAGAGGCACAAAGCACCTTGCACAAGTCAGGATTCCGCGGGAGGCGCACTCGTCTGCCACCCAGGCTGACTTTTCGAAGGCTCGAGGTGGTGGCCATATGGCAGAAGCAAGACAGCCAGATATGTGTGCCCGATGATCCAAGAAGGGGCGCTGGCACAAATTAACGGAGTGGAGCGTATGAAGGTACAGTTCTGGGCGGGCTTCACGATTTGCCTAGAACGCTCCTCTGGCGCCCAAGGGTTGGCATATAGCTAGAGTAAAATTTGGGTAGACGCTGGAGATAGCTGCGAGCACAGCCCTCAGAGCGAGCTCGAGTAATTTCAGGACCTAGATATTAACGTGAGAGGGGTTGCTATAGTCATGGTCTCCCCCGTGCTAAGGAGCCCGCCGAAGTTATTGATACCCTCAGCCGCGCGGTTCGAAGACGATAGGTAACCGAGAAGGGTGAGCTATCGTGAGAGAATGCAACTGAAGCGTTGCTGGCTTCTAGGTTATGAGCTTCACCGTCTGCAACAAGGTTGTTCACTGCGTCTGGTGGGAAGTTTATATGGCAGTACTTTCTTCGATGAATCGCGCATTGACATTGAAGAACGCATCGAAGATTGAGTCGCCCATTTTGGCAAACCCCGGCTGGCCTGCTGCTTCTTTGCCCCGCTGTCTGGGTCTGACTAACTAAGCTCTTCTGATCTTCTATCCTCCCTTCTTCACAATATACAACCGCTGGGCCCGATGGATTTTTAACTCATACGTCCCCCCTCTTCTGTGAAAACATCCTCTTCAGCCTACGCTATATCCGTCCTTCTCCGCCATCTCCTCCCCAGCCGTTATCGACCATGGTGCCACGATTTTGCAGCTTGACAGCTGCCCAAGCACTTGGGCTGCTCAAGGATAACACCATTACGGTGGAGGAGTATGCCTTGTCTCTCTTGGACCGTATCAAGGAGCGTGACAGCATTGTCAAGGCATGGGCATACCTCGGTAAGCATTTCGTTCTTCTCGTTCCCACGTCACTCGGCGAAGATGTGTGCTGATTTCTACATCAGATCCCGCGTTCGTGCTCGGCCAAGCACGAACTCTAGACCAGATTCCCCACGACCAAAGGGGGCCGTTGCATGGACTGGCAGTAGGCGTCAAGGATATCATGAATACTAAAGGTATCGTATCGTAAAACATCAAGTGTTGGTAACGTAGCTTACGTGTGCATCCTAGATATGTCCACGCAGTTTGGTTCTCCTATTTACCAAGGACATCAGGCTGGCTTCGATTCATCCGCCGTCGCAATCCTGCGAGCTGCTGGGTCTCTCATCTTCGGTTCATGAGCCTCTCATCTTTCTTTTTTCTTTTTGCCGTAGTCTGACCTTCGCCCACAGGTAAAACAACCACGACCGAGTTCGCCGTGGCTAACTCAGGGCCCGAGACTGCTAACCCCCATGACCCGAATCGCACCCCGGGCAGCTCCTCGTGCAGATCGGCAGCAGCAATAGCCGACCTACAAGTACCGCTCAGCCTCGGAGCGCAGACCGGTGGGAGTATCATTCGCCCGGCATCTTTTACGGTGGTCTTCGCCATGAAGCCAACTTTCAACGCTATACCACTCGAAGGCCAAACGGTCTTCGCACCTACTTTTGTTACGTTCGGTTTCTTTGCTCACAGCATCGAGGATCTACAGCTACTTGCGAATGTCTTTGCTCTCCGAGATGACAAACCCCCCGAAGACACGCCACTGTAAGCAGTTTCAGTTTCTCTGATCATGACTCTCATGTGGTCCTTGGCAGGACCTGGCACAGTATCGGCCATGGAGAGGGCCGCTACCATTCTCCAAAACAGCGGCGTAAACGTTGAGGAAGCCTCCTTTCCATCCGGGGTCGCCGACGCCAAGACCCTGGAGCGAATACAGAAAGTTATCATCCTTGGTGAAGCTCAGGTCTCCTTCCTCAAGGAATATCAGGTTGGCAAGGCGGAATTGGCCGAGGGGATTCGCGACATTGTCGAGAACACCTCCAACATCAGTCACAAAGAGTGGATGGAAGCTTCTGATACGTACGCTAGCAAGCGGCGCATAATCAATAATCTAGCTGAGAACTACTCTGTTATCCTTATGCTAGCGCCGTGGACGAGGCTCCACTCGGGCTTGGCGATATGGGTAGTGCGACTTTCAATACTATGTGGATGGTGGGTGCTTCTGTTGCTTCTTCTATACATGGTTTGTTACTAACCCGCATAGGGGTTTCATATGCCTGTCATCAATATATCTCTAGAGGCGCCCAGATTCTGCGACCAGCTGCTCTTGAGGACCAGTAAGGTTCTTAGCGAGACTCTCATGGCCCAGGGTAGCTGGGAGGGACGCCTCTGATCCGCCGAGTTGACAAGATTACGCTAGGTCAGGGTACCGGTAGTAATTCAACTCTGTGGGCGGTCAAGTGATGACTTGGACTCGGGTATGCATCCTAGCCTAGAAGTGAGGAGTCTGGGAAGTCGCATTGGACCTGATATTAAATAGCTTCTTCGAAAAGCTACCCTAACTTGACCAAGGTGGATACCGTCCGGCTCATCGCCGGGTACTTTAAAAACTACGGCTTATATCACGCATGCTAATGCTCAAAGGGTCGCGCGGCTAGGGTTAATAGGGTTGTGCGGTGCCCGTTCGCGAGATAACCAAGCGGAATCCACGAATACCGAAGAGTGCGTATTTAAGGCTGCTGAAGAGTCTTGTAGGGCAACTAGATACATTGAAAGATCTATATCGGTCTCGACTCTCGATTACATTATGACACGCATCGCACAACCCTAACCCTAGAGGACCCCTACTTATCTTTTGTTGACCTAGGGTTAGGGTCGTCAACATCTATTTTTGTTCTTCTCTCTTCTTCTTCTTCTACTCCCTTAGTTGCCTCTCCCTGAGCAATTATACCTATTAATCCCGTCTATATCGATTGGGAAGGCGTTTTTCCCCTCGTGTTGTGACCTTAGGGACCCCCCCTCCCCCCCCCCCCCCCCCCCCCTTTTTTTTTTTTTTTTTTTTCTTTAGACTAAGAGCATATAATAGTTTTCTTAGAGTCTTATCAAGCTCAGTGTTTATTAGACTAGTATAGGTACCAGCTCACGGGATCATGTTAGTACTATTGGATTTACTAGAGAGGAAGCTCTTTTACTGAGTTAGAATACTTAACTTATTTTGACAAATTGTAAACTAACTTCTTTCCAGAAATCTTCTTAGCTCTAATCGCTTTGATGCCGTCAAGAACTCCTTCCAGCCCTGTGGATTGTACCAACAGCGGATGTTCACGAATTAGCCCCCGTTGGAGTAGATCCTGAACAGTTCTCGTCCACTTTACAGCAAACTCGTACGCTTCTGGATCCACCGGACGCCCATGCGGCGATGGCCACCCAATGTCCTTCCCGAGCATGGTCGGGCCTAGGACCCAATCTGCTTTTATGATCTTCCGCTTGGCAGCCACCGCCACTGGATACGGGTCGAGGGCCGTGTACTTGCCGCCCACCCGCCCGATGGCTCCATAGCATATCTCCATGCTCTCCGTCGTCGTGATGCAGTCGAGTGCGTAGAGCAATCCGTTGCGCGTATATGACCGGATGGTGGCTGCGCAGTCAGGAGTGTGATAGTCGAAGACTTCCTCGGCGCCGTAGGACCTGACTAGCTCAAAGCTGTGTGGGGAGCAAGTCGCCAATGGTAGGAAACCAGCCAATCGGAGGAGTTGGATGGCGGCGGTTCCGGTAGCAGTCGAGCCGCCATAGACGAGTACGGGGACGGGCTTTGGGCTGGGCGCTAGTGGGTATCCTGGGAGGCCAAGGCTTTTGAAGAGGGCCAGGCCGGCAGTCATGAAGCTGGTGCCAAGTGCGGAGCCCCTTTCAAAGCTTACGGTGTCGGGAAGTTTTATGACGCCAACGGGACGAGCCCCAACAAACTCCGCAAAGGCACCGAGAGAAGGCTCCAGTGGGTTCATGCCCATGAGAATGGCAAAAACTCGATCGCCGACGCGGATACCATTGCTGTGTTGAGAAGCCTCGGGCCCGATCTCTTCGACAACTCCAGCGACGTCGCATCCCAAAATTGCAGCTGGCGTCATATATGCCCCGACCATCTTGGCGTCGACCGGATTCACAGAGACGGCCATGGCCCGAATGAGGACAATGTCGTCCCTCACCTCTGGGACTGGAGCCTTGTGGGAAAGCTCCAAGTCACCCTGATGATTGCCCACGACGGCAGTTTGGATGCGATTCAAGCCATTCGAGCCTCCTCCCATTTTGCCGAGTACAAAGGCCGGGAAACTGTACTTGTACCCTGATGTCTGATCCCGGGAAGTGGGGCGTTAAGTCCGTATTTTCGGCCTTGGTTTCTAGTTAAAAACCACCGGAGTGTCGGCGTTGCCGAAATCGGAAACAATCAAACAGATAGGAGCTGGGCACTTGTGGTCTGTTCAAGGGGTTAGATGCAGTGGACAATGCATTTGGTGTACTTATAGCATGAAGATCGATTGCGACTAGGCCCAATAAACTTAGCCCAAAGCCACACATGATGGCGCCTGAGGATGTCATCTTACGCTGCTCGATGGTTGAAGTTCTTGCTATAGGAACCGAAAAGCCCCGAATAATACCGAAAAAGAATAAGTCATACGGCGTAGGAAATCCTCCGAGTTTATGAACACACAGGAACTGAATTCTAGCGAGAGTATCTACGTAACACTCTTTTGAAGAATCGAAAGTTCCAGGAACATAATGGGCAGGGTAGGATTGAGTGGGTACAAATATCATCCTCCTAGCGAAACTAGAGAGAGGAATCTACGTTGTATGCTAGGGGAGCGGGTATGTTACGACAGATGGCCCCTGGGTTTTAGTCAGTGCGGATTGTCAGTGTCTGGGTCCGTAGCCTCAATAGCCACAATTCTTATAATGTCAGTAGTCATGATGGGAAAGGTTGGATCTATTATTGTCAGTTTTGTCTCCGCGATATCTTCATGTTTTAAGCACTACCCTCCAGCTTGGCGAGTTACGACCGTGGTCAGTTCTTCATGTCGCGCCATCCGAGAAGGGTGTGTGTGCAGCGCGGGTAGATCTTCGAGACTTGGAGGCGGCCCGTCTGCCCCGTAAGGTTTAGTCAGGCACTATGAAAGATCAAGTACCCCTGCTAGTTCATGTTGTACCGGCTTTTGTGGCTTGAAGATTGTTAGATGTAGATCCATGATGCAGATATTTTACCCAAATCTACCACCTTTTCAAGGATCAATACCCCCCAATCAACGTTGTTGTGTCTCATCCCCATAACACCTTCCTTACTTCAGACCGGGATTGAAGATATGGAGAGCACTGACATTAAAGCGGTCCCGCGTAGGAGCAAAATCCCTCATGATAGATTGATTCAATGGTTCCATCAGAATCCTACCTATTCCACCATCCAAGAGGGCCACGCCCCTAACGTGCTCGTTGCTCGTAAGCACACGAACTGTACTCTGCCTTCAGCTGCCATGGCCACCCCTCAAACCCCATCTTTACGTCTAGAATCTAATGCCCCAACCAACCGTCTGCGGGAAGGGTCGCGAAATGCAACACACGTGACCGATGAAATAAGGAACACATATATTGGACCTGTCTCTTGCGCAGATCTCTGCATAATGTTATTTCCGCCTGGGTGCCAACCATAGAGATGACCTGGTATGCTTTCCTATCATGGCTTCGAACACATCTTCCGACGCTTTCCTCTCCATCCGAACTTCTTGTGATAGGTGCCGCTGCCAGAAACTCAAATGTCTCGTCCAGCTCTCCGCCGAAGCTCCGAATGGTAATGTATGCTGTCAGCGATGTGCCCGTGCTATGGTTCCCTGCGTGTTTAGCCGTCGGAGCAGGTCTCGGCGCACAAAGGTGGATTCGGATCGGAAGCGAAACTGGAGGAATGGTGCGGCGATCTACAATCCACAGGATCCTGGTGTCGTCACGGGGACCCGCCCAGCGAACCTATCGGATACTCAATATCCGAAGCCTATAGAAGAACATATCACGAGTATCACACCTCCGAGCGGCCTCATGACCCCCGGAACCGAGGTATTCTTCGACGGCAGCTGGAATCAACGTCCTCCGCAGGATACCTTGGCACTAAGGCGCATTCCGGCGACAAACGTCGCGGACGATCACTATCTGGAGTACACGTTCCCCGTGGATGACAGCATCAACGGCGTGCAGTTATTCTCTGATGAAACAACCTTTGTCAACCAGGTAGATTGGGAGCTGGACTTATCGGACCATGGGGTCCTGCCTCCCTCCTCATCATCCATAGAAGGGAACCAGAGCTCCACTGGATCCACCACTTTCGAAAATCACAATCTACTCTGGGAGCGCGGTACGTCTACGAGGATGCTTCTGGATCTGGCTTCTGACTTGCACGAAAGGTTGGAGGCACTGGAGAAGGGGACGTGGCAGCAGGAGGAGACCCACAATTCCCTGGACAACTATCCAATCGGAAGTGTATTACACCTGTCTCAGAAATTCACCAACCTCGCGAATGCACTACGGAGGGCTGGTCCGTCCGGCGAAGAGGCCGCGGCTTCGAGTCGAGGATCCCCAATGAACTGTGAGGCGGACTCCATCCTTGTGCCGGACTCCAAGAGATCCCGGAACGACTCCATAGCGACCGGAGGTCTTTCATCAAGCCCCGACCCGTCAGTTACCCTCATTCTGCTAAGCAGCTATATCACCCTTACTCGGATCTATACGATTGTCCTGGGGCATTTCCAGCGTCATCTTAACATACAGCCCAACGCCTGGGTACGAGCCCCACCACCGAGCCTGGACCCTGGGCCAACAGTATGTCTTGGCGAGCTTCCACTGATAGATGCGTCATATAGTCGGACACATACGGCTATCCGCATGGTGCTCGACTCGCTCGGACAGGCTGAAGATGCTTTGGGCCTTCACATCCCACAAATTCACTCTACTGACGATCATGAATCCTTACGAAGCGGCAGCGCTGATATCAAAGCCCTCTCCGACGTTCAAGTAAAGCCAGACCTCGCCATTGCGGTCATTCACAGGGAGGTATTAACTGGAGCCAGCAGTATCAAGGAAGAGCTTACTACACTGGGGAAGAAGGTCACGGATATCAAGGAGCTACTGCGCGAGAAGATGGGCCTGTAGTGTAAGCGAGTAAGCAAGGACAATTAGTGTGTCCGAGGATTGACGCATCGGTAGGGCTGAAGGGGAAATGATGTAACGAATCCACGTACGATATTTGCCATAAATTATAGATTGAACCTGTCTTACGTATAGGGATAGAGTGCTGCGTAGTTTAGTGCAGGATCCTTTTTAACCTGTAGTCTAGGAAGATGGAGAGATGGAGAATTAGAGTTGACCAGGATGCGGTGGTGGTGTGTGCAAGACCACAAAGTGGGGGGGACGGGAGGCCGAACCGGGATAAAAACATGGCGCCACCTGCGCTCCGCGAAGATCTGACTGGCGGACCATCCGATTGGCTGCTGGCGGGACTATGTAACGTATCGTTACACAGGGCAGGAACGGTTCTTCTCGGTTTTATCCAAATCCTGCTTAGTGCTACAGTCTCGCATGTATCTTGCATCTTGCATCTTGGATTGGTTTACCAACGGGGCGAGGGCGGTGATTTCAAATGATACGGTAGATTTATTGATCCGACTGTTTTCCCAGGGATACTAATACTACGCCCGCGGTGATAAGTTCCCATGTCCATCGCCCCCTATGGCAGTTGGAGCTGACCACTCGCACCGCCCCCAACAAATCGCGTCTCACCATCCGATCCTCCGAGGACCCCCTCAACAAACCCCGATTTGCCCGTACCGTTCGGGCCGGGCGCACTTGTTGGATTGCTCCACCAGGCAATCTTATGACGCACCTCAAAACGCCACTGTTTGCGACACTGCTGCCTAACCCCTTGGGCGAAGTTGATGAGGTAGCCAGTGTTCTTGTCCCGGAACGCCCCAGAGAGACCACCTTCTTCGTGCATTTTCTGGATTGCAACAGTATCCTGAATATTGACACCTTCCTCATTTTGTGACTTCTCATCGACAACATGCTGCGCTGCGCACACTAGCTCATCGCCACGGTAGAGCCTGGCAACTATGTGCGGAACCCAGCCGTCGGCGGCCGAGGAGATAATGCGCAGAAGCTGCAGCATGTACGGCCCGGCGGTGGCGCACAAGTAATAGGCATCCGTCATGATCTGCGGCCAGGCTAGGGCAGACCAACCCCGAACCATCCCCCCGCGGGCCCCGTCTTCCTCACGCACGCTCAGCTTGCGCTTCTCCGCGGTACCACTTGCTTCGTCCACAACTTCGAAAGCCAGATCCGCAGTAGCGGCGACCGGTCCCATGGGGAAAATGTAGTATACTGACGGCCCTAGCAGCGCAACATCCTCTGTTTTCGGAAGTCGTACATCGCGGTCACCTCCTAGTGAGTGTAGATGGATGGTCCCCTCCACGTAACCCGGGGCCCGGAAGCGCACGGTGGCAGTCGATAAGTCCGCGGCGATGCTGAATTCTGCCGTCGATAACTCTTCGCTGACGCTATCGCCACCTGAAGTCCATAGTCCGTGCACGCGACCACGGCTCTCGGGAGAGTTTCCCTCACTCGTAATAATAGACTCCGAAAAGTAGATTTCTTTACCCCACGTACTGCCGTCGGGCCATACTGCGTTGAGATCTACGTGAAAACCTCCCTCTTTGATGCCCCGGGCGTCGCGGTAGAAGGAAACCGACGTGGCTGATTCCGTATTGAAGGCGTCGAATTGCCACAGTTCCCAAGCCGAGTCATTGATCCGGTTGACCATCTTCGGAAAGAGGTTGGGAGAGCCGGGCACGAATGGATCGAGCGGCACAGGGCCAGTGACGACGGAGTCGGCTGCGATATAGGACACAAATGTGCTCGTCATGGTGTTAGTCCTGATGTCTTCTGGTAATCGTGGATGGAGTAAGCGGGAGAGCCAAAGACGGCGTTTGGTGACACAAATATGGTCTTTCTTATATCCTGTGACGAGGAAACCAACGAGAGAAAAGAAATGACACTCTAATGCCTTGAATTGAATCTCGTCGAATTTCGGACCTTTTCGGCAGTATTGTGTGTGTTGCTGACGCAGGATTCGAGGATATACGAAAAACCGCGGACCGAACTCTGCGCATTGGCTTCAGATATTTCCAGACAAATTATCGTGCAATTATTATTATGATAACTCTATGTAGAGGCTATCCCGCGCGCAGTCTAAGGCCCAGAATGATGTATCTATAGACAACAGAACATAATGTTTTTGAAGTGATGGTGGATTGGACGTATCTGCCACTGATGGCACCTATGACACCAGGGACAAATTTTGAGACTCCGCCAACGATGACGAAGAAGCGTAAACATGAGTCTAATTAGTAGTCTACTGCAAATCGTTTTCTCAAATACTCGCCGTACTTGTAAAATGATAATGGAACAGGAGCAAGCCCCAAACCAATGAATGCCAACAAGCTATTTCCCCATCCTAGTCCCAAATTCTGGTATAAGGGACTACCCGCAAGAGGCAAGAACGCTCCTGTAACGTTACGCAGCACGGTGTTGGCGGCGAGAGCAGAAGCGGCAGCATCCGACCCAAAGGCGTCCACGAGATAGAGTTGTGCGGGCATCATGACAAGGAAGGTGCTGAGGCCGATAATAAAGGTTCCGATTATGGGCACTATCCAGTGCGTGTGCTTGTCGGCACTCCAGCCGTAGATGAAAAAGCCGATAGGCATGAGGGGACTGCACCACATCATCAAGAGCAAGCGGAGCTCCGGCCGGGAAACTGTCCCTCCCCGTTGCTGGTGGAGGAGCTTGTCACTCAGCACGCCGAAGAGAACGACAGCGAGGAGCATCCCCAGACCCAGTCCAAGATACGAAAGTCCTGCGAGACCAGGGCGGAACCCGTAAGTTTCCTCGAATACAGCGGGAAAGGTTGTGAAGAGGAGGTATATAAGGCTGAACATAAAGGCAGTGTAGAGAGAGATGAGGAAGACAACGGGTGAGAATAGAAGCATCCTGGTCGGGCGTATAATGGCACGAGCTAGGAGCTCTGGTTGACTGAGGTCTTTGTTGTGCGTACGAGGCCGGAGTCGGTCGTTTCCGGTAGCCTTCCGTAGTCGCTTGGCCTCACGCTCGAGGAGAACGGGCTCATACGTTTCCCGCATTAATGGAATGGCTAGTAGAGAAATAACGCCAGCCTGGGGAAATCGAGATGCTGTTAGCCAAGTTGAAAACGCTCAAAAAATTTCACAAGTCTGGGGACTCACCAGGATCAGAACCAGCCAGAATGTCCAGCGCCAGCCAAGATATTCCGTGACAAAACCGCCAATAACAGGGCCGACTACCTATGTCGTGGGTGTCAGTGACCAATTTTCACCTTGCAAATACCACGTAAAGAAACAAGCACTCACCGGACCTAGAAGTGGGCCGAGGCCAAACAGTGCCATGGCCTTTCCACGCTCCTCTTGTTTGTGGAGGTCTGCAATAGTCCCACCTCCTATTGCCATTGGAGAGGCGGCGACACATCCAGTAATGAAACGAAAAACCAAGAACATGGCGGTGTTGGTGCTTAGTGCACAACCAATGGTGAAGGCACAATAGAGGCCGTTCCCGATATGGTAAATAACGAGTCTCCCGTAGATCTCGGACATGGGACTGATGAAAAGAGGGCCGAGGGCAAAACCCAGGATGTAGATAGTAACAGTTAGGGAAGCGACAACGCTGTCGGTAATGCCAAACTCTTTGCAGAGCGCATCAGCTCCCGGGGCAAATATCACCGCAGCTAGATTCCTGCTCCGTATTTGTCAAAGGGCTTATCCATAGAGAAAGGGGTCAAATTGTTGGTCAAAACCTACGAGTACAATGTGAATGCGCTGACGAGAAGGACGTGTATCAGCTTAGTTCCCGGCTTCCAGTTTCGAGGATGTGCTGGGTCGTCGGGGCCCTCCCAATCGACAACGTCCGACTCGTTAGCTTTCCCTTCTGTTTCGCTCTTCTCGACCATTCTAGATTCCAAGTCGTCTCTTTCGTGTTCGTTCGTCGGGACTGAACCAGCCCCAACTTCACTCAATGAAGCCATAGGAGTGTCAGATAAAACTATGTCCTCGGTGGGCTGTCTAACATCGAGTGGTATAATGACGGACGAGCTAGAGTGCGGGTGTTGCCAGGGAATGGTATGGCTGCGGCGGCGGGATTTGAATAGCATAAGTCAAGAAATGTAAAGGCGAAGAGATTCAAACGGATGGAGTTGGTATGCAGATTGTCTGTAGACTCTATGGAAATAAAGAGAAAATAAAAATACAAAAAAAAAAAAAAAAAAAAAACCGGAATATATATCGTGACTGCTACTCATGGTGATGTTACTAGCCGAGCTTGAGCAACTGCTTCCAGCCGGCTTTTGTCCATTTCCATCCAGGAATAAAGCTTCGATTACCTCCACCATACTTCGAAGCCCGGTTAATCCTCCGCACACCCGTCATCCGCTAACCAGCATCCTGGCCCAGGTCGGCGTTCCTCTTGACTTGTACCCGAGAGATCGGCTGGCGGACATTGTCGGTTCAATATCATGCCGCCAAGACGGAGGTCTGGCTGCTTAAATCCGATAGAGTACAATACAAAGGTATACAATAAGAGACTAAAATGGATGTGGTCAATCTAGTTACGCACTTACACGGGCAGTCCAGCCCAGCTTCATCAGCGCCCGCTCAGAAGCTCAACAGGCGCGATGAAGGGATGGTGATACGAAGGAATTACCAAAAAAACCCAAGAAATTTAAACGGGGTTGAATACGATTGCACATAGAAATGTCTTTCTTGCTTTGTGACCTTTCGGAGTTGGTTGATGTCGAATATACTGCTGGCAGGAGAGCCTATATGTTCTTTTGAGGGTAGGTCGGAGTACGGCTGTACGAATGAAATGAATGAATGAATACTGTTACAATTTATTCAGCTACGAGGGCATCGTATAAGGCGTACACCGTTGAATTTAGCGTATCCTCCCTGCGTCTCATGGACGCGACGCTACGGGTCGTCGTATTTCAGGGTGTGGCGCGGTTTCAACTTTGATGTTCCAAAGCTGCTAACCATTATACACAAATGAGGTATAGCATTAGACTGATGAATTGCCACGTAAGACTCGGAGCAAAGACTGTACGACCATCCGCGGATGTCCGAAACACGTGGCTGTCGTCTTAATAGGGGGATACTTAGCCTCCCACCGTGCCACCTCACCGTCCGCCGTAATCCCCGTCATCCCTTCCACCAAGACAGCTCCCTCAACCGACGGATTACTCCGTGTGTATAATTTTCCAGGGTCATCAAAAAAGGCATAAACCCTATCAATTCATATCATCAACAACGGCCATGCCAGACATCAATGTTCCTCCTGGCGCAATGATCCAAGACCCAGCCCAGGGATTTACAGCCACAACCACCCCCTCAAGCGAGAGGGAACGTCGACGCCCCCCACCTGTTGCCAGGCGCCGAGACAAGCCACAGTTGAGCTGTGACGAGTGTCGGAGGCGGAAGTGAGTGAACCGTGAACCCGCCGGCTTACACCACTTTTTCCCGAAAACCTACATACGTTACACTATCCCCGATGTGTAGAGTGATCGTCCGACGCCTCTGCTGCGGTCTTCGGTCACTCCCCCACCTTTACTCGGGACTCGGGCTGGCTAACTATGTTGACTTGGAGAGCTAATATGGGCTGGTAGGGTGCGATGCGACCGTCTGCACCCCTGCGCCAATTGCTCGAGTAGGGGACGAGGCTCTTCCTGTACCTACCCCTCCACCACCTCCCGTGCAACGGCTCTGGGACTGCCGCATGGGAGCAACTATGTGCAGGATCGCATCAACCAGCTCGAAAATCTGGTCATAACGCTTATGCAGCAGGGCGGTGCCAGTCCTCGAAGTCCCCTGTCAGACCACCCCCCGCCGGTCACTCCGGACGACAGCTCTCCTGGCCAGGCTATCCCGCCACCCGGAACCCAACACCAGCTTTGCGAAGCGACAGCCGGACCAGAGGGGCTGCACGACGTGCCGCCATCCCCATCTGACTATGGTAGTATCAGAATTCGGGAATCAGGTGTTAGTTTTGTCGGCAGCGCACACTGGGCCGCCGTACTCGACCGAATCACCGAACTCCGGGACCACTTCGAAAAGGAGGATGAGGCCCGCGCTCGGAGCTCCGACCCTCCCGTCCATCTGCAGGGCCATCTTCTCAGTCCCCAGCTACTGTATGGTTGTTCAATGCATACGTCCCTCACCTCCATTCTCGACGCGGTCCCACCTCGGACAGCTGTGGATAGACTAGTAGCTCGTTATTTCAACGACTTAGACATGGCTGCAGGTAAATCTTGTTAATCTTTGCCGAGCCTCCGAAAAACTCCGTTGTATTCCTTTTCTATTTCTAATTTTTTGTTCGCTTCTCCACTTGACTTACTACTGACCGGAGGCTAGGTGTTGTTCATCGGGACAAGTTCCTCCGAGAGGTATACCACCCACCCCTCTCACAGTTCTTTTTGCTTTATGCTCCGTTCCTGGGCTCGCTTTGCATCTATTGACTGGTTGCTGACTGCGAACCGCAGTATGACGAATTTTGGAAGCACCCACAATCCACACCAGTGATGTGGGTTGGCCTTCTATTCGGCATGATGTGCTTATCGACGCAATTCCATCAAGCTTTTCTTGCCCCTGCCAACGGTTTCCCTACGGGCAGGCGTTGTACACCGCAGTCACAGGCTCCTGGGGGCCAGACGGCTGTGGATACTTTCCGAGAAAAGATAATACAGTGCCTTAACCTCGGCCACTACGCAAAAGGTGGACCATACGTGCTGGAGACTTTGATTCTCTACTTCCTTGTCGAGGTCTTCACCCGCAAGGAGATGGAGGTTGGCATCTGGGTCCTGGTGGGCAATATAACTCAAATAGCTATACACATGGGATACCATCGGGATGCCACCCACTTTCCCAACATCTCCCCTTTCGTAGGAGAGCTGCGGAGGCGTGTCTGGGCAATGATTGTTCAACTGGACTTCAGCGTCTCGACGCAACTTGGCTTGCCCCGTCTGATCAAAGAAAGCCAAACGAATACCGCCGAGCCGCGGAACCTAGATGACTCCGACTTTGACGAGCATACGGCCGAGTTGCCCCCTTCTCGCCCGGAGACAGAGATAACCCCCATCCTGTACACTCTAGCGAAGCTCAGGATTCTCTCAGTTGGTGTAAAGGTTGCCGACTTGGCGACCAATCCCCGACCGTACTCCTACGAGATGGTCCTAGAGCTTGATAAGCAGATCAACGAGGCCCGAGATGCCTTGCCGTCCAGTATGAAGTGGGAAAGTCTTGCATCATCCCTCACCGTCTCGCCGCAGATTCTTATGCAGAGGATCTGGCTGGAGATGTTTACCCAGAGGCTGAAAATCGTCTTGCATAAGAAATTCCTGGCGCCATCAAGGCTTCGACAGGAGTATGCCTATTCTCGTTCCGCGTGTCTAACGGCTGCCGTAGGAATTCTAGAATTTCAACATCTCATTGACGAGGAGACCGAGGTGGACGGTCGGCTGTATCAAGTTCGCTGGAGGGTATCTACCGCGTGCACTCATGAGTTCCTTCTCGCCACCAGCGTGTTATGCTTCTATCTCCGAGTCCATTGCGCGGACCGGGAAGAACAGCGTGGCAGCCCAGGCGACGCCGAAGCCGCCCCAGTAAACAAAATTAAACAGCTACTGAGGGCATCCCTAGACATATGGCTGAGGTTAAGCGCTGAATCTACTGAAGCACGAAAGGCCACCGCTGCTCTTCAGTATGTTCTTGGAGATTCCAGGCTTGGGCCGGATTCTTCCGGATCTCGAGACATGATATTACCCGACTCCACCCCTATGCCTACAGCAGCGCCATGCTTTCCAGGTACGTTTCATTCTGGCTTCTCGATTCCCGACCGAGCTTGCCATTTTTGCACCGTTGAATGAATTGCTGGCTAACAGAGAGGAGAAGGATTTTTTGACTGGATGCCGGACTATCATTTCCCCAGTCTGGTGCCGGAACCATCAATGGAAGGGCAATTGTGGTCGAGGCCCACGCTAAATTTTAATGGTACTGTTGAATAATAAGAGATAAGTGAGTAGTTTGAACTAGAAGCTGGAATGATGATATTGGCTATCCTATCCTTACCTAGAATACTGGAATACACCGAGATTCCAAATAAAGAGAAGAGCGTTAGAGTCGTGAGCGATCCCCATGACATGGCTGGTTCCTTGTGAGTCTATCTATTGCTGAACAGCGCCAACCGGATTCCTGGTCATGTTTCTGTACGCCACAACTGCATCAATGTTACCACATGGGACAATTCAGAGACCGTCTGATCTTGCCAGGGGTATCAGCATGTTGGTGGGCAGCCCTTGGCTCTTGGTCTTCATGTAATCCGGCCGAACCATACGGCAATATCGCAGGATTTCGGTTCTTTTCGGCCTTGGTAGACTTCGGACTGAGACGTCCTCATTCTACTGAGCTCATTGGCTTCCAACTATTAGGAACGGAATTCCGATCTGGAATCACTTTGGACTTTTATGGCCCTTTGAGCCTGAACCTCATCGTCCCTGTCGTCTAAGAGTGGTTGTCAATTTGCCCACAGTTTGGAGTTTCTCCAAAGACCCTATCTTGTTGTGTCTGGTACCACTTAAAATCTTCTTTTGTTGTTCGGTCTTAACCGGAAAACACCACCGACATGCCGTCTCATGAACCCATCGCAATCATCGGAAGTGCTTGCCGCTTTCCAGGAGGCTCGGACACTCCCTCGAAGCTCTGGGAGCTTCTCCGAGAGCCGCGAGATCTCCTGCGCAAGGTCCCAGGGGGTCGCCGCTTTGACCCCAATGCGTTCTTCAATGAGAACGCTGAACACCATGGAACCACCAATGTCCAGTCGTCTTACTTTCTGGATGAAGATCCGGCGGAATTTGATAACGGCTTCTTCAACATCCAGCCTGCTGAGAGCGAAGCCATTGATCCTCAGCAGAGGATGCTGATGGAAACCGTCTACGACTCACTCTGCGCAGCTGGCCAAACGATCGAGGGACTGCGTGGATCGTCTACTGCGGTGATGGTCGGTATTATGGGGGATGACTGGGGTGGCGCGTTTTACAAAGATTGGGAGACTCTTCCCCAGTACAGCGCCACCGGGGTGGCTCGAAGCATTTTGTCAAACCGCATTTCTTATTTCTTCGATTGGCATGGGCCCTCGATCACTCTCGATACTGCTTGTTCATCGAGCTTGGTTGCTGTCCATTTGGCCGTCCAGGCCTTGCGCAACAACGAATGTCGAGTGGCTATCGCAGCGGGGGCGAATCTTCTCCTAAGTCCAGGTAAGTTTGTGTCCTCCATATGCACCCTCTCTGGGAGTAAAATGCACACGGGTTCTTTCTCTGACCACTCCACATTCCGCAGCAACCTATATCGCTGAAAGCAATTTGCACATGTTGTCTCCCTCCGGAAGGTCCAAGATGTGGGACAAAGATGTTGACGGGTATGGTCGAGGAGAGGGCATCGCAGCCGTCGTCTTAAAGCCCCTGAGCGCGGCATTGAAGGACGGAGATCACATCGACTGCGTCATCCGCGCCACTGGAGTCAACCAAGATGGGAAGACAGCAGGGTTGACCATGCCCAGTTCAGCGGCTCAAGCGGCTCTCATCCGAGACACATATGCTCGAGCTGGCTTGAACATTGACAAGCCGGAGGATCGCCCGCAATTCTTCCATGCTCATGGCACTGGAACTCCGGCCGGTGATCCTCAGGAAGCGGAGGCTATTTTCCAGGCTTTTCACTCGAAGGGAGCATCGGACAAGCTCTACGTTGGTTCCATCAAGACAGTTATTGGACACACCGAGGGCACTGCGGGATTGGCCAGTCTCATGGGCACCTCGCTGGCTCTTCAACATGGAATCATCCCACCAAATATGCACTTCAGCCATCTGAACCCAAGACTCGTACCCTTCTATGGGAACCTAGAGGTGCCAACGTCCCCGAAGACCTGGCCCAAACTTCTTCCCGGTCAACCTCGACGGGCTAGTATTAACAGCTTCGGTAAGTGGCACATTGTATTGTATTGGAACTAGTTACTAACTCGAGAGCCTAGGATTCGGCGGCACCAATGCTCACGCCATCGTGGAGGCTTACCAGCCAGACCTCATTGCACCTTCGGCTGGTCCATTGTTCACGCCCTTAACCATTTCCGCGGCTAACGAAAGGTCTCTCCGCGACGTTCTATTGTCATACTCTGACTACCTTACCTCCAACCCACAAGTCTCCCTTCGGGACTTCGCCTATACCCTCCAAGAAAGACGGTCTACCCTTGCTTATCGTGTGGCAATCCCAGCCTCAACGAACGAGGAAGCCAGGCAGAAGATCGAGGCCGTCTTAGCCAGCGACAACTCTCCCGAGCTCAGCACGCGTCACTTCAGTATCGCTTCTCCTCGCGTCTTGGGTGTGTTTACAGGACAGGGAGCCCAGTGGCCGCGCATGGGCGCTAAGCTGGCGGAGAGTTCCCCCTTCGTGGCAAAGCGATTGGATGAACTAGACGCTGTTCTGGCCTCATTGCCACAGGGCGACCGGCCCGACTGGTCGCTTCGGGAGCAGTTATTCGCAGACGCTGCAACGTCGAGGATCACGGAAGCTGCCCTGTCGCAGCCTCTCTGCACGGCGGTGCAGATTATCCTCGTGGATCTATTGCACTTGGCAAACATCAAACTCCATGCTGTGGTCGGCCATTCGTCCGGTAAGTAAATATACTCATTCTTCGACGATAAATCGGTGCTAATAGGGGTGGTTTCTTCTTCGTGTAGGTGAGATTGCGGCGGCCTACGCTGCGGGTTTGTTGTCGGCCAGCGCTGCCATCCGTATTGCGTTCTACCGTGGCCTATACGCCAAGCTTGCGAAGTCGCCCAACGGCGCAAAAGGTGCCATGATGGCTGTTGGAACATCGATCGAGGATGCGTCCGAATTTTGTCAATTGGACGCCTTCGAAGGCAGAATCCGTGTCGCCGCCCACAACTCTTCGTCGAGCGTCACTCTCTCTGGTGACGAAGACGCCATAGATGAAGCCATCAGTATCTTCCAGGACGAGGGGAAGTTCGTCCGCCGACTCAGAGTCGACACGGCATACCACTCTAGGCATATGATTCCATGCTCGGCACCGTATCTTACCTCCATCGAAGCTATGGACGATGCCTCCTCCAAAACCGCTAGCGGCGGGCCGACGTGGTATTCAAGTGTCCACGACGGACTAGTCATGTCTGAAGAGGACATGGATCCTAAATATTGGGCCGACAATATGGTGAATGCTGTCCTCTTCGCACCAGCAGTGATGGCTGCTGTTAGCCAAAGCGGCCCCTTTGACCTAGCCTTGGAGATCGGACCTCATCCTGCTCTTAAAGGTCCATGCCTGGATACCCTCGAAGAGGTCCAAGGAGAACGAATCCCATACTCTGGAATACTCTCGAGGGGAAAAGACGACATAACTGAAGTGTCATCTGCTCTCGGTCTCGTCTGGTCTTGTCTTGGGGCAGGCTCTGTCTCCTTTGAGAGCTTCGAGAAGGCCGTCTCTGGTAAACCGAGCGGCCGGCGCATGGTGCCGAATCTTCCGAAGTATCCATTTGATCATTCGAAAGCCTTCTGGTCTATGTCTCGCATATCTGGCGCTCATACGATTGCCCGTGACCCTCCACACCCAGTCCTAGGTCGACGTTGTGTGGACCGAGAAACTTCGCACGAAATCCAATGGCGGAACATTCTGCGGCCCAAGGAGATCTCCTGGCTTAAGGGTCACAAAATTCAAGGGCAGATCGTTTTTCCTGCTGCTGGCTTCGTAGCTATGGTTGTCGAAGCCATGAAAGCGGTTGCTGCCGATTCTGCCATTGCCCTCATCACCATCGAAAATCTCATCATCAATCGAGCCATGGCCTTCAGCGATGAAAACTCTAGTGTTGAGACCCTCTTCAGCGTCAAAGTGGTTCATTCAGATAATGACAGCATCTCGGCCAAATTCTCCTGCTCCTCCGGAGCTTCCATGGAACCCAATGGATTGATGGTCGTCAATATCGAGGGCGAAGTGACTGTATCACTAGCGACACCAGACGCTGATAGCCTCCCATTTACTGGAACCGACAACTTTAATATGAGTGAAATCGAAATTGATCGCTTCTACGATCAGTTGACCAAACTTCGGTACGAGTACTCTCCACCTTTCCGTGGCATGCTCTCGATCAAGCGCAAGAACGGCTACGCCACGGGCACACTCGAGGACCAGTCAGGATCAGACTGGGAGGATCGACTTCTAATTCACCCAGGGATGCTCGATACTGCTATACAGGCTTCTCTGGCGGCCTTTAGCTGCCCAGGAGATGGAAGAATGTGGGGGATGTACATCCCGGTCGGAATCCAGTCAATTACAATCAACCCCCTTTTCACCTCTCTAGGAATAGGAAAGCAGGAGACTCTTCCCTGGGAAGCTTTCGTCAGAGACTTTAGAGAGGCCCGGAGCACCATCGACATTAATATCTTCTCTCAAGATAATGCCCATACTTTCATTCGTCTTGAAGGGATGGAGTTGATGCCGTTTACCGCCGCTCGACCCGAAGACGACACTGTTCTCTTCTCGAGCTTCAGTTACAAGATTGATAGGCCTGACGGTGTAATTGCAGCTGCCAATGATGGACTCACAGCAGAAGACGTTGAAAAGGCAATCAACGCGGAGAGGGTCGCCTTCTACTACCTTCGCAACTTGGTTGAGACTATTACTCCGCAGCAGAAGGCCAACACCCTGCCCCATTATCAGCATTTGCTCAACTGGGCGAGTCACGCCGTTGACCTTGTCAAAAGAGGAAAGAATGCCTTCCTTCCTTCAAGCTGCCAGCTCGATACAGAAGAGCAGATCAATGCTCTGTTGGACAAGTATGTGAAAATCATAAGGCCTGCCGCAACTAATGGATTCAACTAACACACCTCGTGTAATCAGAGACCGCGACAGAGCCGACGTTCGGCTTATAGAATCCGTGGGAAAGAACTTGCCGGAAGTCATCCGTACGGGATCTGGAATTCTGGAACACATGGCTGAGGATGGCTTGTTCGACTTCTATGATGGCGGCTTGGGTCTTGACATTGCAAATCGTCACTTCGCGCGCATGATAGCCCAGGTCGCACACCGCTACCCACGCATGAAAATATTCGAGATTGGTATGTCGATGATACACTTTCCTTCTTTTACTTCTATTACTCGCGCGATACTGATGTGGGACATTTAGGTGCTGGGACTGGCGGATCCACGAGGAACATTCTCCCTCTTCTTGGGCCTTCGTTCTCCAGTTACACGTATACTGACATCTCCAGCGGATTCTTCGAGGCTGCTCAGAATCGATTTAGTGATTTTAGCAACCGCATGGATTTCAAAACTTTCGACATGGATCGGTCTCCAGCTTCTCAAGGTTTCGTCGAGGGGTCCTATGATCTGGTTCTTGCTTCCAACGTCCTTCACGCCACAGGGAAGCTGGAGGAGATGCTCATAAACGTACGCCAACTCCTTAAGCCTGGTGGCTACCTTATCACTCTGGAACTTACTAGCAACGATGCCCTTCGTGTTGGTTTGCCGATGGGAAGTCTGCCAGGATGGTGGGTTGGTGCTGAGAGTGGGCGACCTCGGGGGCCGGCCTTGACCCTGCCGCAATGGGATTCTTTGCTGCGGAAATGCGGTTTTGGTGGAATCGAAACAAGCACACCCCCTCTCCACAAACTCTATGTGTCCACCGTCTTTGTTGCACAAGCAATCGATGACCGCGTTAGCCTTCTCCGGTCGCCTTTACTCTCCATCTCTCACCTTCCACCAACGGAGACTTCACAGCTTGTTATAGTGGGCGGCGAGACTATTGAAGTTCACCTCATCGCAGAACAAGTCGGCAGCCTTCTAGCTCCGAGATTCAGCAACATCGAACGGGTCAGCGCTCTTGAAAGCCTACTGGACACGGAATCGTTCACCCCAGGATGCACGGTCATATCACTTACAGAGCTCGACGAGCCCTTTTTCAAAGCAATCACGCCGGGGAAATTCGACGCCATCAAGGCGCTGTGGCGCCAGGCCAGCACAATCCTGTGGGTTACACGCGGTGCTAGGGCAGAGGAACCATACTCGTTCATGACCGTCGGTGTTGGGAGGGTTATGAGGTTCGAGTACCCGAACATTTCATTGCAGATGCTTGATCTTGATAAGCTCGAGGGCAAGACTGCCCATGTTCTCGCAGAGGAGCTGCTGCGGCTTGAGGTTTTGAAGAAGTGGGAGAAGGACGCTCGAGGCCAAGATCTTCTTTGGTCTACCGAGCCGGAGGTATTCCTAGAGTCAGGCACTCGTATAATCCCGCGTCTCTACCAGTGCGAGTCGGCAAATGATCGATACAACTCTTCACGCCGAACGATAACAAAGGCGGTCAATCCCCGGGAGTCTCACATTCTGTTCGCCAGTGAGGGCCTGTCATACGATCTCCAATACCCATCGCCTCTTCACCTCTCAAGGCCACCTGTCCCCGACGCTGGAGTCAGAGTTATTGACGTCTCTCACTTTTTGCTGCAAACCATCAATATAGCCTCCGTCGGAAATCTGATGATGGGCGTCGGTACTGATGAAGCTACTGGCGAGGAGTTGCTTGTTTTGACAGATGCCATGGAGTCGCGAGCCACGGTGTTGGCCGACTGGGCCATGCCTCTGGAAGGTGATGATCCGGTTGAAGCCCTCGCAGGTGTCGCTGCTGAGCTCTTTGCTTCCAACATTCTGGAGTTTGTGCCCCGTGGAAGTACCATCGTTATCCATGAGCCAGATTTCTTGATCGGCTCAGCTCTGGAGCGGCAGTCCCAGCGGTATTCAGTTCACGTCGTGATCACAACTTCGGTCAAGAGCCAACAGGCCAAAGGCTGGCGCTACATTCAGGAGAATGTGTCTCAGAGACTTATAAGGAGAGCTTTGCCTACGTCACTCTCCGTGTTTATCGACCTTTCTCAAGCTCCCGGCTCGGCATCGGTTGGCCGCGTTATCGGCAAGTGCATACCCCAATCGTGTATCACTTATAGCTCCAAACATTTCCTTGGCACGACGACAGGACTCCGTGCCGGATTCTCGGCCAGCAAAGTGGCTGAACTGCTTAGGGAAGCAAGGCTTGCGGCTCGCGAGGTAAAAGACCAGAGCCAAGCTGGGAATATACACATCAGCAAACTGCAAGATATCTCGAACCTCTCAATACACGAGGCGCCCCTCACAGTCGTCGACTGCTCTGGTTCCGAATCTGCCGTTTCTGCCAGCATTCAGCCCATTGATACCGGAGTGATATTCCGAGCCGACAAGACGTATTTCTTGGTCGGCCTGGCAGGTGAGGTAGGGCAATCGTTATGCCAATGGATGGTGGAGCATGGTGCAAGGCATATTGCCTTGGCCAGTCGACGGCCAAAGGTGCACCCCGAATTCATCCGGTCCATGGAGGCAGTGGGAGCTACTGTCAAGGTCTTACCTCTGTAAGTGATTACAATTTGTCCCTGTATACCCTGGGTGGCCGTTATTCCCTCTCCCCTGCTTGAGCTAACGAGTTTTGAAAGTGATATTACCAACCGCGAGTCTCTGCACGAGTGTTACGAAGATATAGCCGGGGCAATGCCCCCTGTTGCGGGCGTAGCCAACGGAGCCATGGTCCTAGAAGACTCTCTATTCGAGGGTATGTCCTTTGAGACGCTCACCAAGGTGTTGGACCCCAAAGTCACCGGCACCATACTTCTGGACGAGCTCTTCAGAAATGATCCCTTAGAGTTCTTCATCGTCTTCTCTTCCATTACCGGTATCGTCGGCAATAGCGGCCAGAGCAATTATATCGCCGCCAACATGTTCATGACAGCTCTCGCCGCTCAGCGTAGGAAGCGAGGCGTCCCCGGTTCCGCCATTGCCATCAGCTCGCTCATGGGCATCGGCTATGTCGAACGATCGGATGATTTGACCGGCGATTACTTCGAGAAAGTCGGGTACAGGAATATCTCGGAGCAGGACTTGCATCAGTTATTCGCTGAAGCAATTCTCGTTGGTCGACCGGGCTGTTCTGAAACCCCGGAACTCGTAACGGGATTGCAGCCGATGTACACAGACACCCAGTCCAAGGCACAGTTCCGAGATGATATCAAATTCAACCACTTCATCATGGAACGTCCGGGCACTCAGACCTACGCCGGAAAACTCTCGAGCGTGCCTGTGCGAGTCCAGCTGGTGGAAGCCAAGTCGAAGGCTGAGGCTAGTGCCATCATCAAAGGTAAGAATAATAAACATTTCAATTCCCCTCATTCCCGTTCCTCTTGTGGTTACACCGCTGACTTTGCAACAGATTCTTTTATTGTACGGCTGAAGCGTACCCTGATGATCTCCCAAGAAGATTCCGTCAGCGAAAGGGTGTCCCTCATTGAGCAAGGCGTCGACTCGCTCATGGCGGTTGAGGTTCGCTCGTGGTTCCTGAAGGAGCTGGAAGTGGATATACCCGTCCTCAAGATTCTAGGCGGTAGCACAATTACGGATCTCCTTGAGGAGGCTATGGAGTGCATGCCAACGTCCGTTGTAGATCTGGGCGCCCTTCCGGACAAAGCGAAACCTACCGAACAAACACAGGAGCCATCTCCTGCCTCAAAGGCTCAATCAAGCTCTCATGATGGTTCTTCTGAGACACATAGCTCACCAGGAGACAGATCACTCCAGTCAGTCACGCCACTAGAGACACCCGCTAGTGATATTGAGGAATCTGCGTTTGACGGCGAGGATAAGGTTTTCCAATTTGGCCAGGAGAAAAGCCCCTTGGAGGATTCACCCTCTCCTTTCTTGGAGTCGGCCACAGAGACACTAGCCACCGAAGCGGAGCAGCATCCAGAAGCAGATCTTCTTGATGGCCTTTCGAAACTTGCTCAGAAAAGCTCAGGTCTCGAGGAACTTGCCAAAAAGGAAGTATGTACTCCAATGTCATACGGCCAAGCACGATTCTGGTTCCTGAATGACTACCTCGAGGATAAAAGGAGCTTTGACATGACGGTAATGTTCAAACTAACCGGAAAGATGGATGTAGCCCGTCTCGGAAAGGCTGTCCAGATTCTCGCGCAGCGTCACGAAGCACTGAGAACTCGATTTTTCTGGTCTGGAGAAGGCGAGCAACGGATTGCCATGCAAGGTGTCTTGCCTGTATCACCCATCCATTTAGTTCACAAGCGTCTTCAGTCCGAGGCTGATGCAAAGGAGGAACTAAAGAGGATGCACGACCATGTATGGGATCTTGGCAGCTGGGAGGCAGCAAAGATCCATCTCCTCTCCGTCTCGGATAACGTCCACTTCTTGCTTGTTGGTGGTCATCATATATCTTGGGATGGTTACAGCTTCACCGTCTTATTCGTCGACCTCGAGGCAGCATATTCTGGAAAGCCATTGCCGCCTCTTGGTCCTGAAAGCCAATATCCCGCCTTCGCTCGATGGCAGAGGGAGCAGTATGAGATCGGTGCAATGAAGAAGGCACTCGACTCATACCATAAAATTATTCCCGATCCCGATGTCCCTGCCATTCCTCTCTTCCCGTTTGCCAGGTCCCCAACGCGGCCCGTCCTCGACCACTTTTGGCAATATGAAGCAAAGGCAACACTTCGGCCGGCTCTCGCTACGAAACTCAAGCAACTCGCCCGAAAGCACCGCTCGACGATGTTCCATCTCTATCTCGCTGCTCTCAAGGGCCTTGTTTTCCGCCTCCTCCCCGAGATAGACGACTGCTTCATTGGAATTGCTGATGCAAACCGCTTGGACAAGAAGTTTTTGGGCAGCCTTGGGTTCTTCCTCAACCTTTTGCCCGTGCCTTTCTCAAGAGGCGGAGCCAAGACGAAGATCAGCGACCTCATACGTGATGCCCGTGACAAGGCATACGCGGCTCTCGATCGTTCTATCGTTCCATGGAACGTGATTCTCAAGGAGCTGAAGATTCCGCGCTCCAACACCTTCGCACCGATATTCCAGCTGTTTGTAGACTACCGCCAAATCGTCCAGGAAAGGTCGACCTGGGGTGGATGCAAGATCAGCGACGAAGATTGGTTGAACGCGCGGAATGGCTACGACCTCACCCTGGGGATTACGGACAATCCTACCGGAGAATCGTTGCTTTCCTTGCGATTGCAGGCAGGGCTGTACTCGGAGAGCAGTACCGAGCTACTCATGCGGTCCTACGTGAACGTCCTCGAGACTTTTGTATGGAGCTCGGATATTGAGGCTGCTTCCCTCCCATGCTGGGATCCCAAAGACGTCGAGAAGGCTTTTGACGTTGGTAGAGGTAAGAAGACGAGAATAGGATGGCCCATATTTCTAGACTGCAAGTCGATGTGCTGATATCAATTTCAAGGACCCGAATTAAAACTCGAATGGCCTGCCACCATTTCTCACCGAGTTGACCAAATGATTGCCCAACACAGGACGAAGCCAGCACTAAAGGACGGACTCGGAAACAACCTAACGTACGGTGAAATGGGAGCCCGTGTGAACACAATTGCCTCGACACTCATTGCTGTGGGTGCAGCGCCAGGATCGCTTGTTGCTGTTTTCCAAGATCCGTCCGCCGATTGGATTTGCTCTATGCTCGCCATCTTCCGCATCGGCGCAACCTACATACCTCTAGATCTCCGTAACTCCATTCATCGACTCACCAGCATTGTCAAAGCCTCGAAGCCAGCCATCATACTGACAGATCGGAGCACAACTGAGAAGACAACACTGATCTCGGCCGATGACGCCGTCCAGATCAACGTATCTGAAATAGCAACATCATTGTCTCAGGGACAGTTGCCAAACGAGGCGAGACCAGACTCACATGCTGTCATCCTTTTCACAAGTGGCTCCACAGGGGAACCCAAGGGCGTCATTATGAAGCACAGCAACCTGGCGGCTGAGTGCGAGGCTTACTCCAAATTCTGCGATCTCCCCGCTGGAAACTCCGTCGTCATGCAGCAAAGTATTTTCAGCTTCGATTTCTCCCTCGAACAGACCTTCGTAGCTCTCGCCGACGGCGGGTGTCTCTACGTGGTCCCAGCAGACAAAAGAGGAGATCCACACGAAATCAGCAAGCTGATGGTCGAACAGGGAGTGACGTACACATCGGGTACACCGTCCGAATACGAGATGTTGTTCAAATACGCATCGGAGACTCTGGCCAAGTGCAAGACGTGGCGATATGCCTTTGGAGGAGGGGAGTATCTCAGCCCCAGCCTCATTCGGGAGTTTGCCAAGCTTCCGCTGCCAAACCTCAGACTCTTCAATAACTATGGCCCCGCCGAAGTCACCACTGCCGCACTGAAGGGCGAGATAGCGTACCGTGAAACCGAGCTGGAGGAGCCCACCTTGGCAGGGTTCATTCTGCCGAACTACAAACTCTATTTCGTCGATAAGGATCTCCAACCTGTGCCCGTCGGAGTACCTGGCGAGATTGTTGTCGGGGGCCCCGGCGTCACTGTCGGCTACCTGGGAATGGAAGAAACGACAAAGGCTCACTATATCCCTAACAAGTTCGGGCCATCACCACCACCCGGAAACGATAGGCTGTACCGCACAGGAGACCTAGGGCGACTCCGGGAGGATGGGGGAGTGTACTGGATCAGCCGTATCGAAGGCGACACCCAAGTGAAACTACGTGGATTCCGCATTGAGTTGAAGGAAATAGAGGCGGTTCTCATAAAGCACTCGAACGGAGCGCTGTCCCATGCCGTGGTTACGCTACGAGGTAATGGGGAGGAACGATTCCTCGCTGCCCACATCGTCTTCGTTCCGGATTACCCGCAAGAACAACGCGAGGGACTGATTAGGCATCTCGAATCCCGGCTCCCTTTGCCATCCTACATGCAGCCCTCCGTCCTAGTCCCGCTTGACGAGATGCCCCTTACCGCCCACTCGAAGATCGATCGCAAGGCCATCCAAGCCATTCCTCTCCCCGATGCCTTCACGTCCGGGGAACAGGATACCGTCACCGGAATAGAAAAGAAAATGGCGGAGTTATGGCGGAGAATCATACCTCATACCATCAGAGATCTGGCGCCCGAGACCAACTTCTTCGACGTGGGCGGCAACTCCATTCTGCTTGTCAAGTTGCAGGCTCTCATGAAGAAAACTTTCAATGCGACTCTGCCGCTGGTCGATTTGATGAACTCGAGTACCCTCGGGAAAATGGCGAGAATGATCAAGGCGGCTTCTCGGGCAGGCGGCATCGACTGGGAGATAGAAACTAGCTTGCCAGAGTCTCTGAGAGGATCCAGTGCTGCCGTCTCATCCAGAAGAAAGAAGCGTGACAACGTCTCAGTCGTCTTGGTCGGGGCAAGTGGCTACCTAGGGCGTAATCTCCTACCCTGCCTCGTTGAAGACCCACGCGTGAAGGACATCTATTGCCTCGTCCGAAAAGAAGGGCCGGCCACCAACTCCTCTCCTCCCAGCACCAAGGTTAAGTTCATTCAAGTGGATCTGTCGCAGCCGAATTTCGATCTCCTGCCCGCGGAGTTTACTGCTCTCGCAGAGAAAGCAGACGCTGTCGTCAACTGCGCCGCAAACCGCTCCTTCTGGGACAGCTACGAGAGTCTGCGGCCTGTCAACGTCGATGCTGTTAAGGAGCTAGCGCGGCTCTGTCTCGCCAACAACGCGTCGCTCCATATGCTTTCGTCAGGTGCGGTACAGATTTACGATTCCACGACTCCGCCGACGGATGGCAGTGACGGTTATGTTGCCAGCAAATGGGCGGCCGAAACATTCTTGCGCAAGGCCGCCGCAGAAAAAGGTCTGCAAGTCTATCTGCACCGCCCCGTTCCTGCGCCATCGAGCGAGGCCGAAAAGACAATGGATATCTCGGCCGCGGCGGTCCTGGAGGAGCTGATTGGCATCACTCGTACACTTGGCAAGAGGCCCGATTTTACCGCTGTCGGTGGGCATATAGATGTAGTCCTAGTGGGCAGTGTCGTTAATGACCTCGTCGCTTCCATCACGAGTGCAGAGGAAGAGTCCGGGAGAGTGGCAGTCATCCCACATGAAGGACGGCTGAGGTTGTCTGTCAAGGACTTTGCGGATCACATCCAGAGAGATGATCGGATCAAGGATTTGCCAGTCATGGATCCATTGCATTGGTTCCGCGATGCGAAGATTGCTGGTTTTGGACACTTGATAACGTCGCAGCACTTATCAATGAGTTCCAAGAACGGAGAGTTGGTGACGAGGCGCTAAAGCTGGTCAAAATGGGAGGGCGGAGTATAGATTCTGGTGAGATTGGTTTGATGGCTGTTTTTCGGTGATTTCGAAGGCAAACCCTTCACGCAATGTTAAATATCAATGTATATATGATCAAATCTCTTTCAGTAAGAATGAACATTTTCATCCGCATCGAATTGCTCTGAGTTCATAAACCCTCACCGCTCGGGAGGAGCATGCAACTGCAGTGACCAGGGACGAGCGGTGAGAGTTCAATCTCATCACTTTGACAAGAGCTGTCGAGGCGGGGAGCATAATCCAGGTCGCTCTGCATTCATCCATTCATCCTAGTTCAATTGGGCGATCCGATTTGCCTTGGCGCGGCTTGGGAGAAGTTGACACAATTCAACTTCAACCGCGATCCAATTGATTGTTGACGTGTACTTGTAAAGTTGCACTTGGTCACTCTTTATCACCTTTTGTATTCCCACTCAATTCCTCCTGTTTCCCACATCATCATCATAGCCTTTCGACGGCCTCAATCCGTTCATCTTTCTTCTTCCCTAGAAAGTACTCCTCTTCTTCCTCGCGCGAAACCAGGTCCAATTTAAATTATATGTTGGCAATTCCTCATTCCTAGACCCGGCGGACTACTCTCAAATCTGTGCAAGGGATAGTCTTTGCTCGGCCAGCAGGACCAAGGAACCATGGCGCTTCCTCCTATCGCCACTGCTACCATCCAATCGACGGTTTTAGCGGCCATCTCAAACTTCTTAGCCCAGTTCTTTAGGTCATACCGGTTAGATGTACGAAAGAGCTCAACGTGGACAATTCACGGTTCTACCCTCTCCACCCCGAGTTTATGGTTGGGTTCTCTTCTTAAGCAGTGGGAAGCTTGAGACGTATCAATAACGGGCTTGTACTGACGTAAATGGCCTTGCCATCACTAGATCCGTATCTACATTGACTGGGTCCCTGTTGTCCAGTTTGTGATCCTGGCTCTAATAACCACGCCGCCAAATTTCCTATGGTATGTCTATGTCGAGACACCTACCATCCTCGTACTCACCTGAGACCACCAATACTAACACCGAACAAATCGCCGCAGGCAAGAATACTTGGAGCTCACGTACCCAGCTCGTGAACCTGCTTCGAAACCCACCTCCAAGGGCGAAAAGAAGACGACAAAGCCTACTAACTCCCCCGGCGACACCCCTCTCAACATCCGCAACACCATCATCAAGACAGTTCTCGATCAGACTGTCGGTCTAGCCGTCAACACCATCCTCTTCGCCCTCTTCGTCAACGGCCTCGCCGCCGCCATGACACCACTGCAGAGCGAGACCGAACTGCTTAACCTCCGACTCGCGGGCCGCAGCCTGAATTATCTCCTTAGCGGCCGTGCCATCGATTACTCGCGCGTCGACTTCAAGGTCGTCCTGGCACAGTCAGCCGCGGATTTCTGGCCTATCATGACGTCGGGTTGGAGCTTCTGGCCTTTTGTCAGCCTGATCAACTTTGCGTTCGTGAAGTCGGTAACGCATCGGAACCTGGTGGGTGGGTTGGCAGGTGTGGCGTGGGGGATGTACATGAGCGGATTTGTGGATCGGTGAAGGGGGACGTGGGGGGAAGTCCAGATGGCGTTTTACCCCGTTCCCTCCATCTCTTGATATGGTCCGAGAGAACCATGCAAATGCAAGGGTAGGAGAAGGCGGGCAGGGGTTGACTAGAGTCGATATTTAGGGACCAACTGATGATGAACGGCGATTATAATGTTCGCGGTCGTGCCACAAATTGTGAGCTGGGATTGCTGGGTCACGGCAAGCACTGGACAAGGCGAGAAGACCCCAATAGATAGACATATCAATAGATATAGAACATGGGGCACTGCAGTTTACTGGGAAAAAAAATATGGCTTTGATTGTCAAGGGTTCTGTCCATTCCTTTGACTATCGCTGGCCACGGATATGAGCCTCGTGGGGGTCCAGCCTGGTCGGAGCCGAAAGTTGAGAACGAATGCCAAATGCAGATGACTGACGTGCACTTGAGAAAGTCCCCGCATGCCGATAACAGGCCAACACATTGAATCGTAATTACGACTCGTCTCCAAGAAGGCAAAAGAAGCTTCTGGATTCAAGCATCAAGGATTCTTCAATTCCATCCGTCCCACCTGCAATTCCACTTGGTGGTGGCAACAGCCTTGGCAACCCTGATGTGTGCGATCTCACGGGACGACGCCGCTAAGCTCCAGCTAGCTCTTAGTTCCGCGTACATAGGGCTGATGGAAGAGAGATCAGATCTATATGATGGCTGGGCAGGACAGACCGGCCGTGCCCTCGAGCTAGCATTGAGACCATCGCCTCATGTATGCGTAGCCTCCATATGTTGAGCAAGGCGTTGCGTCGAATAAAGAGCCATGCAGCTCTGTTCCCTTGGCTTCTTGTTTCAAAGCCTACCGGATGGCCCAACTGACACAAAGAGGCGCTTCGATAGGAATATGAGGTGGCTGGCGGTATCGGGAAAACAAGCTCGGCATGGAACCCGTCTTGACGGATGCCCCTGGGCAGCAGTTCGCCGACATGATCGTTCTATCGTCCCACTGTGGCTTGTAAAAAAGGGTCCAGCCCGCTGGCGTCCTGTCAAACCTTGACTGGGAGAGGCAGCGTGGGGGCCGGTTATGTTTAGTTAATATTGAGAGGGAAAAGAAGACAAGAGTCGAGGGTTACCCCGTCGTCATCTCTACATGTTGAGTAACGATGATGTCCTTTGGGTTCCGTGGCGAACTTGGGCTGTCGCGTGAACGTCAAGGGCGACGATATGTCCGCGTCATTTGCTTTGATTAGTGTTTCTCCCAAGCACTCGGTGGGAAGGGTCCACAGGGCTATATTTCAACATTCTGATGTGAGGAATTTAGTATCAGGTCAGGGGAACCGACAACTGACAGAGGACGTGGAGTTTGGATCCCTCGTCTTCGTTGGGACTGGGAACAAGCAAATGGCTTCTTATCCAATGACCTACCTACCTCATTTGGCGATTTGGCGGATGATGATTGCTGATGTCAATTTTTTTTTTTTTTTTTTTACCCCTTTTGCCGAATGTCAAATGCTATTCGTCAGGGCGAAATTGGCCCCGATTTCGCATTGATCAGCACCATTGTCCGAACGAGGTACTACTTCTTGATATTTACTCCGTGGCATTGTTCTACTAAAAGACGAGTCTAGCGCAGTGTACTCCCTCGCGTGCCCGCAAAGTCTTTGAAATAATCCTAAACAAGTAATCTTAGGAAGCACGAAGCCACGGTCTACCCGCTCGGGGAATATCCAAAATCTTCAAGTTGCAATCTGTACTCCGTACACAGGTATGATGATGGTTCTCAACCTTTCGTGTGATGCGGTGTAGCGCAACCTCCCAAAGAAGCTACCGACTACGGGGAGTTGGAACCCCACAAGTAATGCCTCGTGGACAATAGGAACGAGAAGATGGGATGGTTGTATCCGAGGCTACTCTGCTAATTAAAAATGCGGTGTAAAAAAAAAAAAAAAAAAAAAAAAAAAAAAAAGGTCTCCCATTTTTCAGGGATCAATATGTCCGAAGTTTGTAAGTGGCTGGTGGTCTCGCCTTCCCGCCATGGTACCTAGCGAAAACACCCCCAGAGGAAAAAAGAAGAAAAAAGAAGGAAGAAAAAAAAATTTCTTCTGAACCAGTGAACCTTTCCGCCCACGTTCCTTGCCCAGAACTGGGAAAGCCAAAACAGGTAGTTGGTACAAACTCATGCTCCTGGCTCAGCGTGTGTTAGAGGTACTAGATACGGACTCTGTGAGTACCGAGAAGTATTGCGCTGTTGACTGTCGGCCCCATCTCCCGCGCTGAATTACGTCACAATGCTTCGACAACACCTCAGACCCCAGTCACCCCAGCCAATCATGGAGAATGTTGTCGTCATTTAGGAACATTTGGAGGGGTGTGTGTCAAAAAGGCCTCGAAAAATTTCCAAGAGCACTCGGACCAAAGAATTTGAACCTATCTGCGGGAAGGAACACACCAAAGCAGTTCACGACTCGCACCCACAGCCAACGCAGCAACACACACAACACACACAACACACACAACACACACAGACACCAAGGGCCGATGTATCTCTTTTTTTTTTTTTTTTTTTTTTTTTTTTTTTTTTTCCATCCTATTGTGACAATCTCCGGACCACACTTCATTGATGCAATAATGCATATAGCTGATCGGAACAAAGCGGTAAATCGTTCATGCGAGCAGGGACATGCTGGTCTCCTCCTATTGCCTCCGCTCCACGACGTACAAAGTATGTACAGACCCTGCTTCCTCTCAGCATGGCTGGCCAGCCATTTATTTAGTTCACTGGTCCCGGAGACAGGGACTCGGGCTATGTGGATACAGAGCCGGCTAGTCGCTTCGACAACCTGCGCGGTTAGGGTTGCAGGGAGCATGTCGGAGCGTCGCGTCTTTGCCGGACCAGCCCTTCGATCCGACATGGGCTTTTGCCTTTCCGGAAATCTTTCCCCTCGTACGAAGCGTAAGAATGGGATCGCAGTATGACGGAGTACCTGAGGTAGGCCACATAGTACAGATCCCACCCTCTCCGAAAAGGAAGATCTCGCGTGAGAAAAGGAAAGCAATGACTCGTTCTCTGGAGAGGAGGCTGTGCGGACATTAACCCCTCTTCCGCTGTGCCATATTTCCGAAGTAAGAGTGGGAGAAGCCTGGGGGCCCTGTCAACACCGCATGGAAGTTGCCGTACTCCCAGGTGTGCCAAGGCTCTGGCAGCAAGTTTTTCAACCCTTCCCTTCCAACGCTCCCCGGTTTCTCGCAGGAAGTGAGACTCGATGTACGGTGCAGAAGGACTCTATGCGCTAGAAATGCCTGCCCCAAGGCAAGGGACTTTGTGATATTCATCAACGTATTCCGAGTCAGCTACCTCTTAGGAGATACGAAGTAGTGTAGTTGATCAATTCGGGTGCCTCCTCCACTGTTTCGTAGGGTTTGATATAGCGCCCTGGACACGTCAATAGTGTACTTCATAGTGCAGTAGGTACATTCTCCAGTCCGGTTGGCTACGACGTTCTAGTGCGAAATGATGCTTCTCGTTCCCTACTCTACGAAGTGCTGGTATTAGGAGAATTGGCCGCTCTCACTCTGACAAGGGGGCGGGCCTAGAGTAGCACTTCGAAGGAGACATTTTCCCTCTTAAATTTGGGGAAATTGATCCCCGCCATTCTTCCAACCTCCGCTATCCACCCCTCCCACTAACACGGTGACCGTGTACCTAGTACTGCTTCCTCATACCGGTCCCTCGTGCGCCCTTGTCACTCTCTCTATAAACATTACGCCATAATTACGAATTACATCACTGCCAGCCCAACGTTCCAGGAGTATCCGGTACCAGCGACCCGCAGCGTTTCTTCGAGGCGCGTTGTGGGACGCAGGCATCTCGTTGCTAGTGAGAGACTAAGGCAACTCTCTGTGTGAAAGGACGAAGGAGTCACGCAACATAGAATGGAGCTGTTGATCACTGAAGCGCCCTTTGTCTGGTCTTCTAAGTTCTAGCCTTCTGGCGCATAGCAATATGCTGTTGTTTCCGTAACTTTGCTGTAGTCGGCAGAGGGGTGGGATTGAGCAGGTTGACGGACCCAGAGGCTTGGTGTCATAGTGTCAGTGTGTCATCGTGTCATAGTGCCTCAGGACACGACTTGAATTCTCGATGAAAGTGGCCCCTCGTCGTCGGAGTGGAGCAGTCCGTAGCATTAACCTGTTGCACCTTCCATACTTCGTGCAAGTCGATGCCTCTGTTTCTTTTCCAAAGTTCCCACTCACACACACACACCAGACACACACCGAGCCCTTTTTTTTTTTCTCGTCCTGTCCCTTTCCCTCATGTCTCTGTTCCTTGGTCTCTAGGCTAGGGGAAAATAGACCAGCACGTTTCATTTTTCTTAACGTCTCTTCCCAGTAGTTGGATTTCTTTTCGTTTCTTAATATTTTCTTTCTTAATACGGCATCCTGTAAGAAACTGCGGGAAGGTGCGCGCTTGTGTTTACGTCTCGAATGCTTGACTCAATCCATCATTGATCGGTTCCATCCACACCTACTACCGCCAGCCTTCTAGCGTTACCTCCATTATTACCCTTTCTGGGCGAAGAAGAAAAAAAAATCTAGAACTGAAGCCTTCCCAACATACACAAACCCACACACGCTGCGCTGTTCCAACCGGCTGTACCCCCATCTTCCAATCTTCCTCTTTCCCGCATCGATCCGATTCTCTCAGCATGAGCGTCGCGACGCTTGTTATTTTCCAGTGGTAGCTCTGTGGCCTTCCGGTCCGCTTCTCCACCACCACCACCTCCACCACCACCAGCTCATTGCACTTTTCGCCTTGGGATATGACAACTCGAGTCGCTCGTCTATCTTGTCCTAGCTGCACGAGTTGACAGTTCCTTCAAAGTCTTCCTATCCCCTTCCGCCCCCACCCCCCTCTATGCCGCTGCAACTGCAGCAGGTAGGGCTCGTCGATCTTCTCGAATCCGATCCACGACCAAACTTCGTCGTTGCTCTTGGGGCCTCAACCTCGACCTCAACTTCGAATCTAGCCTCGGCTTCCGCCACCGAGACTGACGAGCCTTATCTGCCGTCGATTGTTTACGCAAACCCTTCCCTGACCGCCTTCCCTCAGCTGTTGGATCTTCTTGCATCGAGCCGCGAGGAAAACCACGAGTTCTTCTGGAAGTGGATCGTCGCGCCATCGCCACCGCGAGACAAGGCTTCCTCTAGCGACGGTCGTGACGGCTTGGGCGATTCTTCGTTTTGGTACCTTAATCTCCTGTGGACGAAATCTGTGGTTCGCGGCTCGTGGGTTGTGGTCGGCGCGAATGACGAGCCGCCATCTTCTGAACGTCCTCACAAGATGCTTCAGCAAACCACCATCCCCACCCGCCAGGTGGATGCATCACCTTCCGCGGCGCTACTGCCCGAACAGCCTGGTGGACTTCCCCTAGCACCTCTTGCCGAATCGAAACCTGACCGGGAGCTGTCGGCCGTTCTTACCGCCTACCTGGACCAGGACCAACTAACATTTCTAAACGTTATCCACAACCAAGACTGGGCGGCGAGCCCTCTTGGTCCTCTTGCAGAGTGGCCTTCTCGTTTGCGTCAAATCTTCTACCAAATCATTACTGATTCGCACCCAATAGCCATCTATTGGGGGGAGAGTAGGATAGTCATTTATAATCACGCATTCAGCACTCTCTGTGGGACACAACACCCAGGCATCCTGGGAAAGCCCGCGCCTAGCGCATGGCCAGATGTTGAAACCGTTCCACAGTCCCCCGTGGCGCTGTTCGGCCGGCAGAATGAGTGGATGACCGTCCAGGATGAAGCCATCATATTTGTTACTGACAATTATGGCGCACCGCGGGAAACGCACATCAACTCGTCTATCACGCCTATCTTCGACGCGGGAGAATGCTGCGGCTTTTTGCATTCGATCCAAGATGTGACGGGTTCTCGGTTGTGGGAAGGACGAATGACCATGCTCTGTAACCTGAGCGATACCTTGCTGTCTGCCCATGATGTGAAGTCGTACTGGCGCAAAGTCATGGAATGTCTAGAAGAGCATAGCTCTGCCCTTGATATTCCCCTTGCCATTCTTTATTCGGTCGATTCCTACACGCACATGGCAAGCGATGATGGAGAAGCACCAAATGCGCCAAATAGTACGGCTTCTTTGGTATGCCTTCTGGAGGGGTCATTGGGTGTCCCCACTAACCACGCTCTCATACCGGAAACGCTCGACCTCGAACAAGATGACCTAGGCCTTGCCTCCAAACTCCGAGACGCTTTTCTTAGCCGCGAATTACTCGTACTTCGGGCCTCCGACGGCACCCTACCTACCGAGCTCTTTGAAGGTGTTGCGCTTCGTGGATTCGGCGATAGATGCGAAACCGCTGTCGTCTGCCCCATCAGACCAACGAAACGGAACGATCCCTTCGGCCTTCTCCTCTTGGGCCTCAATCCTCGACGACCCTACGATGACGACTATTCGCGATACGTATCACTCCTAAACCAGAAACTGTCTGCGTACCTGGCCTCGTCGATGCTACTTGAGAATCTCGAACGCGTTAATGCCGAGTCACACCTAAAGATGAATGGAAACGCAACTCTGGGGGCGGTCCGTGTTGAAATGTCCACCGGAGACACCGACGAGAGAATTCCTACCTTCGAGTCCGCCGATGTTGATCAAAACGAGATACCCACAGAAACCGGTAAAGATGACTCGATGGAGTCTCTCGCCGCCGAATCTTCAGAACCCGCTTTCCTTGTCGATTCGTCAATGGCCAGCAGTACCCCCGAGCAACTTTCTGAAGATGACACCATGGTTAAAATACACGAATTTGAGAAGCTCCAAAGGATGACGGAATTGGCGACTGTAGGCATTTGCGAAACGGATTTGAGTGGCAGGCTCGTAGAAGCCAACAAAGTCTTCTTTGAGCTGTGTGGGATTCCCAAAGTGGATGATCTACCAGCTGTTAACGTCCGACCCTGGGAGGTTTGTGTGCCGGAAGAGCAGAGAGTGGTCCTTCTTGAGATTCTTGGTCGACTTGTCAAAGATGGTATGCCTCAGACAATGGAGATTCAATTGAACACGCCTTGGTCTGCTCAGGACAGCTCAGGAAAAGAGATCACAGCTCCCAGATGGCTTCTTGCCACATTTATGCCAATTCACTCTTCAGATGGTACAATGCATGCCATCCATGGCTGCTTTAGTGATGTCTCTGCACAGAAATGGCAGCTGGAAAGCGAGCGTCGGAGGAAAGAAGAAGCCCTCGAGTCAAAGCGACAGCAGGAAAACTTCATGGATATGACATCCCACGAGATGAGAAACCCGTTGGGCGCCATCATCCACTGTGCCGACGCCATTGTCGCCTCATTATCCCAAGTTCATAATCTCAGTACTACATCTGACGTGTTGGAAACGCCAACAGAGCCCGCCACCCAGGCGCCTGGACATACCCAAGCGGGGTCGAGCGAGGCCAGTCGAATCATCGACGAGAGTATCGACAATGCCGAGACCATTATTGCGTGTGCGCAGCACCAGAAACGAATTATCGACGACCTCCTGACCGTATCGAAACTCGACTCTCAGTTTATTTCTATCACCCCGTGCACAGTGGATCCCCTGGTAATGGTTCGAAACTCTCTGAAGATGTTCGAGGTTGAGGCAAGGCGCGTCGACGTTGACCTCACGATGACTGTCGATACGTCCTTCGTCGAGCTTGGATCCGACCATTTCGATTTCGACCCGTCACGGACGAAGCAGGTCCTCATCAACCTACTTACCAACGCCCTAAAATTCACCAAGAATCGCCCTGTTCGCAAGGTGTCAGTTCTTGTCAAGGCATCGAGAGATAGACCTACCGACGAGACTTCGAGCGTCCGATTTATGCCGCGATCGTACGACGAGCCGACCCAGATTGGCAGATCGGATCCTGTTTACCTCATCTTTGAGGTCAAGGATACCGGCCGCGGTCTTTCCGAGGAGGAAATGCGCCGCCTTTTTAACAAGTTCCAGCAGGCCAGTTCATTCACCCACGTCAACCATGGTGGTTCCGGCCTCGGTCTTTTCATATCGAGGCGACTCACTGAGCTTCAGAACGGCGCCATCGGAGTTTCGAGCGCCCCGAAGCGCGGATCGACGTTTGCATTCTTCATCGAAGCGTATGTACCACACACTGTTTCTGTTTCTGTGGAAGAGGCTACGCTATCCACTTCAGCATCGGTCGTTGCTGGATCTACAACACCGACGACAGGTGTGGGAACTACCCTCGAAGCGAGCCCGGAGCAGGTTCAGCGACCACAGGAGGTGTCACCGCAGACGACCCCTCAAGCAACCAGCCCAGATCTAGGTCAGATCGCCGGAGAGAGCACAAAGCTTGACGGGATTTTGGTCGTCGAGGATAATAGCATCAACCAGCAAACCACAAAACGTGGCCTTACCCAGAAAGGCTTCAAGGTTGATGTTGCCAATCATGGCCTGGAAGCCCTCGAGAAACTCAAAAAGTCGAGTCAGCTAGTCGAGTCTATTGAGGATAATAATTCGTCCGCGTCAGGACCCACGGAGCCCATCCCCTTCAACCTAGTTCTTATGGACATCGAGATGCCGGTGCAAGACGGACTTTCTTGTGCCCGTAAAATCCGAGAGCTCGAGGGAGAAGGGATGGTCTTTTCTGCTAACGGAGGTCCTATTCCAATTATTGCGGTTAGTGCCCATGCGAAAGAGGCACAGGTGGGGGCAGCCCTGGAAGCAGGGTGTGATGATGTCCTAGTCAAGCCATATCGAATACCCGAGCTGATTGAGAAGATGGAGACGCTGGCTCAGCAACGCCAGAGCCCCAACCACCAACCACCAACTCCCGACGCCGGACAGCATTGAAACAACCGCTATGTTCATTTTCTTTTTCTTGCATGAAACTTCTTCTCTTTTCTTCTTTTTTCTATACCCCTGTATCTTTCAACCTCACGGTTTCATTCTTCTAGAAACCCGACTTCAGTAACCTCGGTTTCCTTCATTCTCTTCATTTTTTTTCTCTTCTTTTTCATCTTCTTATTATTTCATGCATCCACTGGTCATGGTCCGGCGGTGGTTTAAATTAGGGAAATATGTATCAATACATGCAAAAAACTGGAGCCAGGTTTTGCATGAAATTAGGAGTTTTAGCTTTCCTGTCTTCGGGACAGGGAGTTTGGGGTTCCCATTTACAAGCATCATTGTCGCATAACATCAAGGCGTCGCAGTTTTTTTTCTTCTTCTTCTTCTTCTTCTTCTTTCTTTTCTTTTCTTTTGTCTTCAAACTCCTTTCTAACTTCATGGTCGGGAGATGTCCTCGTTTCGAAGAACGGGGCAACGCCCGAGGGGAGGCTTGTTTCATCTCTCAAGACTTTGCCCGTCTTAGGTCTCCATGCGGAGTAGGGAGGATATGTGTCATGATGGTAGGATACTGGTAGGGTAGGGAATGATATCGCTTGAAGATATGGGACTGTTTTTTGCAATTTTATTTTGGAATTGGGTTATGAAATGGGGGTCTTGGAGTCCAGGAACATGAAGTGTCCACTCACCACCATGTTGGCTCGCCTTGGATATGTAGGACCGGCTGAGATTCCTCGGGGAAACACAATTAGATGGAGAGTGCCATGGATATAATTATAGAAGAAGAGATGTTAAGATATTTGATGCTAAAGAAAGTTGCGCCAAAACCGATACGCGATGCGATGCCAGTAGGCGAGAGGATGGACCAGCAATGGAACTGGAAGCTTCAATTCTTGAAGTGACAAGCGCAGTCGTCACACAATCCCGGTGACTAAGCAGAATACCCCCGCCAACCCCACCCACCCACGACAGCCCAAGCCAAGCCTCAAGACAGCCTCAGCAACGTCACTCCTTAATCAAGCTCGAGTCGAGCAGGCAAAAGCTGAAGCAGATCAACGCGAAGGACGCTATTCTCCCATCACAAGATATTGTGACCCCTCTCTCCCCCTTTCCCTTTGTCTCAAGGGATTCTCTGAATCCGCCCTTACCCTTTCACCATGGTAAGCCCGCCTCCTCTGCCACCTCCAAACCGACCCTGTCTCCCTTACCGACACGCTTGTATCTCAGACAGCTCCGGACTAACCGCAAGATCTGAAAAAAAAAAAAACCAACAGTCCCAATCTCTCCGCCCCTACCTCCAATGCGTGCGCAGCACCCTCACCGCCGCCCTCTGCCTCTCCGACTTCGCCTCGCAGATCTCCGAACGGCACAATGTCCCCGAGGTTGAGGCGCGGAGCTCGCCCGAGGTCGTGCTGACGCCCATGACGGTGGCGCGAAACGAGAACGAGCGCGTACTTATCGAGCCGAGCGTGAACTCGGTGCGCGTGAGCATCCGGATTAAGCAGGCTGACGAGATTGAGAATATTTTGGTGCATAAGTTTACGAGGTTCTTGACGCAGAGGGCGGAGAGCTTCTTTATTCTGAGGAGGAAACCTATCAAGGTAATACAGCCCCTTGTTGGATTATGCCGCGGTGGTGTGAACAGCGGCCTTGAAACGGAGGCGTGTTATGGACTACTGGTTAACACTTTCTTCGTTTCTAGGGCTACGATATATCCTTCCTAATCACCAATTTCCATACGGAGGAAATGCTGAAACATAAGCTGGTTGACTTCATCATCCAGTTCATGGAAGAGGTAGACAAGGAGATTTCCGAGATGAAGCTCTTCGTATGTGGCTCTATGCTCTTGCTCCCCCTCGAGACGTCGTCTGTGGGCGTATTGATGCTAATAATTCCAAACCTACAGTTAAATGCGAGGGCGCGTTTCGTTGCTGAGTCTTTCTTAACTCCTGTTTGTCTTACCTCATATCCTTTGAGCAGTATTGGAGATTTTTGCTAATTCTTGGAAATATAGTTTGATTAAGCTGGTACTTAATTGGGTGCCTTATCCTCCAAACTAGCAGGGCAGGGTGTCCTGCCGAGGATCGAGTATTATGACATATAGGAGACAGGCTTCTTTTTTTCATACACTGAATATAGCGGGAAGGGGGAAAGAATAGTCCCGGGATAGGACTGTCCCTTTTATCCTCGTTCACGCTTCTCTCTATTGCAGGATGGGGGATGAACCCGGGTCTGGTCCTCCGTATGGCCGCGTATCTGGTGTCAAAACAAGAATTATTGGGGCAGCTGATGAATAAAGTCTAGTAGGCGTCTTAAAACGAGAATTCCATGAGTTATATATTGCTGCTCAGTGATCGCTACCCTATGTCTGCCATTCCTTCCACTCACTCTCGTCTGCTCAGCCATGTACCATAGGCATAATTTCAGACGAAACTAACCGACCAAAAGCCTCGACGATACTTGACACATTCCAATTTTGCCCTGACAGCCTGGGGACTGCCTGCCGTGTTAATACTGCTAACCGTGTCGCCTGTAACCAGCACGAGGCATCACATCTATTCCAGCTAGATCCAAGCCAAGCAGCCACGACCGGGGAAGTCGAAGCAGTTACAGAGCCTCATAGATGCTTCTGAGCTTCTATTGCCACAGCGATCTCAATGGCCATCTAGCCCGGAGACTCTCCTGCTCCTTCCCTCAAGCCCATACTTTGTAGTCACATCTGTGGCTCTCCCCGAGAGAATCATCGCTTGCCGAACATCAATTTGATTCATTCCACCTATTTCGTGATCTGTTTCCTGTTTCCAATCCCGACCTCTCACCTGCTCGCATCTCTCTTCAACCAGAGTCCTCACATACTTAGGTCCGATTTATCTTGTCCTACCCCCAACGACCACTGCCGCCTCCTGGTAAGTCCTCAGTTGGCTCTTAGAATATCGCTCCAATGTACAAGTAATTGTATTTCTGTTCTCCCCATCCTCACCAACTCCCCTTCTTCTGGCCCATCTTACCGCATTATTTTATTTTCAAAAACAATTCTTGCAAACTTCCTAGTTTCTGCAATCAAATGTGGTCTCAGTCGACACCTTTCTTTTCCTGCAGTAGCCCCTCTCATCCTTCCCAATTCCCTCCTGCCCTTTCTTTCCCATCAAAGCATAGCACCTCTTCTTGGACCTCACGATGGGTGATGCTCTTGGTAATATGTCGTAGCTCACGGGCTGAGTATATCGCCTACGGCCATCTCTGTGATGACCTGAACGCACGATTCCGCCCTGCGCAGCAAATAGTGAGGCTTCATCTTTTCCAAACTGGAAGCTGCCCTCGTCATTCATCTGCTCGACGCGCTATTCAACTCGATATCTATTGACCTCGATCACTCCTGCCCGTTGTCCTGGTTTCTATTTACCAATGAATCAGTTCTCTCAGTGCCCTGAAGCGTGACTACAAAATCTGGCTCTCAATTCCACAGCTTCTCTACTTTCTTCCTCTCTCAAGCCATCAGCTTTTTCCGAACCGAAACGGTCAACCCCCTAATTCTCTATCTAGATTCTCCAGATTGAACTTGTACTGATACAAACAAGACTCGCAAAGCATCATGTCTGCCGGTGACGCCGCTCCGCGTGGTGGTTTCACCATGGCCAACGCCAACCGTACGCTTGACGAGACTCCCCAGTCTATTCGTACGGATCGAGAATTCCAGCTTCGCAACCTCGCCCGTCTTGCGGGAATGACCCCCGATCAAGACATTACTGCCCAGGATCAGAATGGATCCCGCTTCAATTCGACTGAGGGAAGTCAGATCACTGTAAGTTTTGCGTCTTGCTTAAATGTTATGTCTATTTGGCGACAGCTTGCTGATTTTTTCGGGGAGCAGCCTGACTCTCAGGATTCGAAGAACGTTTATTTTGGCCACAAGAGCCGTCTCAGTGCCAGCAGCAGTCTCGCGGAGTCGTTCGCCGAGGCCACTTACCAACCTACCTTGAGCGACATCCATAATTCCAGCATGTCTCCTAAGGGCCAATACGGTTCCGAGCAGAACACTTCCTTTGACAGTTCCCAGGACTTTTCCGCTCCTAAGGATGAGGGACGCTCTCATGTTTTCAAGACACCCCCGACCTCTTTCCCTGGTAAGACTTCTACTGGCTGGTTCTCCGACAAAGCCTATCGCGGGGCAATGCTGGGTCTTGGTGACGACAGCGATGCCCTTGGAGGCTTCATCATGGACAAATTGACCGGTGAGGATCGCATCCCTCAGACCGTTGGTCCTCCAACCACTACTTTTGGTAGTCCGTTTGATGATGAGTGTGTTGAGACTGCTCCTCCGTTGACTCATGTTCGCCTCGTCGGTACCGACTTACATCGGTCTCCAACCCCTCTGCCCCGAGGTGGTTCTTCTAACAATAGCGTGCTCCTCGCATCCGCTCGACTGTCAAAGGCCACCGAGAAGGTTAACTACCTCGTCTCTGCTCAACAGCAGAACGTTCAAGGTAACGTTGCCGTCAACTGTGGTCAGGCAATGCCTCACCAGGACAACTCGCTTGGTAGCGGCTACATTCAGAGCATTCTCAAGCAACCTGGCACGATGACCCAAGCTGCGATGCTTGGCCACCACAGACATAATTCTGCTGGTCCCATCAAGTCTCCTAACTCTCGTGACTTCGTCCAGAAGGACGAGGGTAACATGGTATGTTTGTCTTTAGAACCCATTCCCGCCCCCTGGTTTAACTCTTGAGGGTATTCGTAACTAACATTATATGATAGGGACATCTTAACCCCGGCGCTCAGCCATTCGTTGCCCCTACTATGCAGAGTCAGCGTCCTAACACCGTTCCCATGACTACGTTTACTCCCCCTATCGTATCCAAGCATCTCGGAAGCCTCCTTAGCGGTCCGGGCGGTGTCCCCAGCCTCGGTCTTATGCTGGATGCCAAGAATTTCCCCTTCGTTGAGACCGCTATCCAGGAGCGTGATGGCCCTCACCATCCGGGTGTTATCAAAATCACCAACGTTAGTATCACCCCATCCGACGGAGCTATACTCCTAACCTACCCGCGAATCGTCCACCTGCTGACACGAGCTCCTTTAGACGCCTTTCGATACCAGCCGCAACGAGGTTGACGCGTTCCTTGGTCACAACGCACGCCTCTTAGCCGACAACATGGAGCCCATCCACGTCATCATGTGCCGCGTCACCGGAAAGACGTTGGACGTTTACGTCGAGTTTCAGTCGACGGGCGACGCCATTCGCGCGGTCGAGCGTCACCTGAAGAATTCGGCTGCTGGTCGCCCCAGCAGGATCGGCGACAGACTTGTCGAGGTTTCCGTGGCTGGCAAGAAGGATCTCATGAGGGAGTTGTTCCCGAAGGCTAACGGTGTCGAGTGGACGGATGGCCAGCCGTACATTTACGAGACCTCGGATTTCCCTTTCCGAGGTTTTGTTTCTGACGAGGAGCTTACCATGTTGGTTAAGCATGTTGAGAACCCTCACCGAGTAAGTTAACTCCTGAGATACTTACCTCATCGCAGTGGAGGATAGCTACTAACAGCGGTTGCTACTCCCGCAGTGTCCCTTCTCTCGTGATTGCCCCGAGCGTCCTTTCGAGTGCCTCATCAGCCTGCTGCGAAAGTTCCCCTGGGAGCAGACGCAGTACATCACCATTCGCCAGCGTTCCCACATTTTCCAGACCACGTACCGTCTGATCCAAATCCTTCGGGCCAAGGTCATTAGAAAGGTCAACGAGGCCCGCTTGACCACTCGCCTTCTCAGGCGCCTGGTAACCACCGCCATGACTTGCCCTGGTTTCACTGTCATGCAGAAGGATGACGTTGCCAGGCTTGCGGACTTGAGTCCCGGTGAGCTCTCTGGATTTGGTCAGCCGCAATTTGCCTATCGATGGCGACACCAGTACGCTATTTCGGTGAAGCGTGGTCTTCCCTCCGATCTGATTGAGGTATGTTTGCAGTTCAAGTTTGAGGGTTTATTGTGGAAAGGGGAGAGAGGCAGTTGAGAAAAGCATCATGCTAACATGACCAATTGCAGTGGTACATCAACGTCATCGCCCAGGAAACCCGCGACAATCTCATCCACTTCCCGCTCAAGGAGCGCCATGAGATTCAGAAGCTCGGCGGATACACGGATGACTACTGGGGTTACTTCTGGCTCGAGTTGTGCATGCCCCATTTCCAGGAGTTCCAGAAGTTCACCCTCGCCCAGGTTGCCGAGAGGGAGTTCGCGGCCATCGAGGGCATTCTTCGACGTGCTGCTAAGAAGATGGGCGCCTCTGACGTCTACTAAATAAGGCCTTTTGGCTAGAGGTATTCCCCTCGATCCTTTGTGTTGATCTTTGGATCTTTGGGGGGGGGGGGGGGGGGGGGGATTTCGATGTGTATGGTAAGCTCAGACCGGACCTCCTCAAGACTTCCCCAGTGAACATGGCAACGAGAACGGAGTAAGCTAACTGCTATGTAGATGGGAGGAAGAAGTTTGACCAAAATTGGAAGATAAGATTATAAGTTCCCGGGGCGTTAAGAAGTTGCGACAGGTATAAAAATTGGCATGTAACGGGGCGGACATTGTTTTTCTTTCTGCAGTTGTTCCTAGGAGATATTCTGAGACGGCGTCCGGTACGATGGTTACAGGTTTTTGCATGGCACGCAAGTGTTTTAGCGCGGGCGGAGGAATGGAACTGCCATGAAGATTCTCTACTACTTTGTTTGAGACGAATTTCGGTATATAACATGACCACTCAGATTAATACAACGTTGGGAACTTCCACCGAGTCTTGGTAATAGTGTTTCATGGTATGAACATATGAAGTGAGCCGAGTGGTGGCTTATCCGGTACTGTAGACGGCGGGATGGGCTTTCGTCCGTATGTCTCGTCCACCTTTTTCACCATGAGACTATTTGTGCTAGTCATGAGGAGAAGAGAGGAGAGACAAGAAGAGGGAGTGTAAAGAGAGGACAAAAATTAAGCCACAGCGGAGACAATTTTAATAAACAACAACAATGTTATTTGTTGAAACGAATCTCAGGAATCGTGCCCGGTATGCGTCTTTAGGTAATGCAGGAAAACAAGGTCAAGGGATTCCACTCCCACACTCTCTATTGCTCTCCCACCTAACTCTTACTCAGGAAATAGTGCGTTGCTCTAACTGCGGGTCTGGTCACGGCTTCTCGAGCGAACTGGCGGCAAGGTGGTGGACGGATCCTTCGCTCCGTTTGATCGTAAGATCTCGTGTCTGCAGTATGTGAGACTTGGATGTGTCAACCTTTGATGTGTGACAAAGAGCCATCATCGACTGAAGCTCTGAATATTGAAATGTCCTCAAACCAAAAGAATGAAATAGAACTTTCCGAGGTCGGAGTGGAAGATGGCGCGAAGGCGTCCGGGAGGGGAAGTGACAGCTGACGTGCTGATGGTGTTGTGGTCGGAGACAACTTGGAGTGATCGAGAAGATGCACGGGCACGAAGTAATTGGTACTTGCACTGATTGATAAGAGCATCCATCAAACCAAGTGGGGGTGAAGACTCAGTTGCAGGATGCAAGCACAATTGTACTGTGGTGTACCTTTGTACACTACTTCGTATTAGGCAGCTCAATCAATCGCCGTACGAAGTACGAAGTACAGGACTTCGTAAGCTAAAACTCTCCCTTCCCATTCTGGAAGCTTGGGCCAATGGCAGCTCCGCGTCAGGTCCCGAGAGACAGGTACCAGGTACCAGGTACCACATCTGTATGGGGGAGGCAAGACAAAGAAGCGCGAGAACGAACAGTTACGAATGCTCCGGAGCTGGCTGCGGGAAATGCCACGCCTCAACTACATGATCGTACGAAGTAGCCTAATATCACCTCAGTTTTGCGCGGAACTACGGTCTTGGCGGAAGTACGAAGAGATGGTTGTGTTGTAACCTACGCCTGCGAGCAGCTCCTTCTCCGCGGGAGGAGTGGGAATACTAGACCTATTTGATATCGAGAAGATGCCTCGTGGTGGTGAGACAGACCAATACCCTCTAACATATCGGTAGTGTGCTTTCAGTAGTGGTAAATGGTCTTGTCATGTTCGGCCTCGCGTGGCACGCCATAAGCAAGCGCAGCAATCCGTTCATCCCGTTTCTTGTTTAGTAGCTAGTGGCTTTGAGTTTCCGATTGCTCAGTCTCAGGAATACGAAGTAGAATCTTGAAAGAGAAAATGCTTCGTGTCAATATAATATTTACGAGACCGCTGTCAGCCGTTCTCTAGTATACCAGGCATCAATTTCCCCCTCTGCTCCCCACAACTTTTATTCTCTGGTACCGGTACATGCATTTGTGTCCAGAAACGGCTGGGGACAGTGCGCCAGACCAGGCTGTGTAGCACTAATCCCGGGACCCACGTTCCTGGCAATTAACCTCTTACAGGGACAGCTTAGTCGAAGCCAGTGGAAAACGAGTTTGGGAGCTTCAAAAAGGTAGCTTCATCAAACCGGCAGTCGCGACACACTCAGGTATTCTCCGTCCCCTGGTTTTTCCTTTGTGCTCCCGACAACCACCAACCATCACCCGAGCAATGTTGCAACCGAAATAAGAAGAACGTTCTTCCTCGATCAAATTTTATCTCCACCCCCTGGAAATTTTCAGCTCGCCCATCTGCAAACGCAACCGGCAACATAACTTTGATCCTCATTCTTTCCCCCGAAATAGTGAGTAGTCCCCGACGCCATCGAAGCCTATCAATTTCTCTACCAGAATCCCCCTTTCATCTTTCCACCTATCTACCGTATCTTGGGGGCCAAGACCATCTCGATTGCCTACAGCTTAGCTCTAACAGCTGAGCTCTCAATAGATATCTCCATCCCCACGCATTGGCAGTCCTGCCCATCATGTCCGCCGAGCCGAAGGTCGTCGAGAACCAGCCCACTAGCGAGGTCGTCGCTGCCCCCGCCGATGCTCCTGCTCCTGCCGCCGAGCCCGCTGCCCAGGAGACTAGCGCCAAGGTAGAAACCGAGACCACAACGGCCGCCGATGTCGCCCCCGTCGCTCCCGTCGTTGCTGACACTCCCGCCGTTGCCGCCGTAGCAAAGGAGGATGTGCCAACAGCATCGGAGGAGCCAGCCAAGGGTAACAAGGAGGAGAGTCCTAAGGAGGAGAGTCCTAAGGAGGAGAGTCCCAAGGAAGTGGTCGAGACCCCACTGGATAAGTTCGCCAGCCGTCTCGCGGCTATCAAGGAGAAGACTAGTTACGATGAGATGTGGGGAATTACCCTTAGCGACCTCTCCCATGCTCCCACAGCCATTGTTCTCCAGAAGTTCTTACGTGCCAACAATGGAGATGTAGCCCTGGCCGAGAAGCAGCTTACGGAAGCTCTCAAGTGGCGAAAGGAGACCAACCCTGCCAAACTTCTCGATGACAAGGTGTACGACCGCGCTCGATTCGGTGATTTGGGTTTCGTCACTGTCCACAAGGCAGATGACAGTAAGGAGGAAGTCATCACGTGGAACGTCTATGGCAGTGTCAAGAGCAACAAGGCCACATTCGGAAATATCAAGGAGTAAGTAATTATCCAACTCGCTCCGGCACACATACTGCCCTAGAGGTTCAACATCAAGAGACTAACAGACGGAACCCCTAAGGTTTATCGAGTGGCGGGCTGCTCTTATGGAGTTGGGTGTCCGAAAACTCAAACTCGATGAGGCTACGGCCCCTATTCCCGAGGGTGCCGAAGACCCCTATCAGTTGATTCAGGTTCACGACTACATGTCCGTCTCATTCTTCCGCTTGGATCCCAACGTCAAGAGTGCTAGTCGGGAGACTATCCACGTCCTCTCCGTGGCTTACCCGGAGCTCCTATCCCACAAGTACTTTGTCAACGTTCCCGCCATCATGGGCTGGGTGTTTGGAGCTATGAAGCTGTTCCTTGCCCCGGCCACTCTCCGAAAGTTCCACCCACTTACCTCCGGTACATCTCTAGCGAGCGAGCTCAAGCCTTTTGCGGCGACCCTGCCCAAGGAGTATGGAGGCTCTGGCCCTAGCGTCAAAGAGGGTCTCACCGTTAAGCTAACCGACACGCCTGCTCCTGCCGAGAAGGCTGCCAAGGCCGCTCCTGCTGCTGAACCCGCACCTGCTACGGCGGAGGCTGAGCCCACCAAGCCTGTTGAGACTCCCGAGGAGGCTCCAAAGGAAGCTCCCAAGGAGAATGCTCGGCCAGCGGAAACCATCCAGGCGGCAGAGCCCAAGGTTGAAGAACCCAAGGCTGAAGAGGCTGCCACCAAGGATGCTGGCGCCGAGGCCATTGAGGAGACGGCCAAGGAGACTAAGCCTGAGACTAAGCCCGAGGCTCAACCTAAGCCTGAGTAATTTTTCCGTCTGCCTCATTTGGACTTCCACTCGTCACATAATAGAACACAGGGAACGATGGAATCAAAGGAAGAAGGGGCAAAAAAAAAAAGGGAACAGGGTTCCTCGGTGTGTGATGCAAGTTGAAGATTTTCAACGCGTCGTGGTTGTGGTTGTTTATGTTCGGTCTCGATTTCTGGCCGGTGATAATACCCCATCCTTGCTTGTTTTTTCTTGTGTTTTTGTTATTGCATTTTAGCCTTGTTTCATGGAAGACAGGACAGCTCACGGAAACGGATGAGAAGCTGGCTAGCTCTTTTTTTTTTTTCTCCTCTTCTTAAAATCATGGGATTCGGTTGACCTCGTCTTGTTTTTTTTTGCCCCTTTCTAGTCTCTCGCCCCTTGAGGCGCGTCTCTAATGGCAGACGAAGAATAATGGGGATCAGTACTTCGTAAATAATAGATACAGTGTTTACACTTTACAGTCAAGTCCTTGACAGGTGTCAACTGAGCGTGCTTGAGGGACAGATACGAGCATCTCGTCTTCCCGGCATGTTCCTGTTTATCATTCATCGAGGAATTCTTTCGTACTAATCATGATTATTCAACTTCCGTATTATCTCCTAGATAGCTCGGGATCAACCGTATGAAGAGGACCCTAACATCACCAACGGGCCAATAGCCTGGAGCGTAGTTGCAGCAAGACAAATGTTGACCAACACGACCAAGGCTGTCCAGTGGTCCTCGTTATGAAAGAGAAATGAGATCCTATGAGGCGAATGGTATGGGCTATTCTTGTAAGCGACAGACGTCAGATAGACGTAGCGACTTGAAAAGATGCTTTAGGATCTCTGGGGCATTGGCGTACACTGCCCATCACAAGTTGATAGACCGCTGTGCGATGAAGGCGGTTCGCGTTACAACGATATATTTGATACTGGCTTGCCAGCTCCAAGCTAATAGACGTTTGATTGCGTTGGTATTCCTCTAGGGTCAGATAGGCGGGCAAGGCATGAATGGACTGGTACAGAACCGATGGTCGTGCAAACAAGAGCTAGTTTACAGCATTGGTAACGCTTTAGAGAAAACCATTCCATCCCATCCGTTACAGTGTCTCTAGAGCTAGAGAATGCTTTTACGCAAACTTGCCCCCGTGGTTGTTTAGGCACTGAGAAAACTTTCCCCCTAGCCGTCTAATGGGCTCTCCCCAACCTTTGCTCGAGGAGATAACTGCAAGATGTGGAGGCGGTGTGAAGGAGATGGCCTAGAACTCATCCTCTTCAGTTTGGGCTGTAATTATAGATTAGATACTCACTGGCCAAGATTAAACTGATGGAAATTTGGCTCTATATCAAGGACTGGATGTTCTTCTGGGGCTCGATGGATGTATGGTCACGTAAAGAATCGTTAGTTTGCTGGCCAACCGGCTGTCGTTCAAACAAGTGCTGCTTTACAACATCGGTGACACTTTTTTACAGAGCCACTCGCTTCCATCCGTCATGACTTCTCTAGGAGAGCCTAAGAGTGAGTATTTTACGCAGTCTTTCTCGGATGGCTGTTTAGGCAGTGAGAAAAACGTCTTCCTAGGCTGGAATATCCGCGGATCTCTCCCCAACCCTTGCTCGAGGGAAAACTGCAAGGCGCAGAGGTTATCTAAGTGCCTCGCTCTAGCAAACTTTTCGCCAAACCAAAACGGTTAGGGTGTTTTTAATAGGGTTTTACAATTGCAATGTTCTCTGTTCGTGGCCTGAGGAAGAGTGGCGAGGTGAGAGCGGTGATTCTTGAGATGAGGGACAACTTCGTGGAGCAAATTGGCAAGGACTCGAGGACCATTCGCCCAAACCAATGTCCTCCCATGATATGACGACACGCGTAGAGGGAAGGAGTCAATTCATCTCGGAGTGAGTTGACCCCTGTGCGTAGGAAGCGTGGCGGAGTGTTTTATTGTAGCACCTGGACACGAGAACTTTTCACCTCTCTATGAGATAGGGTGTTAAGGACGAGGAAGGTGGCTCTTTTCCAGTTGCGACATGCCTAGGGCCCAAGCCGGAGGAAGTGTGGCTAAGCTAAACCAAGACATTTTGCTTGCAGATGTCTACTCATATTTCGTATTGGTATTGCGCTGCTGACACCAAAGGCACGGCACTCGAGGAGAAGCCAGAGGTGAGACGAGACTTCGAAAGTCCTCAAGTGGCTTACCAGTGTTCGCCGTCGTCCGGCTCAAAGTGCCATGTTCCATGCTCCATGTCCTCTTCTTAATGCCCCAGCCCCTGTCCGTTCGCTCTCCGTTCGTTGTCCGTTCCTTCTAGTCCTTCTTAAGTTGCCAGTTCGGGACGATGAGGTGGAGTGGAAGTTGTTTCTGATACCGCGGCCTGCCTGCCCCGTGAACCCGGACTAAAGGTACCCGCTACCTTTCTCTTTGGAAACCTCAGTCCGCCCTCACCCTCGCCCTCGCACGAACCGTTCCAGGTCAATGTTGACGTGCCTGGCACGTACTTCTGTGGAGTAATAATTAACACAAATAGGGAACGACTGGACTCTCTGCAGTTAGAGTCTACCAATAGACGGGCAGAACGACAAAGAGCATTGATGACTAGCCTCGATGTCTCCATCCCCAGCCCAGCCCGGTCCAGCCCAGAAGTTCAACCTTTGGCCTTCGACTTCGACCTCTCGCCCAGAAGAGGAAAGGCCAACAACACCAAAATAAAAAAAAAAAGGAGCCCGAAGGGATCGGATCAGAGACCACATCCACCCAGGCTGAAGACGACGATAGCCCAGATCATACACAGGTACTCAATGGTCAATATTCCCGTTTGAAGGCTAACGATCAAAGGCCCTTGATGCGCTTACTTCGTATGCCCCTCGATCCCAAGTTCCCAACGAAGTTGGCTATTTTCTGCTCCGTCCAACGACGCGCCTGCAATTAATACGCTTTTTTCCCCTTGCTATTTCCCTCCCCCTTCACCTTAACTCTCCTGGTTTAGCTCCCGTCTACGCCTACGAAGCGCTCCGTTCTGTGTTTCCGTCCCATGCACCCTCCCTCTTCCTTCTTCCTTCGTTCGTCTATTAGACTATTGTTACTATTAGCCTCCTTCCAGTCTCCTTCCGAAAAATATAGCGTTTAACCCTTTCCTCCTTTCCTCCTTTCTTCCTTCCCCTCCTCACGCCTTCGCCTTCGCCCTCGCCCTCGCCCTCGACACAGACCTCAGTCGCAGGGGAAAATAATAAAGAAAAATAATATTGGAAACTGCGACTTAAACCCAATCGAGTTACTATCCGATCGTCCCTTGCTTCATCACATTTGCACCTGCTTGGCCGCTTGGTCTGGTCTTGCTGGATTGGACTGAGTTTGTGCGGTCTGGACCCAGTCAGTTATATGCATGCACTAAGAGATATTATATCCCTCCATTTTCGAGCGCGTGTGTCCGTGTCCCGAGACCTCACTTCTTCACTTTCTTTTTTCCTTCCCTCCCCGCCCTCCTCCCTCTCTCGTCGCTAAACTTCAATTGCCAACTTCACCTTCTCTCCTCAAACCATATCTCGTCTAAACACACTTTGCTGGTCTAATCTCTGCATTACCACTCTCCATCACGTCTTTTTTGACCTTCTCGTTGCCGTCGTCGCGTCTTTTCAACGTGTCATCACCTGCTTTATTCGCGCCTGTTGACTCTTGTTGACTCGAAACAACTCTACTCTCCTGTCACACACTAGCACACACGCGTTCATCCACCTGCGGTTCTCTCTTTGTCTTTCTCACTCGCATCGGGTCAGTCCGCGATGTCTCTGCCCACCGAGAGCAGCATCTCGGCTGCTCCCTCGGTCCTGCCTCCCCTACCCCTTCTCGATGCTGTCCTGGACGGCTCTGCCGACCTAGCCTGTTCCTCGTCAACTGTTTCCTTCGCGTCGTCTGCCGTCCACTCGATCAGCTCGACACCTCCCACCTCCGTTTCCGACTCCTGCAGTCAGTCCTCGGATGTACCGAAACTCGAGAATATTACCGTCGCCGTTGATACGCCGCCTCCCCCCGATCTACCCGTTTCCGATCCCAATGGAGACGCAACGCCCCACGCCGCGTCAGCCTCCGCATCACGCCCCCGTCGTTCTTGTGCAGTTGCGACCTACAACTTGAACGAATTGAGCGGCACGTCGGCTCATGGAAAACGACGCGCCAATGGCGACATCGTGGCTGAGAAGCGCCGCCGGACGATTTCGGGTGATACTGTGGTTGCTCGTCAGAAGAAGGACCGGAATGACGGCCTTGCTGCGGCCAAAGATTCAAAGGGCTTGTTACGCGCCGGAATTGACGCGTTGGATCTCCAGTGGTCCATCAGCCAGCTCGACACGCCTCCTTCGCACCGTCGTTCGAAGAATGACCTACCTCCTCTCTCCACCAGCCTCCGCTCTTCGGCGCGTCTTGCCGGCGAGAGTGCGGCCGCCGCGGTTACCTCCCAAATCGCCTCTCTTAGCAAGCATGGCAAAAAGGCCCTGGAAAATACTGCGTTTGCCATGTCGCGCGAGCTTAAGCGCCTCCAAGACACCAAGGAATTCGCTCACATCGACGACCAGCCGGTGGTCCACACAGTCTGGAGCAACGGAAAGCTCGTTACTCTTACAAAGTCGCGCCGCGCGTCCGCGAAACAAAACGCCAAACAGAACGAGACCTCGTCCAGCAAATCGACGGCGGCGAAGGAAGAAGAATCTGCCCCGGAGGCTACCGCGCCTACGAAGAAACGCAAAGTCAAGAAATACCTAGAGAAAGGCCTTTATGCCGGTCAGCCAATGCCGGATACCTACACCATTGGCCTCACGACAGCTGAGAAGAAGCGCATGGCCCAGATTCCCGAACTGAAGTCGTTGCCTCAACCCACCAAGGTCCTTCCTTTGCCCATGTACAATGGCTTGCGTCTCCTGATTAAGGGCAGGGACTTCAAGCTTCCATTCGACGTGTGCAATCCCCTACCACCTGGCCAACCCAAGCCTGATGAATGGAGGAAGATGACGAAGAGTATGCGATCCTGTTTTGGCTTCTCTCTCTCCCTCTCTTTTTTTTTTTTTTTTAATTTATTTTTATTTTTATTTTTTATTTTATTTTTTTTTATTCTCGCTTGCTTTCGGTTTCTTGATGGAAATTGGACACGGGAACACTTCGAATTGGGTTGCACTAACATATCTTTTTGCAGATCGGTTCATTGGCGATTCGAAAGAATACTGGAGGAAGACTCCTCACATCAATGACTTCCAGTCCAAATGTGTCTGCAAGCCCGAGGACGGCTGCGGCGAAAGCTGCCAAAATAGGATCATGCTCTACGAATGTGACCAAACCAATTGCAACGTGGGCAAAGAGTATTGCACCAACCGCGCCTTTACCGACCTCGCCGAGCGTCGCTCTGCCGGTGGAAAATACAGAATCGGGGTTGAAGTCATCAAGACGGCCGACCGAGGTTATGGCGTTCGCAGCAACCGCTGTTTCGAGCCGAACCAAATCATTATGGAGTACACGGGCGAAATTATTACCGAGGAAGAGTGTGAGCGGAGAATGAATGAGGTCTATAAGAACAATGCCGTATGTTTTCCCACTTCTCTCTCTCCCCCCCCCCCCCCAAAAAAAAAAAAAAAAAACCACCGCCGCTTGAGGTTGGGCTAATCTTTGGATCTCCTTTAGTGCTATTACCTCATGTCTTTCGACCAGAACATGATCATCGACGCCACCACCGGATCGATTGCGCGGTTCGTCAACCACTCCTGTAACCCGAATTGCAGGATGATCAAGTGGATCGTGGGCGGTAACCCTCGCATGGCGCTCTTCGCTGGTGACAGGCCCATAATGACCGGAGAGGAGCTTACCTACGACTACAAGTTCGATCCATTCTCGGCGAAGAACGTGCAGACATGCCTCTGCGGGGAGCATAATTGCCGTGGTGTCCTGGGTCCGAAGCCCAAGGAGGCTAAGTCGGAGGCAAAGGGAAAGGCTGTGAAGGCGGCGCTGAAAGATTCTGTCAAATCTGGCAAGCGCAAGCTCAAGGAGCTTTTGGGAGGCGAAGATGAGAAGGGAAGTGCCAAGAAGCGCAAGATTAGCAATGCCAGCGGTGTCAAACGCTCGCTATCGAGCGCGAGCTTGAAGGCGGCGAAGGGTGCGGCCACGGTGGTCAAGAGGAGCGTATCTGCGGTGTCACTCAAAGCTAAGAGCAGTTTGGGCGGCCTCAACGCGAAAGGAAAATCGCCTACGACGAAGGCACAGTCCAAAGCGAGCAAGACCAAGGCGTCGGGGAAGGGGACGCCTCTGAGCGCGAGCAAAAAGCGCAACACGCTAGTCAAGCAGCAACAGCCCCGCAAGATCGCGTCGACTGACGCCCTGAAGAAGACGAGTACGGGTAGAGTCACGAAAGTGTATGCGAAGGCGCAGCAAACGCCTTCACCTACGAAGAGGCAGGCTAAAGGATCGGCCTCTCAAGTGCCGGGATCGACCATTGTAGCGGCGGCTGCTACTGGTTCCCAGGCCTCACCGGGATTTAGAAGTAGCCCAATCTCGAAGAGTGGTCGCGTCCGGAAGCTCACCGAGAAGGCGGCTTCGCCACGCATGGCGATGGAGCTATCGAGGGCAGCTCGAGTTCGTCTTGTGCAGTCGGATGAGTGAGGCCTCCTTTCTATCTGAAATGGGGAAAAAAGGGGGTGTATTTCGAAGGTAGGGGAGTTTAACTACGTCCAGACACCTTCTGGATAACGTCTAGAAGGGCGAGGAAGTGCACTTGTTTGCATCTGGAGAAAGGGGGAGGGGTGGGTTAATGCCTGTGGCTTTTCTGGTATTTTTTTCGTCTTCTTCTTTTTTTCTTATCACCTTTCACTTGTATTTCTTCTTCTCTACCTTGGCTTACGGTTGGGGAGTGTGTTGGCCTATCATGAGCAGTGGTGGACGTTGGGGCAGGGGTGTTTGATGGGGGGTTCGGTTGAGACGTTGGAGGATATTTGGGAAAAGGCAAGTTCCCTCGTGTGGCTCAAGGTTTTGACTCAACGTTCTTGCCTCCACGGGGCAAGGGAGAGCGGCGGGATAGTCTAGGATCATTAGGAAGCAGGTTTTCGAATTCACAATTCACACACCCTTGAGCTGATATGCTGGGAAGCTCCCACGTCGACAGTGCTAACATTGCTTTTCCTTGGTTCGCATGCTTCCAATTGCCCTATTTCGGTGAGCGCCGGTCTAATTGACGCTAACTTAACCTGGATGCGATCATGCGCAAACCTTGCTCTTTTTCCTCGTCCACAGCTGAAGCGGAGCGGAACTACGAAAGATGGAGAGAGAGAGCAAGGAAATCTCGTCTCAACCAAACATATGCTCGACCCGATGCCATTCAGACCCAGTGATATTTGGAATTCGTGGCCTTGTTCTTGCTTTGTAGTATCAATTGGGACACAATCACCGTCGCTGTCCCCAAACTTTTACCTGGAGCTGCAAGGCGTTCCTAGCGACCCAGAAACCAAAAAAAAAAAACAGGCGGACGCTTCCCCCATACATATGTGGCGTCGTCTTGGTGGTTATTTTATGTAAGGCGTTTTTTTGACTCTTCAATGTTCTCATTTTGACCCTCACCGCTACTCGAGCCCTTCCAATTGATAGCCAATTGAGCTTGGGAGGGCAAGCATTTATGATCACAGCAAGAAACAAGGTGTATGTGTATGATGTGAAGATGAAGAAGCACACGAGGCTTTTTCTGTTTCCTTCTTTTTTAAGGATAAGAGCCAAAACCAGATCGGTCTAGAGATTGAATTGAAGAAGTAAAATCTAGTCCGTGAAGGTAGGAGATCTACGGTCATGAGGGGATTGTTGAGATCCCAAGTTGGAAAAGAAACATGTCATGGGAGTGAAGCAAAAGTGAAAGATCCATGATCAAGAAAGTGGTGGAGAAGAAAAATACATGAAGATGAACAACAACAAGAAGAAAAAGAGTAAGAATAAGAACAAGAACAAGAAGAGGATACAGAAGAAGATATAGAAAAAAAACATTGATGAAAAAAAGATACAGAAGAATGAAGGAGGATGGCTGGCTGGCTGGCTCGAAGAAGCTGGACAAACGGTCGAAATAGGCAGTCTGATGTGTAAGATTAAACAAGGCAAGGAAAAGGAAAAGGGAAAAGGCCAGGCTCATCTCAACAACAAAAGTATTGACAGAGAAACGGGGAAAGGGGAAGAGAAGGCAGAAGAAGACAGGAAGAAGGAAAGAACCAATGGGAAGAAAAAACACGGAAGAAGAAATGAAGCAAGACGGAAGAAAAAAAGAAGAAGAAGAAGAAGAAGAGAAGCGATGGAAATGCAGGCAACGTGATCCTCCACCCCTGCAAACCTGCAAACCATGCAGCATCGAGCATGGTTACTCCATCTCCCTGCAAACCATGCTCCATCCCACATGGTTCCTTCACCTCCCTACAAACCCTGCAGCTCCAACATGCTCCCCACACCTCCATCGAGGAATATGCAAAGAATCCATCCACAACCGCCACCACTGTCTCAGTAAGAACTCCCCGGGAACTATTTGCGCCTTACTCCCGAGGTTGGTGTGCGCCACTCCGATGTGTCCCAACGAACCGCCGGTCAAACCAGGAATGGAGGAGAAACTCCTAGCCTTCGCATAGTGCCGGCGGCGGTTCAAGATTCGTAGAAGATGGCGACCTTCATTTCGTCTTGACCTCCTGCACGGGGCATTCGTCGCACCGCCATTCGTGGCAGTTCGGGCAAGCTACATCATTGTTGATATTTAGGAGTGCGCAGAGGCACTTGCAGCACGTCCAATGCGTATAGTTCTTCATCTTGCAAAGCTTGGCTTCGGTGGGAGCGAAGGGGGTATATGTGCTCTTTTCCCGCTCTTTGGGGAATGACGTGCCGTTGAGTCTTGACTCGAACTTGAGATATGGCCGGGACGGCTTAGTAGTTCGGAAAGCCCGTGAGAAGGGGATATGTGAAATTGGGAATGAGGATGGCAAGGAAACTGGTGAGATAGCTGGGAGACCTAAGAAAGCAACTTCGGACGTGTTGATGGTTTGAGGACACTTGAGAGAATGAGATAATGGAATTGGCGATGATGGCGAGAGCGAGTGTATTCAGAGCATCTTCTTGAAGATCGAAATAACTCTATATAAATAACTTGTAACGAGCTATCTTCCCCCGTCGGATGGCCGTCCATCAAAGTGTAAACACCAACAGCTTCAACGAACATGAATCGTGCAACCGTGAAGAGTCACCGAGGTAAACACCGGAAGTCTGCACACGCCAATGGCTCAGAGAAAAAAAGGTGTAAAAACACGCTTCATGATGACCAGGAGCGCTCTTGTGTGCGGCCGCCTCATGAAGCGTTCGTCTCTGGATGGTCGAGGTGATGCCATCGAACATCATGACGTGCTCCCGCCCTTCTGCGTGACGCTCGCGTGTCCCCCACAGCCACAAGCGTCGCTTTCCCGATCTCCAACCACGAGAGAAGAATTCCAGAATGCTGGAGGCTTCGGTTCGTCTTCTCGGTGGGTGGGGAGCACTTTCTTGGCTGCGCCGACATGGTGAAGGACATGAATTGACTGTCATGTGTCATGAAGGCATGCCGATGCACGAGATGTTGGGGCCATTGGCGAGCTGTAACGTCCTCTTCGGTCTCCGGTTGATGGCTAGGCTTATCGAAAAGGCGAAAAGGCGGAGGGAGCTCATCGTGAAGCAACGATGCGACTTGATGTCAACTACCATCCGAGGACTTCTCATGTTTCCGGTGAGAGATGTGGAAATATCACTAGGTGAACGATCAATAACTGAAATGGAACAAAGGCGTCATGAAGAGAGATACAGAGAAACACTTGGGCAGGTCAATGTGTCGTGTGAAGGCATGAGATGGCCCAGGCGCTGGGAAGAGCCAGAGTAAGGACTGCACTATCGTCAACCGAGCCACATTCCGCCTCATCATTATCATCTTCATCATCATCATCGGGGCTTCATCTCCCCGGCGCTCACGTTCCTCGCCGAAAAGAGTATCAAGGGAAAGGATGTCGAAAGGGAAAAGCAGCGAGCGCCTTGTTTCTTCCCAATGTCGTGAACTCGAAGCTCAACCGAGGGAAAACTCAACCGGGGCGTGTTGAACTGAAGCATAGATCGAATGGATCATGTTGGCATGTTCGAATTGCCCTTCGGTACATTAGTGCAGTGAAGCGAAGCGCAATGCCCAAACCATTGGTGTAAGTGGGAAGTGGGTCTGACTGATCAGTGGATCGTGACAATATAGAGGTCATAACTCAACCAAAAATAGCCAATTAGCGTTGGTAAAACCATAGGTAGTCCTTTTCGCCCTATTGCAAGGGTAAAGCTGTAGGGGTGCAGTGCAGTGCAATGTAGACTTGAGGGATTAAAGAGATTAAAGAGACGGCATTATGAGGCTAGAGAAGTCATCGTCACGATCACCTTTCGTTGGGTGAGAGGGGGAGCGCTGAGCAGCTTCACGACGATGGCACCGGTAACTGTGGGCTTTTCTTCTCAGCTGTCAATGGTCGTAGGCTCATGGAGCCTCTCTTCGGAGACACTCTGTGCGACGTTGCGAGCGAGACCGGGGTGCTGCCCAGCTCTCTGACAATGAGTAAATGATGTTGCAGAGCATTAGATAAGCCGCAAGCAGTCTTGGTTGCTCAATAACTTCCATCAATAGAGACGAGCGCGAGAAGAGAATGTTCCATCTTATAGACATTTCATCGGTCGACATGATCGAGGAAATCTAGGAAAAAGCGCAAGAGCCGCAAAGGACTTGGCGCCCGGATGACATCAAAGGTAGAGTCCAGGTGATGGGAGAATGAACGCCGGGCTGTAATGCCCAGGGTGGCCGCGAATACAACCGTGATGCGCCGCCATTGGGCTTGTTTGAGAGTAAACAAACCCGGTGTTGGCTCCAGAGCCTTGCAAACAAATCCCTATTTCGAGAGTATCATGCGCAGACGAAGTGTCAGATGCGGCTCAACTAGGACAGCCCGGCTGTGGGAAAATTCCGAGCACAGAAAGAATGGGCTTCGAAGATTGGCGTGCGCGTCTTCTTGCCCGATTCGTTAGGTTTCAGATGCATTGGAGAAAGAACGGTTGCAATTGGAATGTTTTTGGCAATTCTCCAAAGATTTTTAATTGTTTGTTCTGCAGGGCAGCTGCGACTCAGCTGCGTCTGGAATTTATTAGTAATCTCGGGCATTCTTCCCCAAGTGACTTCATACCGATGGACACGAGCGTCTACGTTTGGCAGCAGCCATCTCCGGCCACTCTTCCAATCATCTTCACCACAAAATACTGCTCTCCATCTCGACTCCAATCCGCTCGCGTGCGTCTTCACGCGCTTTCGTGAGGGGTTTGTCCGCGCTCGAAATCGAAACCTTCCTTAGAGAATGGCAACGCCGCTCGCGAAGCATGTCGTCCACTACTAGCACATCTCTCGGTGTGCGATGGATTACACGACTGGTCCCTTGTTTCCTCCTGGCCCTCGCCGGTTATGCCACCTACGTTGTCATAGGCCGGATATGCGGTACGTCGTGTCTCTGGAATCCCAGATCAATTGATATATATATATATTCTTCGTCATAGGGCTTTTTGTTTTGGGGCAGCTCTCGTTCTCAGCCTTGGCAGCTTATTGACAGATTGTGCCCATAGTCGACTTCCTCCTCCGCGAACGACACGAAACCGGGCTTGCCATCGCCTTTATCGTCCTCTACTTCTTCTTTTTCGCTCTAGGAATTACTTGCTACATTCGCACCATCTGGATCGTCAAAACCGACCCGAGTCTCGTGCCTCTCGAACCCAATTCGCGGGGCGCCAGAGTGCTAGAAAGTCGTGAACAACATCGTCGCAAGGGCCTCAAGAATGCGTTTAGTCGACCGTACAACGACGAAGAAGCTGCGATAGGCTATGCGCCTCTTGATTCGAACCCCGATAGCCCAGGACTGGAGAAGTTTTACTCCAAGAACGTCTTCGTTTGCGAGAGCGACGGAAGACCCAAATGGTGCCATGAATGTGGACAATGGAAGCCAGATAGGGCCAGCCATTCTCAGGAAATCGAGCGATGCGTGAGAAAGATGGACCACTACTGCCCATGGGTGGGCGGCATGGTGGCTGAGAATTGTAAGCTTTGTTGTTCTGTCTTCTTCCACATACAATGCAGAGCTGATATGCTAATATTTTTTTTCGTGCATTTTAGCATTCAAGTTTTTCGCCCAATTCACATTCTACGCCTGGCTTTTTTGTGCTGTTATTGTCTCTGCGGCAGCCTACACCATTGCCAAACAAGTTGAAGATGGCAGTGTGCCCGATGGACACACATTCGCGGTTCTCGTGCTTTCTGGTTTCCTCGGCTTCTTCAGCTGCGCCATGTCTGGGACGGCACTCCGTTTCATCTTGCAGAATATGACTAATGTTGACCTTCTCAAGAGGCAAATGAGCTATCAACTTGCCGTGAGAGTGCCCCTGGGAACGCAGCCCACCGAGAAGTTCGCAACGGTTACCTATCCCCTCCCGCAAGCACCTCCAATGCAGCAGGTGCAGCCTTCGCAACCGACTGCATCTCTCCCATCTCAACAGCTCTCCTCTCAGCCCATTGTCCAGGCTGCAAATTCAGCCCAGCCAAGGGCTGAGGAGGAACCTTCGAACTCCCGTGATAGACTCGCCCAACGTACGTTCGCCATCCTTCGCACAGAACCAGGAGAGAACCCGTGGGACCTAGGCTACAAGCGAAATTGGGTCACAACCATGGGAAATTCCCCCATAGACTGGTTCCTCCCGATCAAGAGGTCGCCGTCGACACTCCATGACAACCCGGAAAGCGAGTATCCGTACGGCGACCTTCTTGCGGAGCTCAAGGTTCGTTACGGACTCGATCCGAAGCCTTGGACGGACAAGGACGAAGGCATCGAGATGCGGGAGCGCAATCGGCGGTGAGTGGTCTGGGATACGATGACTTCATCCCCCATTACGACTGGAACGGATTCAGGCTGAGGAGTCCACTTCTTTTTTACGTATATCCAGCTCAGCACTTTGGTATTGTGTTCTTTCCTTCTCCTCGGTTCTTGGAGCATAGAAAGGGGTTGAGCATGAGGCGGTTATGGGGAGTTTTGAGTCGGCTACATTGATATCACGGTCTTGTCTTTTTTTTTTTTTCTTCTCTCCTTTGTTTTTCTTTTATTTATCTCTCAACCCAAGGCGTCGCGCATATAACGATGGAGGATGGAAACGGAATGTATCAAATATCCATAGATCCAATGTTTAATGTAATCAGATACTTCAATGCATCGATTGAGAGCGATGCTCTGTCCACTTCAACCACGATGCAAGCGACCAAACTAATGGTTGTTGACCATCATCATCCTCTCAGGTCCAGAACGTGGGGCAGATCTTGACGGTAAGATCGGAGCAATGAACCCCCTGTGCCACCAGGCTTTGCCCGAATTCTCCGCCTACATAGCGCGATCGTTCGGTCTAAACCCCACTATAATTCAGCCCACACCTGCCAGGAACCGTTGGGGAACACGACCGTCGGGGTCAATATTACGAAGCAGCACGGGAAATCATGATTGCATCCGCCGAGATCGTGAAGATCGATTCGTGAATCGTATCTCATCCTCATTCTCTCAGCCACGTACCTCGTCAACCTCGAATGTATGATTCTTCGCCCACATTGCGTCGTTCGCATTCGTTCCTCATTACTTCTTATTCCCAGCTAGCCGAATAACCAATCTAAGCTCTCCTACCTACCACGTCCCCGATGTCCAACGAACCCGTCTAACCTCTTTTCACACTCTACCTCCTTGCCTGCCTCCCTCACCCCCTCCCCCCCCCGCGAACCTCTCTTTCGTCCAAGATGGCATGCAATAGCTCTCAGCCAATGCAGCCGTCTGCATTCACTCACCGCCATCTCTCCCAAATGGCATCATACTCGACGGCCACACCGCTCCGAGTCATCGCCCATATCGACCTGGATGCCTTCTACGCGCAGTGTGAGATGGTGCGTCTCGGAGTCCCCGGAGACGTTCCTTTGGCGGTGCAGCAGTGGTACGGTGTCCCCTCCCAGCTTCATCGACTGTGGTTCTTTCTGTTCTTTCTTTCTTGTTTTCTTAATATTTTTTTTCCTTCTCGAAAATCCCGCCAACGGCATCCAAGTCACCGTAGATCTAGTGCCACGTATTGCCCGAGAAGGGGATAGATGCAAGATTGGTGGGCTTATGAAGTGACGCTACGCTGTACGCTACACGTAATATCTGAAATCTAACACACCCGCACATTCCCAGGCAAAGTCTCATAGCCGTAAACTACCCGGCAAGAACATTCGGCGTCACGCGCCGAACCACAATCACAGAAGCCCGCAAGCTCTGTCCCCAACTCGTCGCCCAGCACGTCGCCACCTGGCGTGAAGGGGACGACAAGTGGGCGTACCGGAGCGACGCCGCCGCCAACATCGCGCGGGACAAGGTGTCGCTGGATCCGTACCGTCTCGAGTCGAGGAAGATCCTCGCCGTCATGAAGGAGGTGCTGCCGCCGGCTCCGCTGCAGAGGATTGAAAAGGCGGGGATTGATGAGGTTTTTGTTGACCTCTCGGCTCACGTGCATCACATCCTCCTAGCGAGGTTCCCCGAACTCTCTCCCACTCCTGGAACGGATCCGTCGGAAGGGCTGCCTCCTCCGCCTGTAACAGCGCTGGACTGGCACTCGGATTGTCTCGTGCCTCTCGACGAAGCGGAGGAGGTTGAAGACCCGGACTGGGATGATGTGGCGCTCAGCATAGGCGCTGACATCGTACGCGACATTCGCGCTCGAGTCTGGGAAAAGCTACACTACACCTGCTCCGGCGGAATCTCACACAACAAAGTCCTCAGTAAACTAGGCTCCGCCCACAACAAACCGAACAAGCAGACCATCATCCGCCGCCGTGCCGTGACGTCCTTCCTCGCCCCCATCAAATTCACCAAGATGCGCAACCTAGGCGGCAAGCTCGGCGACCAAGTCGCTTCCGAATTCGACACGGAGGAGATCAACGGGCTCCTGTCTGTACCCCTCGCCAACTTGAGCGCGAGGTTGGGCCAGGAGACGGGCCTATGGGTTTACAATACTATCAGAGGGATTGACCATAGCGAGGTCAACTCTCGCACTAAGATTAAGTCTATGCTCTCTGCCAAGTCCTTCCGCCCCGCTATCAATACGCGTGAGCAAGCCGAACGCTGGATAAAGATCTTCGCTGCGGACATATTCAGCCGCTTAGTAGAAGAAGGCATACTAGAAAACCGCCGGAGGCCTAAGAGTGTAAACCTCCATCTAAAGCACAACAGTCGGACTCGTTCCCGCCAGACATCAATCCCTCCGGGTAAGAGTTTGGATCAGGCCTCACTCGTCGAGTTGGGTAACACACTTCTCACGCAAATCATGTCGGAAGGAGAGGTATGGCCATGCTTTCACCTGAGCATGAACATAAATGGCATCGAGGACGGTGTCACGGGGAATATGGGGATAGGGGGGTTCCTCATGAGGGGAAATGACGCGCCCGGATCAAAGGAATCATCGACGGTTCTACGGAGCGATCAAGCGGCTAGCTCGGATTCGAAAGTACAAGCCAATATCGATGGCGGAGCGGATAATTCCGAGAGAAAGCGTCGACGCTCCGGAAGTGAAAGGATAGATCAGTTTCTCGGCATGACATCTGTGCCCTCGAAGACTAGCCATGGCGACCAATATAGGGATGAACGTCGAAAATGCTACGCAACTAGTGGTAATGAGGCCCATGGCATCCACCCAACTATTCTGGAAGCAAAGCTCGACTTAGGGCGGACGAAGTGCCTTCCTATCCCAGAAGCTTCTAGGGACCTCAAAGGCCATAGTGGCCGGAATCGACTGTCAGGAGAAGGGCCGGCACTGACGTCAGACCATCGATGCCCAAACCGTTTCAGCCAGACCGCAGCTGACGAAAAGGATCGCCCCGCCCTGTTTACGTGCGGCAGATGTAATACATCGTTTGCTGATCCCACGGACCTACAAAGCCATAACGACTGGCACATTGCTTTGGCCCTCCAGGAAAGGGAGGCTCAGGTCGAAGAACGTGTTCGTTCAGCATTTGCCGGCCGTCTGGGCGGTGACCTTGGTCAGCTATCCAGTGCCAAGAGCGGGAGAAGGTTAGCAAGTGGGCCAACTACGTCTTCTTCAACCCAGTCGTCGAGACGGGGTGGTGGTCGTGGAACAAAACCAAGGCTCGAGCCGGGTCAGAAGCGCTTGAACTTTGGGTAACCAGCCCCCCCAGGAGGTAATATCGATTGGCGGAAGGTGATGACAGTTGCAACCCCCCAAACTGCTCATCGCCCTGGGGGATACCAACATGGACGGATGATATTCAAGATCAGGAGAAAATGGCCAAAGGTGGGGGGATGGAGAGGATACCCCTGGAGACGCCCCAGAACTGCACGATCTTCCAAATCGTGCCCATGAAGTTCCTGAGATTCTCGAAACAATCGATTCCGTGGCCTGCAGACACGCCACGACATTCGGCGTCTCTTTTTTTTTTTTTTTTTTTTTTTTGTTGAGGAGCAAGCCCGAATAGCGCTGGTTGAAAGGATCAATTGATTCCGGGGAGCAAGGGGTATAAGATAATTCCGCAACAGGTGAGCAGATGTCCTGCAGATATTCTCCTGCGAAAGTACTCCGAGAGGGTGAATGCAGCATCGCCAGGTCCGAAGCAGCATGCCTTGACAGGTCGCAGAATGGCCATATGCGGCTGGTACACAGAAAGCGATCACTAGCCTCTCGGATATGTTCAGGTTATGCCGGAAGCATCCAGACATGCCCCGTTTGCATGGCGTTCTTTCCATCTAGGGCTCAGGTGCCGTGGACAAGAATGGAATTGCATGGATAGCGACCCAATCCAAGTTGCGCAACTGCAGCAGAAACCAGGGTCCTTGGCCAGGGCTCCAACATCTTTCTATCCTATTCGCCTTTGGCAATTTTCGCCAATATCTCTTTTGCTTACTCTACGCGTCGGGCACCCTGGGGCAGGCTTAATCGAGAATGGAGGTACTCGGTATACGGGTAGGAACGTAAGATTGGGCGGCAATGTCAGTACCCGGCTTGTACGTGAGTACGCTTTCATGTGCTGCAGACGAAGAGGGACGATGCCAGAAGCTAGGAAATAATTTCTAGCGTCCACGAATGAAAGCCGATTCGGTTGTCTCGTTGTGGATTTGAGTCTGAGAATAAAGCATCGAGAAGCTGAAGTTGGTGAAAGACTACTCCCAATGCGGCCCCCCTCGACTTCGTTATCTGGGAAGAGGACGCGCTGCATTGGCGTCGTCCACCCCTCACGTGCCTGAGTAGGAGGTCGACTCTGCACGGGGTTTGGCAGATGACCAGAGACGAGGGCGGGCGAGGTGTTTGTTGCATATCCGGACAGCGAATTACGCAATGACTCCACAAGCGAGATATTGATACGGTTCGAGTGATTCCCTCTGAATCAACTCATCCAAGTAATAATGGACATGTGGCGCCTTCGAGGTGAGCAGGTGAATTGATTCTGCCAATGTTCGCCGGGTTCCTGGTGAAATGGAAGCCCCCGGTCGTCATGCCGTGAAAGCGACTTTGGGTGGGTGCAAGTGCTGATTGGCTGCGGCTCTTCGTTAGGCACAGATGCTGTTGACTGTGGATGTGTCGGGCATCGATTGGCGCGATTCTTCTGGAAAGGGACAATAGCTTGAATCTGAAGCTTTTCTCTGGCTCTTGCTCGACTCTGCAAGGCATTGCTACCCAACAAACAACAACGGTGGCAATGAACGGTTCGAAATGGGCAATCTAACGGGGTCCTGCATACCGCCGACTTGTAGCATGCAAGTGTGTCTTGTATCATTTACCTATGGGGAGAGATGTGTTGCGCGTTTCATTCTCCCCTACACCCGGTAATTGGTAGGCGATAGAGAATTGGAGATTAGGCCTGCATGATCCCATCCAGCGACAGACACGTCTTTGTTGCTGTTTGGCGTACTTCGTAGCTGGAGCTGCTGCGACCTGCCTGAGTGGGTAGTGCAGATTCGAAGCCGTTCTCTCATGGGCTTGGAATGAGTCAACCCGAGCCCGGAGAGAAGCAAAATGCGGTGGTTATTAACAAGCCATTCGGGACAGATTATTCTGCTGTTGAGACCTCGAAGTCCGGCCAGGATTGCCAGGATTGCGAGTGGAGAGATAGAGAGCTGAGTCGGGCTTGGTGTATTAAAGGAGGGAAGAAGTCGAAGGTATTTCAAACTTGTAGACCTGACATGCTGTTCCGGCCTTGTTCTTTCTTAGCATCCATTTCCCATACTAAAACATCCAAATCTTGAAGTATTGGGAGAGAGCCAGGCAGATTCCGGGCTGTCTTCACTCTTCCCCCCTCAACGCTGCATCGGCCAAACCTAACGGTTACCGCCTCAAAAGCTGTCAAATCTTCCCACTTCTGATACCTAATTAGGATCACCGAAGGCGCCTTCTTCTTCTTGTCTCTTGTCCGTTGTCTGTTGGCATGCAGAGGAAGGAAGTGCACAAACGAGAGACTCCACCAAACTGCCCCCAGAAACAGAAAGAGAAACGGGGTCAGATGTACATCAACGGCTACCAGAGCACATGCGGTACATTTTGCGATGTAATTCTTATCCCTCAGGACTACCAGAAACCCAACTTTGCTCTCCTTTCAAAGCCCTTTGACTGGCACGAATTTCCCTCGACCTGACCCGAGGTTAGGTTTAACAAACAGCAGACAGAATAAACTATTTTTCCCTCACAAGATTCCCGTTTATTCAATTTTCCCTCCCCCCCTTTTTTTGCTTCCTTCATCGAGAATCCATTCGCCATCTTGACGTCTTGTCCTTCCAAAATTAACCGGCGTGGATACATCGATAGTCAAGTCACTTGGTACTTGACTCTTGCCCAAGTCGCCTTTCCTTTACCGCTTGGTTGGATCCCGACTGCCTGAACCGTTTGCTGAGCACCCGGTACCAGCCGTCTGCTGGTACGATCCTTCCAACCAGGGTCCAGCCTCCCCCCCCCAAGAAACACAGCGCGTTGTGCCTGTCGTTTTCGACCCCAGCCATTTCGCACGCCCGAGTCAACCCCGCTTCTACCGTTTTCCGGCTCTTCCACCGTCTCTCAAGTCAACAGTGATTGAACCTTCGGCGTAAACGTATTGGCCCAACGGCAGACACTTCTGATACCGTTACGACTGTGCCCACCAGTCGTTCGCCTCTGAAAAGAGCAAACTGAATACAAAAAACGGTAGTCAAAAACGCTTACCGGGCTTGGATGTACTTGATGCATCCATAAATCCAACAAGGCCTACGATTCGCCCTCGGTCTTTGATCAAAACCTGTCCTCAGGCTACCAAGCCTGCCTGACCACCAGTTACCTTTCGTCTCAACCATTCCTCCCCTCCTGCCATTTCTCTGGCTCCCTCCACGGCAACTCTCACCCAACAGGAAGACGGTCAACATCCGCCACCCTGTCTGACGCTGCATCATTGACTCCTTGGTGGTCCATCTGCCTTCCTATTCACTCCATACGTTGCACATTATACCCAAACTGTCCAACCACCGCTTGGGTGTGCTCAATTCAGCGGAGATAGGTCGAAGAGTTTGAAGCCCAAGAAAGGAATAACACACGCTTGAGGCGAAATCCCGGTGTGGCTCTTTCCTCATTTTTGGTTTGATGTGACTAGGGGTTTAAAGCCTGTCCATAGTTGTACTCAGCTGTCTTGTACTCCGCAAAAGAGTACTTTGGGTCTACCAAGTTCGAACCAGGGGACTTTTCGCCTCCACTTCTGCCTTCGCCCAGAGTCACAGGGCCAGTCATTTTTTTGCTGCAGCCCTGGCCCGACCCCACCGATACTCTTTCCCCTTCTAAACCAGACAGCCCCCCATCCTCTCAGGTTCCATCTTTCTATTCACATCCTTTCCCTCTTCAACCATCAACTCAGCGCTGCAGGTCATTTCACATCACCTCTTCTCTTTAACCTCCATTTCCCTTCCTCATTACTCTCATCCATCTATAATGGCACGACGACCTCCCCCCGCGCAGCCGATGGCTCCCCCGCAGGCGCCCAATTCTCGACAGAACGAGTACTTCATTCCCCGCGATGGCATCGATCGCGAAGTGATCACGGCGGATATCTGTCGTTATCTCGGGAATGATGCCCTCGTTCGCCCTGGCACTTACGATGTAAGCCATCACTCTATTATCGGAGGTGCAATTGATTTTGCATCGTTCCTGTTCGGTTCTGCTGTTGCCTGATTGCGATGGCAGACCATCTCTCTCTCCCAGCACTTAAAGACTAATCATTCATTAGGACCCTGAAACAGGTCATCAAATAAGTGGCTACTACATCACTGCCTATCGAAACTTGACAACAGTGAGCCCCCATTCTTCCGACTTGGTCTCGTGTCGACCATCGATCGAGGCCTCTCTCAGACCTTCGCTCGATATACTGAACATCGACGTTTTTTTTCCATTAGGCCATGATCGAGGACCTCAAAGCCGATTCAGCTCGGTGGGAACAGGAGAGGCGGGCGAAGTCGTCCCGAAACGCCTCCGGAGGTATCAACGCTCCGAGAGACTCATCGAATCCCATATACTCTAGAAAATCTAACTCACCCACCACAGTCCAATACCACCATTCGGATACCTATGCCAGGAGACAACGTGGCGGACCGTCTGAATCCATACCCTTCGGTAGTGGTCGTGAATTTGATCCCCCGCCCAGTCATGATGGTCCTGGATATGCTGGGTACACTCAGCAGGGTGGTGCTGGCCAGTTCATGCCACAGCAGCAACAGCCCCAACCAGGCTATCCCGGAGCAAATCAGAGGACTCCCTATCCATCTGGTTACCCTCCGGCTCCCAATCAATACTCTCAGCAGGATCCAGGCTATGTACCGTCAGGTCAATCTAACATGGGCTATCAGCAAAGTCAAGACACATGGGTGCATGGAGCCGCCCGGCCGATGAACCCCGGATACAGGGAACCATCCCAATACAGCCCTGGTATGGGCACCCGCGATCACATGATGACCACCCCGCCACAACAAGGAAACTACCCTCCTCCCCAACACTCCCAGCCCGCGTATGGCGGCCAGGACTACTACGCCCCGGGCCCAGGCGGAGTATATCAAACGATGCCTCAAGATTCCCTCTATGGTCGTGGTGGAGCGTACCAAGATCGAGCGCCTAGTGCACCAGTGTCAAAACCGCCTGAGCGGTTCTCAACGACGGCCCCTTCTCAACCCCCTCCTGAAGTATACGGTGGACCCATGCAAGGACAAATGCCAGGCCAGATTCCAAGCCAAATGCAAGGACAACAATTCGATGACCCTTCTAGGAACCACGACCAGACTTCAGTGCCTCCTCCCCCACGGCGACAGGAGACGCCGAAGCACCAATCCTACAAGAGTGGTGGCGGACTTCGATAACTGCTTTCCATCTTCTTCGTTTCCTTCGTCAAACTACACTTGAAGGACCTGAATTCTCCCGCCCTTACCTCCTTTTCCCTATCATCCATCCTCCATACCCCTCGCTCTCCCCCCTCCTCCCACCCCTTTTTTTCTCACCATCATAGGGTTCTTTGAAGAGCGTGAGTGTCGTGAGCTTCGGGACATGTAACCTGCTTCATCGGCCCTGATGCGCGCGTAGTTTTGCCAGTACCCAGGAAACCTTGGAATGGATACCGCTCTTCCCAGGAACTTGCCAGGAATTTCAACGTTTTACTGTCCAATACTCCGGCCCTATTGGACGACCTTGTTTCTATCTACCCCACTGGAATGCCAAAAGCAGGATGATTCTGAGCAGCAAGTTTGCTCTCTAGTCTCCGCGAGGCAAGTCAATTGGTTGCATCCCCGGATTTTATTTCCTCAGTTCAGAGACCCGGACTCATTACCAGTCTCCGGTTATGATAAGAACGGAGTACTACAGTTTCTCACAGTTCCTTTTTCAGTCCCCTGGACTCCTTTGTGGAACCTGGATGTTTCTCATGACGTCTGATGAGCTGTTTATATCTTTGTTGATTTGCAACCCCGGACCGGAATCAAACCGGTTCCCGTTTATTTTCTCTTATTTTTCCGCCTGGCACGCCAGCCTGCATGATTGCTCATGGTAAATACGTTTTGGAGGACACCGAGTGTTAAATGACAAAAGAAACTGGAGAGCAATGGGAAGATCTTGAGATTAATGTTTTGGGAGGATATCGTTATACGAGGCTGGCGGCGGAGCATCCCATACTTGCGTCACCTTGCTGTCCGGATCCGGTCCGCTTATCTCCAATCTGTGTCGAAGGTCGTTCAAGTTTGTTTATCTCTGCTCTGCTTTATTCGAGTTTGTGTTCTTTTGCGCGATCATTAGAGCGTGTTTGCTTGCTGTCTCTACATTATTATCTCCGGAGCTGGTGGAATTACAGGTTGGGCGGATCATTGTTTATTTCTTTTTTTTTTTTTTTTTTTTTTTTTTTTTCTTTTTTTTCACCGGCCACTTCAGTTGTTTCAATTTCCTACTTGTCTATCTCCGTCCTCTCTTTTGATTTGCGCCTCATCTCCTAGCCCGCCGTCATCTTGCTCTGATCATGAGCCAATGTGTTTCATTCTTTTTTCTTTTTTTTCTTTCCTCTTGGGAGACAACCGCGGCCCCGGACAGCAAGGTGAGTGAATACCCATCAAGGTGTATATATACGTGATGATCAACAGCATTTTGGACAAGGACACCTCAAACTTGCGCTCTCGGGCACTCTCCTGGATTTTGTTGTCTCTACTTTATTCTTGGCTGTTATCATGATACGTGTTCTGCTTCTTATTGCCTTTACTGACTTGATTCGGCCGTGTATACCAAACCATTGGCAACATATCTTCCGTTGGACTCATCCATCTGGCTACCGGTACCTGGGCTTGTTCTTTTCCACTGGAACGCTACTTGCTACCTTGGCTTGATAGCAATTGCCTTAAATTTCGGGGCAGTTTTGAGTTTGGGTCTGGCCAGACACGGGATTAGCAGCAACTGCGTCTTCTCAAAAGGAATCAGCCAGCGTGGTTTTCATTCCGTGGACCCGAGGAATTTCATCTTTATGAGCCATTACCAAACTCACAATAGGGGAGGCATCAGATCTGTCTGAGCTGTAAGCCCCTGGACATGATGGACTTTCCGGCCACACGCGACTCTCTGTTTTGTTGACGCAGACTTTGCCCACGTGGCTTCAACTAACTGCGTTGTGCCACTGCATTCGTTCTGTTTGGTTATGCTGTCGACTATGACTCCTGGGGCACTTTAGAACAACCTTAGGCTGGATATATATCGTCAGCCCTGGCGAACAACGGTACATCGGTCGATGATGAAGGCCTTTGCTATCATCCCGGAACATCAGGCAGTCCCGTATTCCTTTCGGACTTTGGAACTTTGGAACAGATTTTCCCTAGGACTCCGATTTATGGATCCACTACGTTCGACTACCCAGCCGGAATTCATTCCCATCAGTTCATCTGCCAGAATACACAGAGCGTTCCGTCCCAGGGGTCTAGTTTTGAGTTCCCCCGGAGCCGGACATAACTTACCAGGGGATACATTTGCCGCCGGATGTCGCTGACATGAGCCTCGGATAGACGGCGGGGGGGAAGAGTGGTGTGCGGATGGGTTCTCAAGGGCAAGTGGGTTTTGTAAGGGGCTATTGGATCACTGTGGGAAGTGATTAGAGATTTAGGAGATTCCTTGGCATCGATCCTGTACTCTGTTAGGAAGTGTGTGAAAATTGGTCTTGGGCATTTGGCGTTTAGGTTCGAGGAACTTGATTGTTTGTATGATATCAGATGCGTCTCTTCGGTCTATGTTCGATTACAGGTTCATTCTCCATCTGAGAATAAGTCATCACGACCGAGCGCACGGCGTAATTCATTTCAGCGTTGATACATGGCCTCTACGACCCCATACCTCACTGGGTCCTGCACATTCCCGTGGGCAAGCCTCTCTGGAGAAACTTGGTGAAGGCTAACCCCGCGCCGCCACCTTGGACGGTTGATTCATCGATTCCGGGCCTGACAGATGCGAGGATAAGGCGCAAGCATAAATGAGACAATCTCTGCCTAATGATGACCTCCTTCCATTTTAAGGGTGTTTCTCATTCTATGAACATTCTATGAAATGCTTCGTACTTGAAGATCGCAAACAATACTACGTAGACCCCAAAGCCAGGGACAGAAATATGTGGCTGAACCCAACGACACGGTGCATTGCTGGGAGAACTAATTACGCTGCCGGATTCGGGGGAAAAACAAAGAGATGCTAGGCAAGATAAGAGGCTGGAATGACTCACTCGAGCATCCGACACCCGCGTACTCCAAGATTTGAGCATTTCCCACCAGGTGGCTTGGGAAAGTTGCAACGTGCGTTCGTCCTGGTTGGTTCATGCCCATTCTTGTTGGGTTGCGAAGTTGGGATCTGGGCGTGGTCTGAGATTAGACTGCATATTCTATGTCCCTGTGCCTGGCCCACCGAATCCGTGTTTCTTACCCGTGAATTAACCGCATCACTAATATGACACCAATATGAGAACAATTTTGCAGCAATGGCGGTGGAGACTGCTACCTAAGAGCTAAACTTCATGCAATATCGTAACCAAGAGAAGAATTTTCCGAGACAGTATCAAGCTCAACCCCATTACCATTGCCGGGTGAGGGAATGAAATTCTTGGATTATGGTTCAGGCGAAATACTATGTAGGCCCTACCCTAGCGAGATATGCGAGGATGGGGGATCAGCTAGGGAGAGAAGAGAAAAATGCCCCAGAGTCTGGAAAGCCATGAGGAAGGCTTGCTTGCCGCAGCTTCAACGTGTCTGGGAACTTCGCTCTTGGCGTGGTTCCTGGTGATGTAGATACACAATCCTTCGCGTGGCTGAAATAAATGCCCTTGGACAACTCATAGAGCGGGATGGCAGCATGCGGATGCAGAATGTGGAAACCTGGGGTAAATAACAGGAATCCCACCGCTCCAAGACAACCAAGCCTCTTCGGTTCGATATTGAAGAGGACCGAGGTATAGGTACACCGCCCTTGCGGCGGCGTTATGATTTTCACTGTAGTCATTTCTCGGTGTGGCAATATTGAACTATTTCAACTGAAATTTGGAGCCAGGAGGGTATTTTGATGTACTTCATCATTGACCTTGCCGCTGGGCTGGACATGCATAGATAGGACTTGTACCTTTGTATTTATCGATTTGATTGACCTGAGTGTTGGGTACAAGCCCAGCCCTACCTCGAAAAATGGCCGTTTTCAATTGGTCAAGTTCCTCGGTGCTGAGGTAATCCCATCGAGTGCACAATTTCGTTTTCAAGGTACCTTGACAAATGTACCTGACCGGACTTCGCAGTTGGTAAAACCACCCGGACCAGACTCTGAGAAAGTAGTGGGTCCCCCCTCTTCATCCATCTCTGGCAGAAAAACAACAATGCCACCCATTCCACTCCTGACCGCCTTTGTCCCTCGAAAATAATACCAAAGAACGGGATTCCTTTCATCTTTTTTTCGCCCTTGTGCAACAACCTCTCGCTAGTATCATTTCTACACTCCTTGAGAAAGCGCAGCAGGTGAGATACGACGAACGAGAGAGAGAGAGACGAGTGGGAAATAGAGGGTGATCCCACTTCCCGAATTCACAAACCGAACAGGCAGGCCAGGTCCTCTTCACCAGTCAACACCTGACGCCTTTTCCAGCACCACTGTGGGCATCCGGTTCGCTGATTTCAAGCCCTGTGGTTCTCACTGTCTGGCTGAATTCTCCCCACCTCCTTGGCTCTCTTTCCCCTGATGCCCCGCCATTGCATCGTACCTTCGCACAATTTCCAACCTTTCAACGCCCAACACCTCCTCTGAACATTGTCAGCGCTGTCGACTCGGGGACTGCCCATAGCCGATAAAAATGGATATCGCCAACGTTCGAGGGTTACTCCTCGCCACGCTGGATGCCAATGCCGACACACGAAGGCATGCCGAGCTCCAGCTCAAGCAGGTACGTCAACAACTCTTCGGACTCGGTGAACGCCGCCCACGGGCAAAAAAATGCGGGTTGCCAGATAGCCGTCCTTTGCGAAAGACGCGACAGAGGAATCGTGCCTTAGTTCCATCCTAAGCCAAAGTATCCTATTTATTGCAAAGACTCAAAATTTGGGCTTATGGATCAGTTTCTATTTGTCACCCGAGGATGTGGGCTGGCTCTCCTCGCGTCTCGTTCCTGTGGCAGGATGCAAGCAGCAATTCAAGCACGATGTGGCTTATTTCGTCTCCGCTGACCGATCGACTTGTATTTTCTCTAGGTCGAGGACCATGGCGGCGTCATGGATGCGCTCACCGAGATTATGCAGACCGAACAAGACAACAACGTTCGTCTAGCGAGTACGCCGGCCCAGAGACCGCCTGCTATGTGCGTTTCGGTGCTAACGTGGCTCTCTAGCTGCCATCTACATCAAGAACAGAGTAAATCGTTCCTGGTCACGGACCGAACATTACGCGACCGAGAAGCTTCTCCCAGAAGATGAGAAGGCCCGCTTCCGCGACCGCTTGCTCCCCATCCTTGCTGCCTCCCATGGCCCCGTCCGCCAACAGCTCGTTCCCGTCCTCCAACGGATTCTTCAGTTCGACTTTCCCGACAAGTGGCCCAATTTTATGGACTTCACGATGCAGCTCCTGAACACCAACGACGCCCCTTCGGTTTTGGCGGGTCTCCAGTGCCTTCTTGCCATCTGCCGCGCCTACCGATACCGCTCCGGCGAGACCCATAACCGCACGCACTTCGACAAGATCGTGGAAGTGAGCTTTCCTCGTCTCCTCGCCATCTGCAACGAGCTCGTGAATCAGGAGAGCGAAGAGGCTGGTGAGATGCTTCACCTTGCCCTCAAGGCTTACAAGCATGCCACATGGGTAAGTCTTCTTTTTCTTTTTTTTTTTTTTTTTTTTTTTTTTTTTTTTTTTGGGGGGGGGGGGGGGTTCAGAGCGCTTGCGCCCTTAGGGGTCCTCACTACAATACACGGGCTCCCGGAATCATGGCTAACACGAATGGGCCTTATTGCCCTCTCCTAGCTTGAGCTTTCACCTTTCCTGCGACAGCGCGATAACAACATCGCCTGGTGCACCGTTTTCCTCAACACCGTCTCCAAGACCATTCCGGCTATCGCCATGGTCGAAGAGGACCCGTACGAGCGCGAGAAGCATCGTTGGTGGAAGGCGAAGAAATGGGCGTACTTTAACCTTAACAGACTCTTTATTCGGTAAGTCTGTCCTAGCTGACGCACATTTCATGTGGCATTTTGACGGCGCTAATCCGACTCCTGGTGTAGACACGGAAATCCCTCTACGTTTACGAAATCCGCCGACCCCGATGTTCTCAGGTTCGCCGAGGAGTTCATTGTTAGGATTGCTCCAGAAATTCTTCAGAAATACCTCCAGGAGATCGAGAAATGGGTTACCAAGACCACGTGGCTTAGCCGACCTTGTCTTTCGTATACCCTCGTCTTCCTTGACGAGTGTGTGCGACCCAAGGAGATGTGGCCCTACTTGAAGCCTCATCTTAACACCCTCATTACCCACCTTGTCTTCCCGGTTATCTGCCTGTCTGAGGAGGATCTCGAGAAGTTCGAGGATGAGCCCGAGGAGTACCTTCATCGGAAGCTCAATTACTTTGAGGAGGCTTCCGCCCCCGATATTGCCGCTACCAACTTCCTTGTCGGCTTGACCAAGACGCGGCGGAAGGAGACGTTCGAGATTCTCAAGTTTATTAATGCCGTCGTCACAGAATACGAGCAAGCGCCTGACGACAAGAAGAACCACATCGCCAAGGAGGGTGCGCTGCGCATGATTGGAACCCTTGCGCCCGTTATTCTCGGCAAGAAGAGCCCTATTGCGGACCAAGTGGAATATTTCCTTGTGCGCTACGTCTTCCCCGATTTCACCAGCTCCCAGGGCTTCCTTCGTGCGCGAGCTTGCGACATCGTCGAGAAGTTTGAGCAGCTCAACTTCCAGGACCAGAATAACCTCGTCAGCATTTACCGACACATTCTCGACTGCATGGCGGACCCCGCGCTCCCCGTTCGCATCACCGCCGCTCTCGCCCTTCAACCTCTCATCCGACACGACATTATCCGAGCTAGCATGCAGCAGAGCATCCCGACCATCATGCAGCAACTCCTTAAGCTGGCTAACGAAGCTGATATCGACGCTCTTGCCAACGTGATGGAGGACTTTGTGGAGGTCTTCGCTACTGAGCTCACCCCCTTCGCTGTCGCCCTGAGCGAGCAACTCCGAGACACGTATTGTAGAATTGTGCGGGAACTCTTGGAGAAGAACGACAAGCTCGGAGAAGACAACGAGTATGGTGAATATCTGGATGATAAGAGTATAACGGCGCTCGGTGTCTTGCAGACCATCGGTACCCTCATCCTGACTTTGGAGAGCACTCCCGACGTGCTGTTGCACATTGAGACCGTCTTGATGCCTGTTATCCAAATTACCTTGGAGAACAAGCTCTATGGTAAGTTGAAGTAAAACCCTATGGAATGGGCAGCGCCCGATGCCCCCCCCCCCCCCGGGGTACTGTCCAGACTATTTTATTTGGCTCGGAAATTATAAGCGTCCTACATACTGACATGATTAACACAGATCTTTACAACGAGGTGTTTGAGATCATTGACAGCTGCACCTTTGCCGCCAAGGCGATATCCCCGACCATGTGGAAGGCATTTGAGCTTATCCACCAGACGTTCAAGTCGGGCGCGCAGCTCTACCTCGAGGACATGCTTCCGGCCCTCGACAATTTTGTCCAGTACGGTGCTGCCGATCTGACAAGGAAGCCGGAGTATGTCGAGGCTCTGTACTCGATGGTCGCGGAGCTCTTTGTCGACGATAAGCTCAGTCGAGTGGATCGGATTTGTGCGTGCAAACTGGCGGAAGCGATGATGCTGAGTCTACGCGGCCACATCGACCAATGTGTCCACGGGTTCATCGACATGGCCATGAGCATCCTTGCGACTGAGGAGATCAAGGGCAAGTCGTACAAGATTCACCTCATGGAGATGGTCATTAGCGCGGTTCACTACAACCCGATCCTCACGCTTCAGGTGCTCGAGTCGAAGCAGTGGACGAATAAGTTTTTCAGCCTCTGGTTCGGCAACATGAGCTCCTTCACCCGAGTCCACGATAAGAAGCTGTGTGTGGCTGCCATTTCTACCCTGCTCAGTATCCCTCCGGAGAGCGTACCGACCAGCGTTTCTACTGGATGGCCGAGGCTTCTTCAGGGAATTGCTGAACTGTTCAGGACCTTGCCTGCTGCTATCAAAAGTATGTCTCCGCCCCGTGTTCCTTTTCCTGCTTTTATTATCTTGCCCTCTTCCAATTGCGACCATGTTCTTTTTTGATATACTACGCTATGCAATTAAGTTTTATCAATAGCATAATTGCCAAAAAAAAAAAAAAAAAAAAAAAAAAAAAAATGAAAAATTAACACTCCCTTCTCTCTAGGCCGCGAAGAGGCGTTGAAGGACGATTACCAATACGACCCTGGTGCCTACGACTATGGCGGCGATGATGACTGGGCTGACGAGGATGCTAGCTGGGGTGAGGACGGAACGCAGTCCGCAGAGGCGCCGCAGCCAGGACAAGAAGCCGAACCGGCCACGGAGGGTCGGGACGAGAGCAGCGCCTACTTGGATTTCTTGAACGAGGAAGTAAGTAGAAAAAAAAAAAAAAAAACAAAGAAGTGACATGCGGCTGGCAGCAAAGGGGAAACTCGGAGCCTAGAGATACACTAACAGCTCTCGTTTTATTACAGGTTCAAAAGTTCCGAGGCGCAGATGAGATCGACTCTGATGACGATCTCGGCGAGGAGAGCCTTATTCTTGACTCTCCTTTAGACAAGATTGATGCGTATCAGCTCTTTGCCGCTACTATACACAGTATGTTCTATTCAATCATCATGATTGGATCTTGACGGGGATTCTCGTTCGAGTGAGTGTACGGACTTGCTAACAACGTAACAGAGATGCAACAAGAGCAGCCACAGTTCTACACAGAACTTGCGCGACAGATCTCGGCAGACGATATGGGAATGATCCAGGCGGCGATTACCAAGGCGGAGCAGACCGCGATGGAGCAGTTGGCGCTCGCTCAGCAACAAGGGGCTAACCTGCAGATGCAGCAACCGACTCCCGGTGCTCCCAATGGAGGAGCTAACTAAAGTAATGAGGAATATGGAAGCAGCAATGCTCAAGTACGAAGGGAAACGATTATGAAGGAAGGGTAATGACGAGGCGAGTCGAAGTTGAAACAAAGTATTGAGAATCTCAGGTCGAGCGCGGAAGAGAGATGACGAGGAACAAGTTCTTTTGTTTTATAGGTTGGAACCTGTTGGAACAAAAAAGCGACATTAGGTAGAAAAAGAGGAGGAGCCATCATGGAGAGAGAGAGAGAGGGGGGGAGAGAGAGCAAGGATATTGCAATGCAGCGAGCAGATCATATCTGCTGTGCTTGCTATGTCTTCCCTTTCGAAGTCCCCTATTGATATCATCACACACATAACATTGATTCTTGTTTTATTCCCCCTGTACTCACATCACGATCACTTTGCTTCTCTTGCCTCTCCCAACCACCCCTTTTTCTACCCTCCCTCTCATCCCCAATACATTCACCACCACCACCCTTTGACTCCGACAAAAGGCAGAATAGGGAGGGAAGCCCCTGATTCGATGATTGAAGGAGGACCCGATATAGTTGTTCTATTCGCTGTTGGTGCTTGAGAAACGCGGTCGAATTGCTAGAAAGGGGAAATTAAAGTAGATTTCTTGCATGCTCGTTCCTGTGGTTCCTCTCTGCCTTGGTTGGTCTTGCTTTGTACTATGGGTCAGTCTCAATTACAGGCGTCTTCTCGCCTCTGTTGGACTAGGCTGCTGAGAGAAACTCGATTGTCGTGAGGGAACATCAGAGGTTTATAGCCGAGTCTGGCGGGGGGCCTGAGGGAGAGGTGTCTGTCTATCTGCGACCTGAGCTCAAATAAATTCGATTGATGTACCTGCAAAGTTGAATTGGGAGAAATAAGACCTAAATGGCAAACGGGGAGAGTGGTCATCCGTGGATAGTGTTGGCGGCTATATCGAGAAAGGGATCAACTGGGCCGAGATTTTTGATTGGGCTGGCTCGGCGAGGGCGAGGACGAAGACGACGATGATTGGGAATCTGGAAGCCAATTGTGCCCCAAGTTTCATGAAGCGCATTTATCGATTGGTGTTCTAGCAAACGTATAACATTCGGACTTGGCCAACAAGAGGTCTTCAACTTAGCGGTAGTTGAATGAGCCTGGATATAGGACTAAAATGAGAAGAGGACGATGAAGATGATGAAGTCGTCAGTATCCGAATCCGGATTAGGAAATCGGATGGTTCCGGTATGTTCGTGGGCCTTTGGAGAATGAAATAAATTATGCCTCCGAGCTGGACGAGGCCACGGCAATATAGTAGAATTAGATGAAATATATAGATCGATTAACACATATATATGCGTCCGTATATAGCTTGACAAAATTGTATAAATGGTCAATGATGGTTCCTGCGGATGTATGCCCCCGGAGCTGGGGGACAGGCGATTTAACGTTGAACCTCCATTTCAGTTTTTTGGGGATGAAAAAGAGATTAAGAGAGATTAGTTCCTGAGTTTGGCAAATGACTGTCGGATAGGGCCGAGTCTTCCCAATTGACTCGATCTCGCCCCTTCGCAAGCTCGACCTCGGGCTCTTTCCTCAGTCAACCTCTTGTATCGAGGTCGTCGTCGCTTTGCGCTCCCTTCAACATGAAGCTCTTCGTTTCGTTCACACTCGGTGCACTCGTCAGGTTAGGACCAGGCTGTTCTTTACACCCCCATCTGATCACCATCTTCTTCCACATAGCAGAGACTTCTCTCTCCCAACTAACACCGAATTTAAACAGCTTCGCCACGGCCGCCGACGATGTGCCCTGCCCCACTGTCACCCAGGAACTGATCCCCGAATCGTGCGCAGCGACGTGTACGCCAAACTTAGACTGCCGGTTCATCTCAACGGTGACGAACCCCTGCGGATGTCCACGGACAGTCCCGACAGCAAGCCTCATCCAACCATGCAAAGTCGGATGCCCCTACAACGGATGCTCGGTCGAGTACCGCACGATCAACCTCGGATGCCAAGACGACGGATGGGTCCCAGAGCCGAGCCTGACGCTCACGCTGACATCGACGACCCGACCGTTAACATCGGCGACTCGACCGCCGTCCTCGTCGGAGAGACCGACGCGGACCCCCGTGCCTTCGACGGTAACGACTCGGACTCGGACGACGGCTGCGAGCGCGAGTGCCAGTAGTATCACGGAGTGTCCTAAGATGACCAAGACGGTGCCGGCGTCGGGATGTCTGGAGCCCGCTTGCCCGACGCCGAATTGTGTGTTCCAGGAGCCGTTGCCCGTGCCGTGCGGGTGTGGGGATCCGGAGACGGTGGTGGTGGAGGCGGAGGAGTGTGTTACGGAGTGTCCGAAGGGCTGTGCGACTACTACTGTTAAGGTTACGGAGTTTTGTGCTACGGAGACCGGGACCGGAATGGGCACGGGGTCGGGAACGAGGACAGGGACAAGATCGGGGACGAGGATTGCCAAGGGGACGGATACCGCGGTTTCGGAGGCGACTGGGGGTGCTTTGGATGACGGGTGGATCGACGGCGATTCTGGGGAGTCGAGGGGTGACTAGACCTTATCTTTTTCTCGAGTTTTTGGCTGCTAGAGTTTTTAATGTTGATTTGAATAGATCGAACCTATTGGATTAGTAGGGATTAGTACCGGGGCATGAGAGTTCAATTCGGTGTGAGTGATCTCGTCGATGATGAAACAGCAGCGGAAGCATCGAGAGCATCGAGAGCATCTTGTTCCTTGAGAAGAAGCTTATGGAAGGAGTGATGGGGCGGATGACGGATCACCAAGCCAAGTCAAATGGCAGGATGGGAGGTTTGGTCCGGGAAGATTTTCGTGTTCATTTTGGATTCATTAGATTCATCTCGATCGGCCTCATCAAAGGACTCGGAAATATCTTATCACTTGCTGGCTATTGATGCTTTGAACTGTTGTGGGCATGGAGTATCTAGTCAGGAGAGTTTGGTCAGGCACTTCGCCATCCACTCAGTTGGGGCCGCCTGGCCCTTCGTGGCTTTAGCGCATCATCGGTGTCTCGGGCCAGGCCATGCGATTCGGCTTCAACCCTCTCTCTCCCTTTAAGCAACTTCAAATTAATTCATGAACATGGGCTGAAAAAAACCCTCCATTTCCCACACAATATTTTCTCCTCTCCTCTCTGCCTTGCTACAAGGGAGGGAGCTCCAAGCCTCTCCAAACCTCTTCGTCGATCCCCTTGAGTCAAGTTCATTTAAACACCTCAATTTTATTAACTCCATCTAAATCACAATATCTATCAAGCGTCCACAGATTACCAGTATTCTATCATATATATATATAAGGGAGGGCCATCTTTCAACATCGCCAGCGCCGTTCTACTACATTCTTTAAACCTATACAAGGCCTTCCATCCGGCACATCCCTCAATGTGTCCCCAACGGGCAACCGGCAACGGGGTAGACTCCCTCGAGGCCAGGGCCGGCCCGCCGCGGGTTCCAACCCCGTCTACGGGAAACATCGCGGGTCGGCAGAAGGCGGTGTCTGCTTCCGTCGAAGAGAATAAAACGAGTCGTCGTAATGGCGCGGGGAAGGCTGCAGAGAATATCCCCAACAGGGCGGCTCAGGCGAGGAAATCGAAGGGCACCACTTGCCGCTGCACGAAGTCACATGTCGACCCTTCAGGACGTGCGGGAGAACTCCCCGTGTCGACTATTGAGAGCAATGGGAAGCTCAGTAGCGAGGGCAACGGAGAAGCCCACGCACCGAGCACACACCCCCCACAGTCCCGACGAGATGACAGCCCCGGGCCATCGCGGGAAACACTGCCGTTACCCGAGGAGAGTGACGGGGATGACTCTTCTGTTCCTTCGCCGCCTGAAGATGATCCGGCTCTCACGGGGCCGTTGATGCTTGAGAAGGATGGCAAGACTGATAATGTCTTTCTCAAGGGATTAATGGGCCAGCTTGAATCTCTGCAGCAGGAGCGGAACGATGGGAGCCCGGTCCCGGGCTCGGAGCGGGACTCGGACTCGGACTCGGACTGGGACAGACGGAATCGGTCATCCTAGACGAGCAAGGGACGTTACGCTGCTTGAACAATTCCCAATCCCCTCTGCAAGATGGGGGGAGCCTCGATTCATCTGTGTTTCAGACCATGGACCAGGGAGAGCATGCCTGCGGAGGCTATCTTCTTGGGGTCCTGGCTAGTAAGTCGTCACTTGGAAGTTCAAGACCCCGAGCCCGTCCCGTACTCCGCGAGGTCTACAAGAGGTAGAAGGGCACAGTTCAGGGCGACGATGGAGATTTCCCACACCATTGTTCACATGGTGACTCTCCAAACCCAGCGACCTGAAGAAAACCCCATATCATTTAGGCCTCCTGCATCTACAGCCTGTGATAGGCAGGATATCGCCTGGCTAGACCGCCTAGCCGAGTCTCATGGGAGACGGGGAAATCTCACATGCTTTGAGGGCAGTCTCGAGGAAGCAGCGGCCTCGAGGTGATGGACATCTACGATCTTCGGCCGAGTTCCTGGTGATGCCTCCAGACATGTGAGCCATGTGAGCCATGTGAATGCGACTGAATACCTTTCATGCTTCTGGCTCTAAACGGACTAATAGTTCCTGAACGAGCAGGCTCGGCCGACATTCTCGTCGTCGATGAGTGGGTAGCACTCAAGAACCATTCCCGCCTCGACTTGCCTTTTAGGGGAGGATTTGAAGACTCCCGTTGCTGGGCCCTCGCCGCAGAATAGCAGAATAGTTTGGAAACGGTCTCGATTTCTCTGCGTGCATCTTTGGATATCTTTGGATACATACTTGGCTCTTCCTTTTTGGAAAAGAGAGCGGAGTGTAGGAGGTATGCTCGAGCGAGCAAGAGCCTCTGCAGACTCCGTGTTACTTTAGAATTTAGATTCAAACATGACAATGCCCTATTCAATTCTATGCAGCTCACGTTTCCCCGAAGTCTTGATTTTCCTCAGACATAGTCCCCTCTCCTCTAGCTATATCTCCTCCCAAGTCTTCAGGGAATTATGTTCTACGGTATAGCCAAAAATCGCCCCTCACTAATACAAAATGCTCGAGCATAGCTGATTTCCGGTTCCTCCCTATGATTCTGGGCTCGATGAGTATTAGAAGAGGTGAGATATGAAATCACAAAGCCGATGGAAAGCCACGCATTGTCTCGCTCCCGGGCTACAACCGTAGAACAAACTCGATTTCACATCTTCCGATTAGTTGCATCCCCTGTCAGATTTGGTTATCCTCGCGCATGTTCCACGTCGCGCACCTTCGTCTTCTCGCCACCCTGGAGTCCCAAGTCAAGCTCTACTTCGTACTCTCACTTCTTCCGACTTCCCCCAAGCCGGGTATCAAGGAATCCACAAACCAATAAGAATCACCGCACGTCCGAGAAGAAATGAGCGAGGTTAGATGCCTTCTACAATCTTGCGCTCGAAAGTGACTGATGCACAATGATCCACATACGCCCACATCCATGCTCCCCGCAAAATCCTTTCCACCCCCTCCACCCCCTTTAGCTTCATCCAAGACGAACACCCTTCCCCCCCAAGAGCTAAATCCCCATGTCCTTGCTTCGTAGGCTAAGCAGGTAAGCCTGACGAGCATGTGAAGGGAGAGAGACACAGGACTTAGCCCCAAACTTCGACAGTCGAAACTCCCCTCGCTTAAACGCGCCAGTTGGGAGCTCCGCGGTTGCACGTGGCTTTAGAAATCGGGCAGAGTGGCTCGGTAGCAAGAGTGGCTCGGCAGTAAAGAACCCAGAGCCCAAGACGGGGGGAGGTGACGACGTGGTTAACGTCGAAATTGAGGATTGGTCAAGACTGTTAGAGACTACTACGTTTTATCTACAAAAGTCCGTGGTCGTCTATAGATGCAGATGATAATGCTGAAAGTGAGAGAGAAAATACCCCCCTGAGCGTTTTGTTCTTGAAGGCGCCAGCAGCCAAGGGAAGCTCATCCTGATATGGCAAGGAAGGATCGTGGTTGCCTGGATGAGGATGATTGGGTGCGCTTCTCTCGGCAACTTGGACGGAAGCTAGATGTTAGAAGCTATGACGCGTACTTGTAAGCTTAATTTGGCGGGGGCAGGCGAGACTCGTGCCCGAAGAATCACGCCCGAGTTTAAATCCATTCATGATCCTGGAGGCCAATACTTTCGCACCTCCGGAGGAAGATAGGGTTGTAGAAAGGTCAAAAGTAGCCCACCAAACGAAAACCTCCTTTGTACTCGGGATCACTCCTCCATGATCAGCACCCGAATCATACCAGAACTAACCGAGGCCACTAGGTAGTTTTTACAGTTCTCGGCGCGTAACAGACACAGACTTGAGGAGGTGAGGCATTTTTTGGGACGCGAGAGGGGTGGCGGTTTCAGCCTTGTGGAAGAGAGGGGACGACGACACATCAATCCAGCTGAAGATTGATAGTTCGAATGGATTAAGATAAAAAAAAAAAAAAAAAAAAAAAAAAAAAAAAGGCCAAAATTATAACATTATAGACTTGCCAAGCAACCTTCAAGGCTGCTCTTCAGCTTGAAAGAAAGAAAAAGAGACTACAAGCAGGCCAGGGTCCTCTGGGCGGCATCCTTGACATGCTGTGATCCATCGATCCCCGCGTTTTTCTCATGCATCTCATCCTCTCTCTGCAAGGGAGCATATCACTTCTCATAAAATAAGCAAAAGAAATAGCTGGTACTCGCCACACCTGTCAGAATTTCCCACAGCCCCTACAGCTGGGACCCTCGAGGACCCGACGAATTGGGTTCGAGAATTCGTGCTCGAAAATAGGCGGTAAGGATCGGGAATAAGAAACGCAAAAAAAACTCCAAAAACAACTCAAGGAAGCAGAAGCAGAAGCAGGGTACAGGCAGAGGCAAGTAAGAAACATAGGGTAAAAAAAGGTCCCGAAAACTGCAGTGGAACATAGTGTAAACTGTTCGCGGTGTTGCGGCAGGAAGTCACGCGAGCTGCGAATGCATGCTTCTGCTGTTTAAAGTTTTGCTCTTTGCTCTTTGTTTTGAGGGAAAAATGTACGTCTGGTTCGATGAGACTCTTGCGCATCGCTGTTTTTCTCAGACTTGACTGGCGCGTCCGATACAGGAGATTGCGGATGAGGCAGGCATGGAAGGGTCTCAATAGCAAGGCTAAGCTGATAACTCTCCAGTGTTTCATTAGCCCAGGGCAGTTCAATCGATTCGCCATCGAAAAAAGCCGTTCGCGAATCGGCCTGGCCCTTGCTTTCCTATCGTGTCGCATCGCCGCATCGTGTCGTGCCATAAAAGGAGCTTCTGTTCCTGAGCATTATCGTGGACCCTCTCTCCACACTTCCCACACTTTTCCCAAATCCTTCCGAGGGAACGATTTCCGCGACGCCTTCATTGGCCCAAACATGCCGCTGGGTGCCATTGGAGACGATGTTATTGGATGAAGGTTGGCAAGCGCGGGTTTTGGCTTGGTGAACTTCGCACTTGGCCCTTGACCCTTGGCCCTTGGGGAAGAGTGCCCCATTTCCACTGCGCCCATCGGAAATTGATCAATGATGGAGACCTTGAAAATCGATG